TCTTTCACACACTAATCCTGAAATGCAAATTGCCAAAGTTAAATAATTTCCAATTAAGCCCTGATAGCATTTTTTTAGATGTACTTTCAAGAGGTTTTTGTGGATTAATTTACAGCTTCTCCTTCCGAAAATTCTGAAACAGAATTACACCTAAAAATTATAAGATTTACTATCGGATAAATTTCTTTTTTTCACAAAAGACAAAAGAAAAGAGTTACCCAAGCCTCCAAATGAAGTGGAAAAATAAAATAGGAAGATAGTCTTTTCACAAAACTGGATATCAAGTTTATGAATAAAATGAATTTAGAAAAATGGGATAATAGTAGTTATGACAATAATGCGAATGGAATGAATATATTCAGAAAATTGTTTATGTAACATGAATGGTGACTATTGAAAGGAATATAGTTGAATGAAAATAAATTTCGTTTAAATTAAATAGTATTACTGTGTAGTATTAATTTTATTTTCATTCCTTTTAATCCCTTCCATTCACAATGATTTTTGCTATTGAATGTTTTTCAACATGATTCATTTTCATTCCCACCCATTCCACTAGAGTTGATGGAATAATTTTTATTTTTCATTCCAATTAAATGGTAACATCTTTGTGAAATCTCTTGGAATGAGCTTATTCTACACAATTCCATTCCATAAAATATACATCCAGTTTTACTCTCATATACATTGTTGATTAATTTTTATTTAGTTACTTAAGAACATGCACTTTTGTGTACATTGAAGAGTATCAGACCAGGAGAAGCCCATGATTTGTCAATGGTTGCAACACAGTTGCCAACCTTGTCCACAACATCTCTGTCAAGATTGCCAACTTTGTCATTGGTGAGTGGAACTTTCTGAAAAAATCGTTTGTTTCTTCCATTTCTCCTTTTAATGTTTTTGTGTTGTGTTTTTCAGGATCTCTAGACTTGGATACTTGAAGACAGATTTGGAAAGTTTGGTTTGAAGATGGATTTGGAAAGTTTATGATAATTACACTAAGAACTTCTCTAATAGGCTTGCCACTTGTTTTTGGTAACTCTTTTGGTAACTCTGTTAGTCATATCGGTTTAGATTTCGGCATTCAAATTCGGTTAATGTATAAAGAATATTAAAGCTCTTTAAAATCAAATACATTGAATTATTCACACACAAAAAACTTATAACATTCACAACAAAGCTTATAACATCTACTAACTACTTTGGGCTGTCTTATTTGTCGTTTAAGAAAACTAACAACAATTCCGATGTCGTCCAGCGGTTAGGATATCTGGCTTTCACCCAGGAGACCTGGGTTCGATTCCCGGCATCGGAACATTTTACAATTTTTCAGAATGCTATATATTGCATCAATTGCACAGCACGTGTGATGCCCCTTGAATTTGAAGTTAGAGATGTGCGGTTTATATTTGATGAGTCAAAGGGGATGATTGGTAAGGGCTGTGGTTGCTCTGCACAGCCCTAAATCTCTCTACAGCAATACAAAATTACCAATCACGCTCTCATTCCATCTCTTTCCATTTTTGAAATACAGAGCAATTTTTTTTATTTATGGAAGTTCCGTGGCTTTGGAAATCAATTTTTCTAGAGCACCAAATTAAGTGCTTTTAGAATTTTCTTTTTTCTCTTTCCTTATTAATCTTTCAACATTTATTTTTTAATCTATTATTTCTATATCTTAACTTTTTTGTTTTAATGCTATATTTAATGACACAATCTATAATAAAAAATCTTACAGCACTAAAATCTAGAATCACAGCCAAAATTTCTACAGCATTAATTCTACAGCAAAAAAAGTAAAGTTACAGCCACAACCAATCAGGCCCAAAGTGTAGAAGAATTTGATGCTAAGAGCATCTCCAACCCAGCCCCATATTTCACCTTTATTGCCATATTGGAGTTAATTTTGCTCCAACCCGATCCCATTTTCATTTCCATTTTGGAGTTGAAGTTTTTAAATTATATATTAGTCATTGAAGTTTTAAATTATTTCAGTTTATATATAATTAATTATTTTGATGTTTATTTTTACCCTAAAATAAAAATAACACATATTCAATAGAAAATTTAATTATTTAAGTTACTAATAAATTTAAAAAGAAAGGAAAAATATTTTTATTAGAAATAACATCAAAAAGAAATTTATTAAAACAACTATTCAAATGGTTCTAATTAAAAATAAAATTCAGTTTGTGTTGTTATTTTTAGTCTTGTAATAATGTATTATTAATATTTTCATAATTAATTTAAATAACTATAATAAATTGTGAAAGTTTTGAAGAAAAAAAATTATGGGGCAATTTGTAATATATATAAATATTCAATGTAAATTTAGTAATTAATAAAAAGTTTTGAAGTAAAAAATAAGGCAATACATTTGAGCAAAACTCAACTCCATTTTGAGATTTCTTCATTTTGGAGTCAAATATGGGGCAATACATTGAAGATGCCCTAAGAGCCGGATGAGTCAAAGTAGAAGAATTGATTCAAGTTCGGTCCACTAATGTTGGTCAAGATTTGTTATTTAAAAACCGTCTTGTCTGACCGAAATTAAAGGACGTTGGTAATAGTGCAAGTCCAATCCGGTTTGTTGCGGTTAATGATTTCTGAACCTCCAATTCAGAAACTCAGTATTAGTTTTGGTTCTTACCAATAACTTGAGTTCCAAGATTCATGGCAACAACAACAACCTTGTGAACTGATTGATAGATTGGAAATTGCAAGGGCAGTTTAAAAACGCATCAACATTTCACGTGACTCAATTGGGTTTTGAGGGAAAAGAAGGAAGCTTTTACGCCATTTGTGTATTGCAGAAACAAAATAGAAAGCTCAAACAGTACTGAATCTGAGAAAATGGCATAAACAAGCTAAACCCACACATACAAGCACACTTGCCAAAGTTTCACCAATTGTTTATAAGCTCCAGCTTCAGAGAGCAGCCTGTTTATCTGTAACATGAGGAAATACAGCGAGTGATGATACAATACTGTTTTGTTCAGTAAAGCACAAATCACAATCTTTGAAAGTTTTTGTAATCTCAATACCTCCTTACGTCGCTCATGATTCATGAATAAGCTGCTTCTTGCGCTCCAATTCTTTGATCCTCTTCTCAGTCTTCTTAAGCTCCCTATATTCTGAGGTAATCAATCAATCATTGACATTTTTTTTTTTGATAAAGGGCTTAATCATTGACAGTTCAGTATTTTTGTTTTACAATCATAACAAAATTGATCAATTCAAAAGACAAAATACACATAACGCCAAACAGTGACGCCAAAATATGCAACAAAGGCTATTATGCCAGGTCGGCCGAGAGGAGGTTGACCATATCTCTGCAATTTTCGGTACAGATCGATCAGAAACACACAATTAAACTAAAAAAAAAAAGGTGGAAGAATTCATGCGAAGAGCTGTCTCGATTACCCACATTTCTTCTCTCTGTTGTGTTTGCCTCTTCCCTGTCCAATCCTGAATTAGGGTTTGGTTTGTTGCTTTCTCTCCACGTTCTTCGTCTCCAAGGCACACTAATTTTCGTCTTTTTTTTTTTTTTTTCTCGGAGTGTACCTATCTTTATATTATTAATTGAGAAGTACATTCTAATGTTTGGATACAAGAATTAGAGAAACATCTATTTGGATAGAAGAATAAATGGAAACAAAAGTTGTTTGGATATAAGAATAAGAGAAAAATCTATTTGGATAGAAGAATAAATGGAAAAAATTGTTTGGATACAAGAATAATAACTTAAAATAAACCGATGGTTTAGAAAACTTCCGTTTTCCATCTCTTAAAAATCTGCAAAAAAAAAACTTAACATAATCTAACGATAATTCCAAATCAATAGAATATGCTTTTTGGATTTTCGGGTTTTTATAGACAAGTTCGGGTTTGGGTGAAAATCTGAGACATAATTTTATAGAGATATATATAGAGATATAGAAATTGTTCGGGTTTCTTTGAAAATTTCTGTTCGGGTTAGGTTCAATTTTTTTTTCAGTTTAGGGTTTTCCGGATTTTTTAGATTTCTGGTTTTCGGGTTTAGATATATTAAAAAAATTGAGTATTTTAAAATTTTGATTAGGTATTGGGGTCGGGTTCCGGGTGAAAAAGTTTCCAGATTTTTTTTGTTCAGTCAGGGTTTTCGGGATTTTTTTGATTTCGGATTTTCATGTTTAGACCTATTAAAAAAGTTTGGGTTTTTAAATTTTTTGATTAGGGTTTTTTGTCGGGTTCGGATTTAGGGTTTAAATTTTCTACACAAAACAACAACGTCACACCGCACAAACGTGCGGGTACTCTACTAGTTACTTTGATTATGGGGCCTGAATTCAGCTCAACGTTGTCCAATTTGTTTTTAGAGGATTTTCAACCAAAAGAAAAACTAGGTTTTTGATGGACTTGGTGGGATCTATGCCATCCAGGTTTTTCATGCCAGTTTTGTTTATAAACTAGATTTATGTGTGTAAAATATAAAAGAAACGATGCAAGTCCTCATATTTTCAATGGATATTAATCTACATAAAGATTTCTTAAAATTAAGAAACACCACTAGACCTAAAATTACAAAATTTACTATCAAATAAATTTCTTCTTTTACGAAAGACAAAATAAAAATGTTACCACGCCTCCAAATTTATGAATCTCTATTCAGTTTCTTTTGACCATGTGTGATTTTTGTGCGTGTTTATTTTCCATAATATTTAATGATTTGGTCGTATATGATATCGAATGAACATTTGTGATTTGTATTATATTCCTGATTCCGACGGTTCATGGTCTTGGTCGGATTTGAAAGAGTTTTTTTTAGGTTCATGGTCTAATAGCTTTAGGCACATTTTCTAATACTGGAAGCAATATTCCATCAGTTTCATCGTTACCTCTTTTGTCTTTGTTGCAAAAACTGTTTTTTCTCACACAAAATCACTAGTCGCTCAAGTGATTGGAGGACACAACATATGTCTCATATCTTATGGTCAAACTGGGACTGAAAAACCTTCACCATGGAGAGAAACACAGATCAGAAAGGGCTGATCTACATGGCGGTAGAAGAGTTGCTTCAAATGATCGAAATGAACAAAGGAATTCTCAAGGCTCACTCTCTTCATGTCAGCTTGTTGGAAGTTCATAAAGAGAAGATCAAAGACCTCTCGGTGGCGAACTCCAGAGGCTTGGAGGTCTACCAAACAGCACTAGGGAGTCAAGAAGTCAAAGGATTAAAAGAATTGAGAGTTAAAAATTCTGAGCAAGTGTGGCTCACTCTCGCTGAGTGCTTTAGAATCAGTTCCAAGAAGAAACCTTTACACATTGTTGAATTTCTATTTAGTTTGTTTTGAACATGTGTGTTTTAGTACATTATCCAAAATAACAAATCGTAATAATATTTTTTTTCTAAATCACAAACCATCTTTTTCTTTTAACAAATATAACTTTGGCTTAATGAAAAACAAATTAAATAATTATTTTTTTAATTGGATTGCATGATTGGTATACTCACTAGCTTTTGTGATGGGTTGAACTTGGTGAGTGAAGAGAGTGTGCTCAATAAGAGATTTAAAAACCTAAATCAGAAATCATCTCTGATTTGTTGATCATGCTGTCAACAAATTTGAAAGTGCTCATGTAGTTAACACTTAACAAGTCTTTCTCGGCCGTTTCGTATGTCATCACATCGAACAACATAAGAAATATTTCATACAAGTTTCCCTCTCTCTCTCTCTCTCTCTCTCTCTCTCTCTCTCTCTCTCTCTCTCTCTCTCTCTCTCTCTCTCTCTCTTTCTCTAAATATTTCATATGCTAAAAAAACTCGCATATTAATTGCATTTTATTTCTCATCTTGTCGCTGTCTTTTGTGCTTGACATACCATAGATAGAAAATATATTTGACAAACCTTGTTACTCTTCTGACGTACATGCTTAAAAGTTCTTTGGTTAAATTCAACTCCATTGATAGTATGAGTACATGTTTTATGGGGCCTGTCTTGTTGAGCTTTGCTCTGCATTGTCCAATTTCTTCTTTTTTAAAAAACAAATTATTCTCATCATCACAACACAAGTCAAAACTAAAGCACAAAACGATATTTAATGTACCAAACTAATCTCCTCCCTTCACATAAAACGTAAAATGACACAAAAGTGCACACCACAACGGACTTGGTATCCATGACACTTTTTCCCTACACTAACATATTGAAATCATAGAGACTTGATAACAATATGGAAAAGAGGAGTTTGAGATCTGATGACTAGTCACTTGCCAAGTCCAAGTTCTTTCTCGACCTCTCTGGTTAGACTGAACTGTAAAGTGTTCTGCCACGGGAACAGAGTTCGTGTCACTGGAAGTTTCCTCCTCAGATCCTGCAATATCCCAACACCACACCTCAGAAATTATGTAAATACACCACTCAGGCCAATTGATATCGTTGTTTAGAAGAGAGCATTTACCTTGAAAGTGTTATCCGGTAATTTTGAATACGCTACCTAATGATTGGGTCGGAAGCAAGATTAGCAACACATGAAATGGTAAAAGAAAACAACAAGTAGAGGTATTTGGGGACCTCTAGAGCTGCAAGGTACTCTGTCTCATGGTGCCTGACGATATTGGCTATGGCAATCCCACAGTCATCCGCAGACTGAAAATGGAAGCAAGAATTCAACCACAAGGTTAGTCTCAGGGCCTACACTACACATGATTGTTCTCTTGGTCTAATCTACATGCTTCTGGTGAGATTATTGTATACAGAGGTACCTGAAACATTGTAGAATCTTGGAACTCTTTTTTAGCATCCAATTCCACATTTCCCTCCTCGAAATAATGGGCTCCTACCTGAGGAGAATGAGATATACTTAGCATAAGCTCACCATTGGCCTTGAATAAGTCACACCAAACTTGAAGAGAGAATAAACGAGAGTCTGTTACCTGCAATTTCCCTTTTATCTCAAGCACCTGAGATTCATCCTGGAAATCAATGGTCCATATAGATCTCCAACTTCCATTACTGCACAACAACTCTCACTCAATATTATTTCACGCAAACAGTTGTCCTTCTCTCTGAGCAACGGATACAGTAGAGAGCATAGATGATCCTAAGAGAATTGACAATAAGTAGAAGAAGAAGAAGGTCATTGTGTACACACCAGAAGTTCTGAGGACTAAGTTTTGTGGCGGTTATTATAACGACAAGCTCAAAGTCCGATCCTGGACCCTCGGCATCTTTCCCCTTCACACAGTTAACGGCACACACACCTTTCGGGTAAGACTCACTAACGTATCTCTGGATTTCAGCATCAAGAGCACTTCTGTAATGGGACAAACCAACCTTTTCAACATATATATATATATATATATATATATATATATATATTCAACGGTAAGGCCCAAAAAATAACACAATGTAGATCACTAAAGGTTCATTTCCCCTTCATTCCTGCTCTTAAACAAAAGACTTCAGGTAGGTGAAAATATCATACCTGTACTCCTCTGTGTACGAAGAGGGAAGTTCTTCATCATATGCAGGCCGTACTTTTGTACAAATCTGGTCAAATAAAAGAGATGTCAGCTTTGAATCGTCGGATTCACAAATCAGGGCACATAATAACGAAGAAGAACGGAAACAATAAAGAAAACTACCTGTTTAACATGATCAACTAAGGCAACCTGGGCAGTTCTTGGATCAAGGTACTCATTCTCAGTAATTTCACTGTAAGATGAAACAATCACCTGAGACACCAGAAACAAAATTAAGTAATACTGAATCTCCAGTTGATAAGATGAAACAATCACAGCGGATAAACAGCAAAGAGTATTCCAAAAACATTTTCTATAAACAAGAAATGAAGATGCAGGACATAAACGAGAAATAACTCTTCTCCGGTTTTCAAAGAGAGACTAATATCACAAACTCTGCCTGAGTTATCTCCGTTTGAGAGATTCATTTCAAAGCTGCGCATTTGCCAAATTTCGAAGAAGAGAACTCACATCACCAGCCCCACTGGGCATTTCAAGGAAAATCATGTGAGACTTGTTGTAGACTGGAAATGCCTCCACGGCTGCTTCGTTGTAGACTTCCTCATCGCACAAAACCGCCTGTAAATCTGCCAGAAATCCCCAAAATGGGAAGACGATTCAAAATGTCAAATCACGCACAATGATTCGAACATTCTACTATCGCGCCTTGTTAAAGCAGAGTCACATCTCGGTGCAACCAAAACAAACAAAAAACACATTCGACCTCAATTCAAAATGTGTATTGAGAGTACCTTTGGCGACGTAATTGATTTCGCCAGCGGGAGCGTTGAGGAGAAACCACTTAGCGATTTCCTTCTTCTGATCATAACTTAGTTCCGTCTCCGGTAACTCGTCTTCTTCGTCCGCCATTGCTTCTCTATCTCTCAACCGCTCTCAACCTCTACGAAAGGTAGACGGAGACAAGTTCGTTGTTGTCGCCGTCGATAATCTGAAAGGGCTACATTCGTAATTGCAACACTGTTTTAATGTTTGATTAAATCATGACCGTTCGTTTGTGATGATTAATTCTCAAACGGTGTCGTTTAGGCTCTAAAGGACACAGATGCCACGTAATTATTTAATTCTCTGAACTCTCATTATTTACTTCTCTCAATTCTGATTATGAGTAAAGGCGAGAAGACGAACGAGAGAGACAATTTAATAATTTAGCCGACAAAACAATTGCGAGTGACATTTGTTAAAATCGTAAACTCATATTTTTACCTACTCAAAAACAGAATATTCCTCTTTTTCTTTGTAAATCTAAATTAGACAAGTAAAAAAGAACATTTTTGTGCCTATTACAAACTAGCAAGTGTAGTGGAGTGATGTGATCCAGGGTTCACATTTACTTCCAAATACTCTCTCCATGCCTTTAGAGGCAAGATTTTACCAGACATTGCAGATTCAGCCCTACTCTTATAATCGTTCACAAACAACTCTCTAGCTGCAAACCCCATCATCTCAGTAGAGTCCATCAACTTCTTAATCTTCAGACTGACCCCTCCCCTTTTGGGAATCTGACGATCCAAACAATTGGAGACAACAGGATCATCGGTTTGTGAAACTTGTTTATTAACAGTGACTGATGGTGATTCTTCTGAGAAGTATGCTCCCATCCCAAACGAGTCCCAATCAACCCGGTGAAAGATTTCAGCAGCCCGGTCTGAGCATGTTTTGGCCTTCTGTGACTGTTGTTCCAGAGTTACTCTATCGACTTGTGCTTTTAACTCGGACAGTCTCTTTCCAATTCTCGAAGATACAGCATCATACAAGTGTTTCCTTGATACGTTTCCGGCTTCTTCGGCCCCGAGAAGGTCGTCAAAGTGAATCGGGTTACCAATGATCACTGTCACCTACAAAAATTTCAACTTTCGTTTGTGGTAAAAAGAGTCTTGAATTGCTAATGGAATAGCCTAACGAAAACATTCAAAGAACACTCACTGTCTTGCCAATCCGTGGAACATTGGCTCCCACCGGCATGATATCTTGCATACCATTATGCACAAATGGAACAACCATAGGGAGAGTGTCTGCGTCCAAAATCAACCTGCCAAAGAAAGTGAATTAAAACACTATAAAATATCCAGAAAGTAACTGGACTCAAACTACACTTACCTTCCAATACCTCTTTTTGCTGAGCCCATAGTCTTGCCACCATCACGGGAGCGACTGCCTTCTGGAAAGATGTGAACCCACCCTCCACTGTTCAGTTTCGAAATAGCCATGTCCATGCCCTGTCCAGTAGTTACCAAACTTTCACGAAACCATATTCATAGCATATACACAACAACCGACACTTCTTTCCCATCAGAAAATCCAGTAAACTAGAAGGTTGAGGATGAAGATGAAGCTATGAAGGGCAGTGTGGTGTTACTGTTACCTGCTGATAAATCCCTTCGCCGCGAGCAACAGGCAAAACTTTGACAGATCGAAAGAAAGCTGAAGTTACAGGGTTTTTGAAGCATCTATCTGTAGCACAAAGCGTCCACCTCAAATTACGGGCATCAAGTAAAAGTTTAGGCGGGAGCAGCGAAGCAATGACAAACGGATCATCCACGGATGCGACATGATTGCTAACCTGAACATCATTTTCACAAGTTCATGGGGTTAAGCATATATATAATTCAGGTTCATCTGAAATCGGAAACCAAAAAACAACACAACATTTCATAGCATAAGTCACCTCATACCGTTACAAGGGGCTTGTTCTTTGGTCTGTTGAGCAAAGCATCGTGCAATTTCTCCAAACCATACACCTGGAGAGTTAAAAGCACAATAAGAATTGAGAAAACGCGTGCCAGGAGATAAGAATGTAGTCTATGGAACAGTGATGTATGTCACACACCTGAACACGGTTAAAACCATTCATGAAAACATGGCAAGCATTTCCAATAAGGGGAACAGCCACAGCTTGAAGCATACGATAGAGAGCAGACTCTTCTTCTGCTGTCAGATCTTTAGAAACTGCAAGAACCAAGCTTTTGTCTATCAAAAACTCCAAGAATCCAAAATAGGCTTTGACAAGACCAAAGAATATAACAATAGAAACAATCCTCAAAACTATAAGCAACATAAAAAAGACAGCTAAAACCATCGCTACAAGTGCTAAATCATCATCGAGCTCCTCTACCTTGAACAAGCAATGCTACTGTGCTCATCCACACAGAGAAGCTAAATCAAATGTGTATAGCGACTCAACAATCACTCAAAGTACCAACGAAACAACCAAGACGGAAGCTTGAATCACAAAGCTCAACTACAACAATTCGATCAAATCAGCCACTCGAGCTCACATATGTTAACACACTGCCCAAAAAATATAAGCTTATGCACTCGAAAGAGGTAATTAGCAATTGACAGATCCATCATAAAGTTAATTAATTGAGGCGATGGATCAAACCTCGTCTGCGATAAAAAGTAGGGGGAGAAGGGAGAGACTCCTGGCGGAAGTTTCGTAATCGAGTCAATAAGCGGTGGACAGAGGAAGAGAAGTAGCCGTCCGTTGCGAAAACCGCCGCTCGACCACGGTGATCGTCGACGGCGATTCGAAATCGATCACGGAGCTGGAGCTTCAATAACAGGGCACTCTTCCATAGTTCCGCCTTGTCAACCAATTGAATTCCCATTCCGAATCCCCTGATTCATAAAACGAGCCGCGCGAAAGGTAAACTTACACAAATTAGCAAACCGGAGGGAAAAAAAAAGTTGCCGGGGAGTGAGATCGTGGAGAAGTAAAAAGAGAGACCGTGTCGGAGGGAGATAGGCGCAGAGGTTTACGTGTCAAGGGTTTGGAGTCCTAACGTGGAAGGCGGTGACTTTCGTGCACAATCAATTGAAGCAAGTTTCGGTAAATATACCAATTACAGGATATGGCAATTTGACAAATCTTTTAGATGTGAAAATATTTTTATCCACACCTTCTCCTCTGCATCAGCAAGATATTATTAATCTTATACTTGAGCGGCTTAACAACGGAGCTTTTGACTTAACAAAGGGTTGATTAAACCTTAAACAAGAACGATTTTATACAATACAATATGATCCGAAGATGAATTAGTTGATACATTTTTTTTTCTGTGTTTATTAAGGAAGAAAAGAAACTCAAAAACGAAGAAACAAAAGAACCAGAACCATGGACTGACTAGTCGCTAACCAAAGATCCGGTTAATCTCAATCACAACAAAACCAAAACATTTCACACTAAACCAGACACCCAAAACCATCATCAATCAAGTGGGTGGAACTCCAAAGGCTTGGTCTCAGCCTTGTCCTCAGCGAAGATCTTTGAGATCCTCTCGGTTGGAACCAACGGCATGTACGATGACACCCTGTACCCTTTCTCTGCAGCCTTCACCACCGTGTCATTGTACTTCTCAGAGCAGAATGCAGCTGTTGGTACAGCGACTTGAGCCAGCCTTGGGAACAGTGGAAGCTGGTTCAGCTTCTTCCACGCCGAGACGGCACACTGCTCTGCTTTTGGCTCGTAGTTTGCATACAACTCCTTAGCTGCTGGCTCGTACTTGGTGTAGACGGACTTAGCCATCCCAGAAGCGGTTTCCACAACTCCAGCACGTCGAACCTCAGAGGCGAAAGCACGGGCCACAATGGGTGCTATCTGAGCAGCTGAGATGGCTTGGGCAGACACTTGTTTGACCACTGGTGGGACACGGCGGTCAAGCTCAGTCACAGACATGTCAACCTGCAATGACCAAAGACGATTCAATAGATATCGTCAGCTTTCAAGGAGGTGGTTCTACAGAACATAATGACACTGACCCGTTTACCAAAACCTTGTACCTAAGGTGTAAAACTTGATCTCAAAGCAGGTAAATTTATCATATATGGACCATTCAATAGCAAGAAGATGATATCATCAGACCCCAAATTTGTTAAAAACTCAAAAGAAACGCTTTCATTCGCAGGAGCAACCACAAAGACACACAATGTATAGACTGAAATCATCACAAGCTTTAACATATCTCTAAAAGCAAGATTCGAATCATATAAGTTCATATAACTATCTATATGATGGACATTTCAAGCAACTTCAAATCCAAATATGGGGAAATTTAAGATTACCTTCTGGTCCATGTACTTAAGGACTTCGACGGGGACGTCGTGGTATTTCTGGTACACCGGACCGACGACAGTCTTGACAGCTCCTTCAACGGATTCAACACCTGGCTTCAAAGGGCCAGACTTGTCCTTTGCCTTGGCGTAAATGAGAGCAAAGCGAAGCACTGCTTCCACAGCAGCAGCTTGCACAAATTCCAAGTACTTCAACCTCTCTTTCTCCTCCTTAGTCTGTGTAAAAGAATTCGAAAAGGGCAACATGCATAATGTGAAATTTTCAAAGAAAAATTCTACGATGAGCGACTTGAATTACAGATTCTTCTCTCCTTTTCTATGTTATTAGCATCTCGTAAGATCCACGAGTAAGATGGGAATTGGAATTTGAAGAAAACGAAAAAGTTCAACCGAAAAGCCTCCAAAACTCAAATCCCAGAAACTTAAAATCGAAGATTTATGACGAAAACCAATAAGAATTCCGAGAGACGAAATCGATTTACCATATCCAGTTTCGGCTGATTGAGATCCGTTTGGGCCATGATCGCTCGAGTGGAAGAGAATATCGAAAAGGCGTTCGTTTGAAGAGAAGAAGATTCTTGAAGGATTTTTTAAATTGATTTGACGAACAAAACAATGTTAATGGTGATGAGGAATTGACGTACCCTATATTTGTTTATATAACAAAGGACTTTAGCACGTGTGAGAACAGTAGATTTTACGCGTGCCAGCGTGTGTTCCGATTGGGTCGGTTCGGAGCGTGTCTTTGTATCGCCTCTTGTAACCATTCATATTCTATGGGCCGTTGTTGACGACTTGTGGGTTAAGTAAACGTATGTAGCTAAGAAAAGAAATTTGTTTTTATTTTTTTCCCTTTTTCTTCACACCCGCATTAACTATGTGACGAACAATATTAATTAGTTAAGAAAAATTAACATATTCGCTTTCATGTCGTTTTAGAGGTCACTTAATACGATCAACTTAATTAATGAAGCCCATAATACAAATAAAAGGCCCATTAATCATACTATAGTGAGTTTGTTCAATCTACAATATTTTTCTGTTTAAATCTTACATCTGCCAAAGTTTAGAATTTGGACAAAAGACTAAAACATGTCTCTAACAAAGCCACATTCCAACGACTGTCTCGATCAAATTCCTCAATTTTCTTATGAATGTTTGTGTCATAGTTTCTTGTTAAATAATTGACATTCGTATAGCAAATTTAGCGGAGGGAGGATATAACAAACTCAACTTTATGAACTACAAAAAATTCAATGGCACATTTCTAATAATTCTTTTCATTATCGATATGCAAGGTTCTAATATACTTTTATGTCGAAAATACAGAAACAATTACAGCGAAACAAATAAAATGTTTGAAATTAGCGTGTTAGGCTGTGAATGGTCCCATCATTACCTTATTAGCCAACATGCCACCAACAGCTAATAAAGGAATTCATTTCTGTTTTCAGTCTATACTCTGTACCTATGCTTAATTAGTTATATGGTCGATGATATATACAAAACTCAGATTCAAAAAAAATTGAAATAATTACTTTTCGTTAACAATTTAAAATTGTCACATCTCGAAACTACGCACAGATCTCAATCACTTCTCGGACTAATCACTATTTTTAATCTACGCCAACTTTGAATTATTTATTGATATGAACAATCAGAAAGAGAGAAAAGCAATACGTATTTTTGTTTCCAGAACAAAGACTATAGTTTTTCAATGTGTAAATCAAACCCATATATATTCGTTGAGATAAATTAAGAAAAGAAAGAAGAAATAAAATCGGAACACAAAAAAAGAGAGGGCAAAATAGGTATTTTTCAATTACTCATCTTCTTCTTCAACGCTTGCACCTCGTGATGGTGCTGCATCCACGGCGGTAAGGATTCGCCTGAGCGCCACGCTGGCAGTTGTAGTACGAAGCTCCACGGCGTGAGCAAGGCACACTGTTCTTCTTCATCGCACCGTAGCTAATGTACTTCTTCTGAGCTAAAATGCGCCGGCTGATATCCGAATCGAACTCCATCTCCTCTTCTTCAGCTATACACTCAGCGATCGATCCTTTGCATCCAGAGAATAGCAAGGAAGATCCGGTCCGTACAAAGTCGAGCGAGTCTCCGAAGCCGCCGCCGCTTGCGTCGACGGCTGAGATTACGATCGCGAGGATCGCGATGACGGCGTAGATCGCGCGAGAGTTCATCTTCTTCTTTAAGAAACAATCAGAAGCTTTACGATTTCTTTAGTCGTCTTTTTGTAAATTTCGTTTTACTCTTTCTCTCTCTATGAAACTTGATTCTGTACACAGCTGAAGACAACAAGCTAAGCCATTGTTGTCTAGCTTCTTATAACCTGAGTAATTTATCAGATCGGGCTTGTTTTTCGATATATTAACGAAAATGCCATTCTCCTTTTGATTTTTTTAAGAACAAGTACGCTTTTTTGTTAGTTTAATATTCAGTTGAGTTATACGAAATGACACGCATATTCGTTGTTTTATTTTAATAATAAAACTACAATGTCTAAGCTTTGAAATATTCCTTGAGTTATTTTGAAGTTTTGGATATGTTTTCGTGCATCCACGACTTTCTTAGGACGGCTTCTGCATAAGATTTAAATTACAATTAGGATACTGTATATTGCAACATTTAAAAATTCAAGAGGCAAAATTAAATCAGTAACTCTCACAATTGTTTACTTTTTTATTTTGTTTCCAAAAGAGACGAAAAAGCTAGATAATGGCAAATGCGTAATAATTGGGTGAAACCATGGGCATCACCAGCTGGTTGACCGGTTTGTCTTTTTCATTATCGCTTAATCGGCCAAATGGTTTATTGAATGAATCAATGAACTCTCAACTCTGGTTAGACGGCGGCATCTACCGTTTAAATCCATCCAACGTTCCGTCAACGTCAACGTTAAACTCACATTCTTTCCTTTTGCCGTTAACGTTTTTTTTCGTCGCCGTTCGGAGTAAATTTTTGTTTTGGCCTTTGTTGTTTCGGATCCGTGATCAGCGTTTTGAAGAAAAATGTAAATTTTGTTCTTTTGGTTTAGTAGAAACTTTAATCATAATTTTCCATTTGAATCGTTACATTCCAAGCACAACCTCATTAGAGCTAAAAAGACGATCCATAACGCCATATTCTTAAAGAAGACTCTTACTCATAATACTTACATACTCTAGCATCTGATCAATCGTGGTAGTTCCACAAAATGTTAGTTACGAAGTTCTACATATAAATCTAACTTAATTGCTAGTTGTAATTCGTTATATATATGAGACCTAACATAGACTAGAGTTAATAAATTTATGTCGTAAACTGAGTATAAACAATTATCAACTGCATCTTCCAAATAGTTAAAGATCTAAATACATATGTTATTTCAATTTCTACAGTAGCACAAGTTGATAGTTGATGAGGATGAAATAAAAGATCCAAAATGTAGATTTTTTAATGTTAAATATCGCCTATCCCAATCTCGTGCATACTTATAAGTTTGGGTGAAGATGCTACTTTTTTTTTGTATGAATGTTAGCGAAGATGCTACTTGGTCTTTGCGGGTGAAAAGCCAATGTAAAGACATGTAAACCACTCTCTAACATTGCCACTACTTTATACACGCCACCATTCATGGGTAGCACTATTTATCGGTTGACAATTATTTTTATTATAAAGAGAATGATGTCAAAATGGAATAAGATTACTTTGTATGTGTATGTTATATATACTGATATACATATATAGAGCGACGAGAATCCATGTGCATATGTCATATGTGTGTAGATCTAATTCAGAGACCGTTGCATAATATTTAGTTTTTCAAACATACTTATCACATGAATTTATAAATTTGTTTATAGAACGTAAGAATGCGTTGGAGCCTTGGAGGATCTTTTACCCGATATCCAAACTCCTAACACAATATTAAAATGAGAGAGCAACGGCTAGTTTGTCTGTTTATTACAATTATATTTTTCCCTCCGGTGGTACAACGTCGACTTTTTGACGGCGTTAGAGAGAGAGCCGGCGCGTAACGTGCAACGAAGCCGTTAAGAACAAAGTGGGGCCCTAAGACACAGATCACCAAGGACGGCGTTTGCGCGTTACCAAGATATCCCAATAGCCAGCTGGCCCTTCAACCAAAGTTTATATTCTTCTTCAAAATTATAATCTAATGTTAAGTGTGTGTGATGATGATAACATTTGCTTTATTCAGTTGTATCTTTTCAAATATTTGATAGATTAGATTACTAACAAATCATATGGTAGTTAATATTTATACAAAAGTGGTAATGATTAGAAAGGCGACGACAAATGTTTATATTTTGTTTTGGAAAGAAACACAGCACGAGATAAGAACTTATCATACGAAATAATTGATGGAAGCCAAAATTTAAGGAGGCGCGAAGAAGAAAATACATAACACGGAAAAGTTATGCAAAGGCAACAAAGCTCCTTACTTTTTGAATGAGGAGGAATACGATACCAATGATGATGAGGAAATGAATAGAAAAGAGAAAACAAGATTCCAAGTTATGGACAACCTCTTTCTATAATCAAATTACTAAAAAAAAGACAAATATCCAAATATTTCTACAAGAGTGGTTGGTACCTTTGAAAAACATTTAAAAAATTGACTCATTTCATTATGTCTCATTGCTTTTATAGGGCCATGAAAAACCATCTCTCACATTTGTATCTTTACTTTTTGGACTTTGAGCAAACGGAGAAAGCAAAGGTTAGTGAGAGATAGGTAATAAGAATATATGCGTAGATGCAGAGGTGCAGAGTGTGTTGGCATTGTATCTTTATGTTAAGATAGAAAGAAAAGAAAAGCAGGATCTTAATGCTTAATGCCTTACTTTACTTTTATGTACTGTCCCAGTTATCATCATCTTCTTCGGACCTATTTCCTGGAAAAGAGAATGTACAATGATGTCAAAATCAGATATCAGATCCTCTGGTTGATTAATCTCTCTTGCAAATTCTTATTAGATTCAAAAGTCTTGAACGACTGAGAGAGAAGGTAAGAGAACTTACATATGAAATGAGATGATGAAAACTTCAAGGGAAAGGGACTTGAGTTAGTAATCTTCATTGTGAGGTGGTGTTGCCTCCACACCTTCGTCTTCGTCTTCATCCTCATCCTCACTTGCATCATCTACCCAGTTACTAGGATGACGCTGAGAGAAACTTTGGTTGTTCGCAGCTCGTACTGAGGAACAACAAGTGACAGACAAGTGAATATTCTTTTCACTTTAAGTGGCCAAAGAAACAGAAAAAGCTGTAGAATTTTTTTTGCAGGTACCTCGGGATCCTTCGGCGTGATCCATCTGTGTGAGATGTTGTCTGACATAAAGTCAAAGATAACTAAAGCAGATACCGAAAGAGAAACAGTCACTGAGATGTGCGAGTTTGAATTACGGAGTATGCTAAAATGATTGGCAGCTAAATAGGCTAAGAAAATGCACCTTAGAAGCCAATTGCAACTACACAATTATGGACTATGACTTAATGCTTAACTAAAACAGGCCAAGAAGTGTATGATTTGTGTGATATTGAGAGATGTAACTTGAAGGATACGAGTTAGAAGCTCCAGGAGCATTGTCTCCAGCTGGTCCACCTTTTGATATGTTCATATCTCTAATTCTTTGGCTATTGAAGTCTGGTTGTCCTTGAGCCTGTGGCCTCTCTACAGAACCGTTGACGCTCTTAGTGCCAGTTCCTGCTGTCCAGTATTGATGTCACCCAGACTTTTAGTTATCAGACAAACGGTGAATACAAATCACACCCATGAGATGCGCTACTACCTGAAAGCTCAGACCAAACTCGTGTGTGATCAGAGGCATTCTGCCTAGACCTTTCTTGAGGCTCTGATCCTACTTGCTCGGCAGCATGGCCACCTGCGGAGTTTGCTGCTTCTGCAGGTTCTGGCTGAACCCCTTCATGAAGCTGAGACACAAGCATTGTCGCAAGAACGAGTGTGGCATCAAAACTTGAGCTTGACCCATCACCCACGCCGAATTTTGGAGCCATCAGTATTGGCCTGGAAACAAATTATTGTGTTTCAATGTGTGATTTAGCAAGCATGTTTGAGTAGTTTTTAGAAGTATTGTCCAGAATCAATTTGCGGCTACACAGAAAGATGGGAATTATTAAGCGAGACACACGAGATGGAAAAGGAAATGGTTCTTACTCGCCAGATTTTTCGAAGAAAAGATGAATGTCGGCTTCACAGCCTTCACAAAACGAAAGAAATGCCTGAAATTTTGTTGAAGACATTTGATTAACACAAGGAAAGGTGGATAAATGTCAAACCAGGCTTCAGGTGGGGAGGAATGTTATATATACCTTTAGTTCCTTCAAGGAAAACGTGATGTCAATAGGATCACCTGCGTGAGTATACTGCAAAAACTCTTCTGATGGATCTATCCATAGCTGAGTATGTAACAAAGCCTCACCATCTACGTGTGGAAAAAGAGAATTGTTATCAGATTTTTTACACAAGGAGCCTGATTAACCCAACCTTGGCATTATTTTATAGTCCTAACCTTTGGTTGGATCCACATAGCTCCGAAATTCAACAGCTTTCCCACCTATTTCACTTGCAGCATCAGAGGGAAAAGAAGTTTGGTCTGTAGCAATGATTGTAATCTCTTGGAGGGATGACTGGAAGTTTCCAAGCAACTTGCTCAGATTCCGAGGATGCACAACTAAGCTACTCGGAAATCTACTCCTATCAAGCGACAGCTGCTGTATATCTGGTTCCACATTGCAAGTAATCCAATACGTCTTCTTCATACCTACCACATATTCCAAAAAGATACAACAAATTTCAAACCAGGCTCCAAACGAATTACTAGTTGCAGACACTAGCACAAAGGAATATGATTTTTACCACTATAACACTCCATTGTCCATTTGACCTTAGATGCGTCGTGATCTGGCAACTGCACACTCATATGATCAATGCTCGCAACAGGGGTCCTAAGAACAGAACAAACTGCCTGGAAAAGTAATACAAGAGACAATATCTTAGAACAGTAAATTCAATAATTCGGCTTCATTCAGAATTGAAAGATGATAAAGTAAATACCTTCAAGAGGACACTGAAATGAGCTTGAGGACCAGTCACAGCATAAGCATCAAAGAAACTCGACTGAAATGTTATATACTGAAATGCAGAGCGTGAAGCATTCAAAGCGTGCAATCCCAGCTGCAGTTGAAACAAAAAAGCAATTAAGTACATTCAAACAAACCTATTCCGATTAACTCTATTTCCTCTTCCCCTAATCATTTCGAACTTTTTCAGAGGCATTTCTAAACAGAAACGAAGCATGTTTAGCTAACAGAGGCATGAACATCAAATTCAATCCACACAGCGTTACCCAATCCTCTAGAAAGCTCAGAATCTAATACTGTTGGGTACTTGAAATTGATGAACTCGTAATTTTTCGCTAAAAAAAAAAAGCAGAAACGCCATCGCTTGCTCAGGATTGTCAATAGAAATTGAACCAACTCTCGAATATAGCAAACCGCGAACTCCACATATCCCCAATCGTGTAAAACCCTAGTCGTCTGTACTAATCAACTTAGAGGTCAATCAAATTGCAAGCGCCTCACCAATTACCATTCAATCGTCAAAACTAGGGCTACGAGGAACCGAGAAGTCAGTTAAACGAATAGAAGAGAACCTGAGTCGGCGAAGCTTGAACGACGAGCTCGTTTCCGACGCGTGCGAGGCAGATTATGGACCTAGCGAAGGTCTTGAGCGCATTGCCGCTGATACTGAACTCCATCTCTCTCTCTCTCTATCTCTCTCTCTCCCCGGGGAGAAAATTCAAAATCTGAAAACAATTTGGTCAATGACTTTCAATGCGGTGACGACGATTGGCGGGATCGCCATGGAAGCCTGAAACTGAACGCGCGAAAATATTTTTATCTCGCAATTGTACTGTTTTCGTTTACCGAGCCACGCGTATCTAATAACATCGGCAATTATTTGATTTCTTCTATTTTCTTTTTTTTTTTCTCGCAAATGGAATCTACAATTTCCAATTATTTGATTTCTCTGCTCAAAATGATGAAAGTGAATTCAATTTTTCCAACCCAAACTTAAATAACCATCATCACTTTGGGAAGCCGTTGAATGCAACTAGATAGAGAGAAGTTTGTGTAAAACCATATGTGTCCTTACTAAAAAGATACGAGAATGTAATAAAATATGCGTAGAGGCAGAGGTTCAAAGCATATGCATAACAAACAAACATGAATGAACAACGCAGCACACGATTGACGCACCTAACACTACACATATATGCATATTGTTTCACATTTTTCTTCGATTCGAGATAGAGAGAAATTATTAGACTATGGTTTGTAATTAGACTTAACCGGTTCCTTATCTTGATGTAAACCGGAATCAATCTCTCATATAAGAGATCCGTTGTAACACTAAATGAAAGCAACACAAATCATTTTCTCTTTCTTCTCTCTCCCTCTTCACCATTTCTAATTCTCTAATATGGTATCAGAGCGTGAGCTCAAACGCTCACTCGATCCTTCGTCCCTTCTCTTTTCCTTTTGATTTTCCTTCTATTGACCTTAATCGATCGGTGATTCTCCCGTTCGATTCTTCTCCGTGAAAGGTTTTTGGTCATTCCGCCAAATAACCACAAATTTCACTTTTATCTTCAAATTTCAGCTCCAGATCTACTTCAATGGTGATCGGAAGAAAGGTTACTACTCGCCGTGGTTCACGGTCTTCAACTTCAGCACGACGAGCTTCCATTCCCGAAGACTCGCCTCCCGGATCTCCGATTGCTCCTGATCTCTTCTCGGAATCGATCGACAGTATCCACTCTCCATTCCATCTCACTAGCGGTGATAATCCAGGCATCTCGCTCATATCTGAGGTACTCGATGGATCCAACTTCGATAATTGGCGTATTGCGATGAACATTGCTCTCGATGCTAAAAATAAGTTAGCATTTGTTGATGGATCTCTCCCTCGTCCAAGCGAATCCCATCGACATTTCAGAATCTGGTCTAGATGCAACTCTATGGTGAAATCATGGCTTCTCAACTCAGTCTCGAAACAGATCTATCGGAGCATTCTACGTTTCAACGATGCTTCGGAGATTTGGAAGGATTTACTCACGAGGTTCCATATCACAAATTTACCTCGTTCTTATCAGTTATCCCAGCAGATTTGGTCTCTTCAGCAAGGATCAAATGATCTAGCTACTTACTACACCAAATTAAAGACGCTATGGGATGAATTAGATGGAGCGGATTGTGTGACTACTTGTGGATCTTGTGATTGTTGCAAAGCTACTTCGACTAAATCTGATCATGCTAAGGTCATTAAGTTCTTGGCAGGATTGAATGATAGTTATGGTGTGATTAGAAGCCAAATTATCATGAAGAAACATATTCCGGAACTCTCTGAGGTATACAACTTGCTTGATCAAGATCACAGTCAACGAAGCTTCTCTCCTGTTCAGAATGCTACTGCGTTTCAAATGACTGTCCCTGATCCAGCTCCTTCTTCCGTCAATGCTGCTTCAGCTCCATACAGGTCTAATCCGAATCGCCCTATCTGCTCTCATTGTGGTTATAATGGTCATACCATCGAGACATGCTACAAGATTCATGGATACCCTATTGGCTTCAAGCACAAGTCGAAGCAGCAGCCAGATAAACCGGGATTCTCAGCTCAGAAACCTCAGTCTTCTCAGAAACCAGTAGTTGCTCAGCTTGCTATCTCATCTGCAGGCTCTAATGACAACAAGCTTCACGAAATCATCAACACACTTTCAAAGGATCAGATTCAAGGCGTGATTGCTTATTTCAATTCTCAGCTGCAAATGTCGCCTCAACAAAACGCAGCTTCTTCAAATTCAGGTGGAACTATCACGGCACTTCCCGGTATGGCATTTTCTTCCTCTACGCTTTGCTTTGTTGGTGCATTGCGAGCTACTGGAAATGCCTTATCATCTCAGTCATGGATCATAGACAGTGGGGCTACTCACCATGTCTGTCATGATAAGAATTTGTTTGTTAATATTTCTGATTCTTTGAATAGAGCAGTCACACTACCTACTGGCATTGGAGTTGAGATTGCTGGTATTGGTACTGTTAAGTTGAATGCTTCCTTGGTTTTGAACAATGTCCTGTTTATCCCTCATTTCCGACTGAATCTACTCAGCATAAGTCAGCTTACAAAGGATTTGGGTTATCGTGTGGTTTTTGATGAAAGTTCTTGTATGATACAGGATCATACCAAGGGGCTGATGATTGGTCAGGGTGACGAGATTTCGAACTTATATGTTCAGGATACAGCTGCTCTCACAGATAACATTGCATCTTCTTATATGTGTTCCAATATTGTAGTCGACTTGACTGTTTGGCACAATAGACTAGGTCATCCTGCTATGTGTAAAACAGATTTTTTGAAAGATGTACTTGGTGTTAAACAAAGGAATAAAGATTCACATTGTGCTATTTGCCCTCTTGCAAAGCAAAAACATATTCCTTTTGTTTCCAAGCATAACATCTGTGAGCATCCTTTCGATTTGTTACACATTGACACTTGGGGTCCTTTTTCTGTTCCTACTGCAGAGGGTTACAGATATTTCTTGACCATTGTGGATGACCATACTCGTGTCACATGGGTATATTTGATGCGTACGAAGGATGAGGTTCTCACTGTTTTTCCTGAGTTTTTGAAGATGGTGGAGACTCAGTATCACGCAGTTGTTAAAGGTGTCAGGTCTGATAACGCTCCAGAGTTGAAATTTGCTTCTCTGTTCAAGCAGAAAGGGATTGTTTCTTACCATTCATGCCCGGAAACGCCTGAGCAGAACTCGGTGGTGGAACGAAAACACCAACACATTCTCAACGTGGCCCGAGCTCTTATGTTTCAAGCCCACGTCCCTCTAGAATATTGGAGTGACTGCGTTCTCACGGCCGTGTTTTTGATCAACCGGCTACCTACACCTCTACTCAATGACAAGTCTCCATATGAAGTATTGACTACCAAGCCTCCGGACTACAGTGGCTTACGAGTCTTCGGTTGTCTTGCTTACTGTTCTAGTTCCTCAAAACATCGTCACAAGTTTCAACCACGTGCAAAGTCTTGTGCCTTTCTGGGCTATCCTGCTGGTTGTAAAGGTTACAAACTACTGGACTTGGAATCAAACACGGTACACGTCTCGAGGAATGTCGTGTTCCATGAAGAAATTTTTCCATTTTCCACAGGTGACTCGGATTTTCCTCTTGATTTCTTCAATCTGGATTCAGAAACTTTGAACACTGATAGTCCAAATATGGTTCATCGGGCTGTTCCTGTAGTCGAGGTTGGCGCTCCTACGGTCGAGAACATTAATCCCACCCATATTTGTTCTCGTTCTGAAGTTTCTAATCCCGGAAATGAAGAGGAAAATACGAAGAGAGCTTCCAAGCGACCTGCTTATTTGGAGGAATACTATTGCCATGTTCAAGATGCAGATATTCCGTATCCTCTGGCGAATTTCATGTCTTATGGACAGCTCTCAGATGAATACAGAGCTTACATTTGTGCTCTAACCTTACTACCTGAACCGGTCTCTTTTAAAGATGCTCTGAAGTTCGATGAGTGGATTCAGGCTATGAACGAAGAATTAATGGCACTTGAGAAGACGGATACATGGGATATATGCTCTCTGCCTCCTGACAAACACGCTATTGGCTGCAAATGGGTTTACAAGCTCAAGCTCTTGGCGAATGGTTGTTTGGAACGGTATAAGGCCCGTTTAGTAGCAAGGGCTACACGCAGCAAGCCGGTGTGGATTTTGTTGACACATTCTCCCCTGTTGCTAAGATGACTACGGTGAAGACCCTTCTCGCCGTCTCCGCTGCAAAGAATTGGAGTTTGAAACAATTAGATATCTCCAATGCTTTTCTGAATGGTGAACTTGAAGAGGAGATTTACATGACCCTCCCTCCTGGTTACACACCTAAGGAAGGTGTCACTTTACCACCAAATGCAGTCTGTAAGTTGAAGAAATCTCTCTATGGACTTAAGCAAGCCTCGCGTCAATGGTTTCTCAAATTCAGTTCTACACTTTTGCATTTGGGTTTCAAGAAGTCGCATGCTGATCATACGCTTTTTATCAAACGCGTTGATGGTCATTATATTGCTGCTCTGGTATATGTGGATGACATCATTATAGCTAGTAATAATGATGAAGATGTTCAGTTACTAGTTGCAGATCTGCAGAAAGCTTTTAAGCTCCGAGATTTGGGTGAATTACGCTACTTTCTGGGTTTGGAGATTGCTCGTTCCAGAAAAGGTATCTCCATCTGTCAGAGGAAGTACACACTCGAACTCCTTGAAGAAACGGGTATGCTTGCGTGTAAGCCTTCGAGTATACCTATGGACCCTAGTTTGAAACTCGCTTTGGATTCTGATGAACCGGTTCTTGAGGATATTACTCCGTATCGCCGCCTTGTAGGGAAGATGATGTATCTCACCATCACTCGCCCTCATATCACCTACGCCGTCAATCGGTTATGTCAGTTTACCTCAGCTCCAAAGGCGTCGCATCTTAAGCTGCGCACAAAGTTCTTCATTACTTGAAAGGCACGATCGGCTTGGGTGTGTTCTACTCAGCTGATTCTGACTTACTCCTCAAAGGGTTTACTGATGCAGACTGGAACTCTTGCACTGATTCCCGTCGCTCCACCTCTGGTTTTTGTATGTTCCTTGGTCCTTCTCTTATCTCTTGGAAGTCCAAGAAGCAACAAACCAGTTCTCACTCTTCAGCGGAATCCGAGTACCGCGCTATGGAGTTCGCCGTTCGTGAGATTTCGTGGCTCGTCAATCTTCTCACTGAATTTGACGTCCATCAGCCTCAGCCGGTGGCGTTCTACTGCGATTCCACTGCTGCAATCCATATTGCCAATAATGCAGTCTTTCACGAGCGGACCAAGCACATTGAGAATGATTGTCACATTGTTCGTGATCGTATTGTGAGTGGCCTGATCAAGACGCTGCATATTCGTACGGAGACGCAATTGGCGGATGTCTTTACTAAACCATTGTATCCTACTCAGTTTCAGTTTCTTATTGGCAAGATGTCGTTATTGTCAATATACCCGCCATCTTGAGGGGGGGTATTAGACTATGATTTGTAATTAGACTTAACCGGTTCCTTATCTTGATGTAAACCGGAATCAATCTCTCATATAAGAGATCCGTTGTAACAGTAAATGAAAGCAACACAAATCATTTTCTCTTTCTTCTCTCTCCCTCTTTACCATTTCTAGTTCTCTAATAGAAGTCTTTACCTAAGATGACAACCACCGAAAACATGTAACAATTACATTGAAGATAGTCAATCCACCGATTTGTTCCCCCCTCCAACTTTCTTGAAAAAAAAACCCCAAAAGCTCAATATATTATGAAGTTTATTTTGTTTCTTTGCAAAGAACAACTATATAGTCTAAACCTATCCTAGAGTTAATTCTAATCCAACGGTTAATTCTGAACATGTCTATGAATTCATCTCCTCCATCTTCTGCATCCTCTGAATCACTGTAAATGACAGTGAATTAACTCAAAGATTGAAGAAAGATTGAAGAAAGATCAATAATCAATGAATATTGTGATAGACAAATAATTACATGGTTGGATTATAGCTTTGTTGTCTTCTTGCACCTTGAGACGAAACTTCTCCATTACTTCTTCTTTCGCTTTGGCTTCCTTCTCTGAAATGTAGAGCTGGTAAGCTCCATGAACAGCAGCGACGGCCATAGGCACCACGAAGCGGGAGATGGCGTGGAGGCCTGCCGCGCCGTCGTACTCCTTATTTGCGGAGTACGACGACTCCTCTCCAATCACGAAGAGAGCCACTCATGACCCAACGTTACTGACCGAATATGCATAATCATTGACAATAAAATATAACAACACAAATTATCTTAAGCAAGCATGCATTAATTTGTCATGCATGATAATTATCAAAGTCAAAGGTTAACGAAGGAGAAGAATGAAAAGAGAAATCAATATCAAATTTAAGAAATGTGTATGTTTAGTGTATTATCCAAAATAACAAATAGTAATAATAGTTTGTAAAAATCTATACTATATAAAAGTTGAGGCTATAAGCCTCTAAGAGCGTCCACATCAGCTTTTAAAAAACCAATTAAATTTTGCCAAATCAGCATTTTAATTTTAAAATCGAAAATTAAATAATTTTTTGAGAAAAAAATTACATTATTGTATTAAAGAATGGAAATTGTACTATTTTAAATTTTAATACTTACATTACGACACTAATTACCTTAACCCATTATTTTAAATAGTTTAATGGAAATTTAACATAAAAAGAGTTAAACTGAAAAAAGAACATATTATTGGAAAAGCTAAACTAATATAAAAGTTGAGGCTATAAGCCTCTAAGAGCGTCCACATCAGCTTTTAAAAAACCAATTAAATTTTGCCAAATCAGCATTTTAATTTTAAAATCGAAAATTAAATAATTTTTTGAGAAAAAAATTACATTATTGTATTAAAGAATGGAAATTGTACTATTTTGAATTTTAATACTTACATTACGACACTAATTACCTTAACCCATTATTTTAAATAGTTTAATGGAAATTTAACATAAAAAGAGTTAAACTAAAAAAAGAACATATTACTGGAAAAGCTAAACTAACTAATTAAAATAAAAAGGAAATTAACAATTTAGCTATTTCAATCTTTGGCATTGCCTATAAATAGTCCTCTAAACTTTACAAGAGTTCTAAAGACAACCATATTCTTGAGAGAGAGAGAGAGAGAGAGAGAGAGAGAGAGAGATTATTAAAATAGCTGTCTTTTTCCAGCTTTTCTGTTTCTGATCAGTTACGGCATCCTTTTATTTTCGATGAACTCACTAAAGATTTTGTAAGAAAGAGCTGCTTGCTAGAGTCATCCATTCTGGGGAGACAAGGAATACTAAAAAAGAAGATCTGCTTATGAGATATGAACTGCTTCTAATTGATTAAAAGGTAACGGCACCAATATTATTTACCAATTACCAATAGAAAGTTAAATCATCATCAGCTTATAATACTCTTTTCTACCATAATCTATAATATATAAAAATTGAGGCTATAAGCCTCTGAGAGCGTCCACATAGGATTTAAAAACACAATATTACTGGTCCATGTAAGCATCTCAATATTAGGAAAGTTTCCAAATTTTAAATAACCAATAATATCATTCCACATCATTATATAAAATAAAGTTTATTTGTTAAAATTAATTAATCATCTTTTTATATTTCAAGAAAGTTTCCTAATTCCAAAATAACCAATAGTATCATTCCACATCATCATATAAAATTGACTATCTTAATTTGATTAGTCTACATAAACATTTACGTGATTAAAAAGAAAATTTGATTTTTAAATATGTAAGATATAAGAAAATTAAGTATATATGATTTTAAACAACCAATAGTATCATTCCACATAATTACTAAAATTAAGTAATTATTTTCCTTTTTATATTTTAGAACAGTTTATTAATTAAATACTTTAGAAAATAAATAAAAGTATATATTTTCTAATTACAATAAAAAAAAACCTTTGTCATGTAAATTGGTCATATTAAATTTTAAAAAACTAATATTATTAGTACACATGAGCTTATTTAACACTAATATTTTTTTTGCTAAGACAATAACAAAAGATATGAAACCAAAAAAGAACACATAGGAGGAATAAAGAAGATCATAACCGAAGATGAGTGAAAATAAATAAAAAATCAAATAAGAATAAAAAAGAAATCAAAGTAGGAAAAACTACAGAAGAATAAATTTACAAAAAAACATAGAAACAAGAGTGAAGAAGGCAATGAAACCAAACAAGAACACAAAGAAATAATAAACAAGAGCAAAGACAAAGGAAAGCGAAGCCCGAAGAAGAGCAGAAACGAAGATGAGTGAAGATAAATATGAAACCAAATAAGAACAAAAAAAAATCAAAGTAGGAAAAATTGAAGAGACTAAATAAATAAAATTTAAAAACATAGAAACAAGAGTGAGTGAAGAAGGAAATGAAAAACCACAATGTGTGTCGATTAGCTTTTCTTCAAATAAATTTTATACTCCTAGAAATCCAACATAAATATTAGTATTAGGTTATCTACAATATTATTAGTTTTTGTAGCTAAAATTGTTAGACGTACAATTTATTTTTGAAGGCTTAGCTAGATAGTGAAAAAATTTCTACCTAAGATTAAAGAGGTTAATATTAAACATATTTACAAAAAGTATAGTCATGGAGAATTTAAAGCGAAGAACAACTAATGCATAGAAGAAGAGGAAGTTGGAATAAACATACTCTGGAGAAACGCAGCATTTTCGATAGAAAATATGAATCATAGAAGAAATAGAAATAAGAACCAAGAAAAGCAAAGAAAAAAAGGTTGATGAAGAAAAGAAAAGACGAATAAAACAAAGAACGAAAATATAAATAAAAAAACCCACATAATATAAAGCTAAACCAAGAAACCAAATAAAAAGATGAACCAAAGAATATGAAAATTGAAAGCTATGCTTAACTATATCATTATGATCGCATAAACTGAATTATTTGTATTATTATTAGGCATTGGTCAGTATATGTCTAAATATATATTTGTATATCTCTAACTTAATTTTATTTCTATGAATCTTTTACATTTTTAAATTTGGTTTAGGGTATCAGATAGTAAAAAAATTATTTTACCTAATTAAATTAAAGATTTCTAAAAAGGATAAAATCGTGAAACAAATTCCAGCAGAAAATAATCTAGAAAAAAAATAACAAAAAAAAAGTAAAACTCTAGCAACTTCGACCGTCTGAACTAATCATAGAAGAAACATAAGAACAATAACCAAGACGAACACAAAGAATATGAAGAAAAAAAAGTGAAGACAAGAATATCAAAGAACTAAGACAAAAAAAAACAAAAGATGAACAAAGATGAAGAAATAGACCAAATAACGGAATAAGAAACCGCGAGAAGCCGAGAATGAATAAATATAAAAGGAATAAAGATGAAGAAGAAACCAAAATAAACAAAAAGAAACCAAATAAATAAGAATAGACCAAAGAAAAATAAACTAAGGACGAAAAATAAAAATATTGGTTCAATAGTCACCATGAACATGCTCTTGACGACAAAAGTTTAGGAATAAAAAATATTTAATCAAACTATTAAAATAGACCCGCGCGTGCGTGGGTAAAAGACCTAGTCTATACTATATAAAAGTTGAGGCTATAAGCCTCTGAGAGCGTCCACATAGGATTTTAAAACGAGATTTGATTGGTCCATATAAGCATTAACGATATTAAGAAAGTTTCCAAATTTTATACAACCAATAGTATCAGTCCAAATCATTATATAAAATTAAGAAAATTTCCAAATTTTAAACAACCAATAGTGTTAATCTATATCATCATCTAAAATTAGCTAATTTCTTTTTATGTTTCAAAAAAAATAATTAATATAACTCATTTAAATTAGAAACTCCATAAGTTCAAAGTAATTAAACTAATATAGTTTTTCAATATACAATTTGAGGCTAAATGTCTCTAAGGGTGTCCATATAAGATTATAAAACTGCATCTTATTGGTCCTCATAAGCATTTACATAATTCAGATTTTTTTTTTCTAATTTTAGACAGTCAATAGTATTAATCTATATCATCATCTAGAATTATAATTGTTTTTCAAAATTTTAAACAATCAATATTATTAATCTATATGATCATCTAAAATTAGCTATATTTTTTAATTTGTTAATTTCTTTTATGTTTCAAGAAAATTAATTAATATAGCCGGTTTAAATTAGAAACTCCACAAGTCCAAACTAATTCAATTAAGATTTTTTTTTTGTTAAAAATATCATTTACTACATTTTAAAATTATATTAAAAACATTTGTGTAACTACAATATTAGTTATAAAAAAATTTAAAAACCTAAATGTGAATTCTCTTTGACCGGAATTAAGTTTTTATAAATAAAATGTAAGTTACATCTTAATAACTGAAGAATTGTTCTAAGCAAACAAAGCCAACATTGCAAGGAGTTGGCCTCAACATTACATAATCTATGTATAAAAAAAGGAGAAAGAAAAAATAAAGCGTAATGTCCTGTAGAAGACATGTAAGTTCATTTGGAAGTTTTTTTAAGTGATGAGATAGATTAAGCTTAAGAGGTAAAACAAAAATTCAAGAAAACAGTAACATACTAGATAAAACTTTCTTCATCGTAGGAACTTCAAAAAAATGGCCGAAAAGGTAAATAGTTTGTTTGAATTACTATAAAGCAGAAGAATTTAAAAGAGAATTAATAGTCCAACTCATACTACAACTTTTCGAGAAAGCATTCCATCCTACATCAGCAAAACAATTGTTTGTATTTGGGAGGATATTGGAGGTCAAACGGAAAGGGAGAGAAGAGGTTGATGTCTTAGTTGAGCTTTGGGTATCATTTCATTCATGGACATACTTCACAATCACATCTTTTAAGAAGATTCCATCTTTATTACAAATCATGATATTCAAATAAGAAAAGATCACGAGTTTTTAAAAATGTCAAAATATATAAAAATAAAGAAGTATAGACAATAAAATTAGTATGGGCATAATAATCATCTTGCCTACATCTTTAAAGAGTTCTCGAAAAATATGTGAGTCTGTCATAAGTTTATTGAGAAGCAGGGCTGGATTCTAGACTCAAACTATAGAAGGACATACGAAGAAGATATGGAGATAGTCTCTTTACTAAGCATACTAATTTACAAAAGTCGGATAAAAAAAAATATTCTTCCCATATAACACACACGTTGACATTATGAGTATTTGGACTGCAAATATATGTGTTACATTTTTTTTAATACAAAGAAAATAATTGAAAAAGTAGTGTTTAGTGTAAAATTTTATTTGAAAAAAAGATTTGTAAACAAAAAAAATGAGGATTTGAGTAACCTCAAATAATTTTTGGTTATTAAACAGACGAAAACATTTTCGTTACCGGAATTTGATCTAAATAACATTTTCAAGATTTAATCTCAACAAGATATATATTGGTATATCTAAAAACTTTTGTTTTCCATAGAATTTTGGTATTAATAGATTCGTATATTTTAGTTGTTGACTTTTGCAGTTTAAAAAAATTATTCATTAAAAATATACATTAAATCAGTTTAAAATAAAGACCCGCGCGTGCGCGGGTGAAAGCCCTAGTCAAGTCAAAGTCTTACAAATATAATATCATACTTAATTGCTAGACCCATCTTGGATTAGAGTTGATAAATTTATATCGTAAACTGAGTATTAACAATTTTTAACTGCATTTTTGCTATAGTAATAGATCTAGATACATACATTATTTCAATTTCTATACTAGCACAGCTTGATAGTTTAGACTTACATTTTATAATTGTCCCTTTCTTTTTGTTTATTTGATCTTTTACAATAGCAAAAATTGCTACTTATTTAATCGGCCTCGATGGATAACACTTAATGGGCTTTCAATGGCAAAATGTATATAATTGAGTCCATATCTCTCGATTGGTGACTAGTTCCAAACGTAGAATAATGAATAATACTTTGTTGTGTTCGGTGGTGTCCTTAATTAGCATTTACTGTTATAAAAAAGGAACAGAATATATATAAAAAATTGCGAAAATATTGTTGTCGCGTGACAGAGACAAATCTCGCAATTGTACTGTTTTCCTTCACTGAACCACGCACGTATCTAACATCGTCAATTATTTTATTTTTATTTGTTTTTATAGAAAAAACAGTTGAATTGTTTTATTCCTCTCTCGCAAATGGAATCCACAATTTTCGATTTACCTCTAGAGCTACCATGTGATCTATCCGACAATTCATGGGCTAGTATATTTGTATTTAAATTTTTGTTTGTTTCTCCGAAATATTTCCTTACTTTATTCTGAAGACAAAGTAGGTACAAACAACTCTCTGTAAATATAGATTCCTTTATTTTATGCTAAATGTAGACAGAACAAAGTTAACATAAACTCTTTTGAGATGACTCTGAGAATTGCAGACAAAAGTCGTAACTTTCTGCAATCAACTTTGTAATATGACAGAAGTTAGATACTTTTGCAAAATTCGTCCCTAAATCATGGTTTCCTATTTTTATTGGTCTTCTCGATACGTAGACTTCTAAACTCATTTTGTTTATTTGATTGATAAGTTAAGCCAATCTCTCTCATCACTTCAACTTCTTGTAAATACTAAATACACGTGACTCCATTCGTTGGAAAAAGTTTGTAATCACTCTTGAAAGCGCAATCGAAAGCCAAAAGCCAGCTTTTCTAAAAAGTCATTCATCATATTAAGATAATAGAAAAAATGTTAGAACTTTTCTCCAAAAAAATTCACCACCAACCTATTGGTCTGAATGATCTCTGTAGCAAGATTTCTCCCCATATGACTTAATTTTGAGTAAAACATCAATCATATCACTCTTTCATACAGAACTGAGAAGGGATGTGACGAAACGAGACAAAGTAATACTCTCTTATAGTATACTTTCAATAATAACTTTTTTGTTTCTATACAGAAATTTAAGATTTCATTTGAATACGTTACATAATATATTCTCGTATATTTATAACAATACTTATCATCAATTAAAAATTTATCTGCAAGGCCAAGTTACACATATTGTGTCACTAAATTACTACAACAAAACGTTTTCTCACATACTGTCACATAATTTTGTAAATATCCTTAAATAGCTCATGAAAGAAAACATATGAAAGGGAATGATATGTTCGTTAGGTATGTGCATATACATTCATATCAAACAAATAGATTATAGTATACAATAAATACAAATATAATTTTTTTATATATTGTAATTGCCTCTTAAAACAATGGTGGGTTGAGAGGAACAAGGAAAGCTTGTACATTAAATTACCAAATGTTCGAAGAAGCCAAATGTGCCAACAACAGGACCCACTTCACACCAACACCATCATGCTCCTTTTTATCTTCTTTTTGCTTAGATTTTCTCGTTTTAAACTGTTTTTCTTTCTTTCTAATCTCCTCCTTAAACAAAAAAGCTGTGTTCAACTAACTTAAACTAAAAAGTAAAAAAGCTTCAGAACGTCACCACATTAGTTCCAAGAAAATCTGCACTAATATACATTTGTTCCTTTATCCAATCCTTTTTATCAGTAACAAAATAGTATTTTGTTTTAGTTAAGTGATTACCTAAATTGGTGGGTATAAATTGCAAACTAAGCTGTGTTGTTCTGCAAGGAGAGTTAATGGAGAAGGAGGGTATTACCATTACCAGTACAACTACAGTTGCAGAGCTCAGAGGTTCCTTGGAGTAGCATTAAAGTCTGAAAGATAGAAAAATAAAATAAAAAATGAGCTTTATCTAATAAATGGTTTCTTTTTGTGATTCATAGAGGTGATGATTTGTTTTTACAGAGAAAAGATCTGAAAAAAAAATAGAAAATGGTTTGTTTTCGTCAGATTTTTCTCATGATCATTGTAGTGGCGATATCATTACAATGCAGCAAAGTTAGATTCTTTAGCATTTTTGCTGATGCTAGAGAGCTTGATGACTGGAAGGTTCTAATGGTGGATAACGGTGAGAGATATCGGAGCCAGATCGGAAAACTCGTCGGTGAAGACGGTGGCGGGAAGAAAGAGTTTCGGGTTTTGGAAAAGTTCCGAGCTTTGCTCGATTTGTTAAAACCCTCTACTTCCCGGCGAAGAAATCTCGCAGTTTCTGCTCCTTACTCTCCCTGGCCGGCGCCGTCGCCGTCTCCGTTTCCAAACGGTGGTCCAATCGAGTCTCCGGCGTATTCTCCAGCTCCTCAACGGCCAATCCCTCCGCATCTCCGTCGTCCGTTGCCTCAACGGACCCATCCATCGAGACAAACCGAGATTCAGAGACGGAAACACGAGAAAGAAGGAACATTTAAGAAGATTATCTTACCTGTCGTTGTTTCCACAGCTTCTGGAATCGGTTTCGTGATTTGTGTAGTGGGAGTGTTCTGTCTCTGCGCGAGAATCAGGAAAAGGAAGAAGAACGGTAAAACGCCGTCGTTTAAGCGGAAAAAGGGCAAATCTCAGAGCTCGACGAGGAAGGTTAGTACAAACCCTACGCTCGATTTCCTGTACTTAAACTCACTCGGAGCTGATTTGGAGAGACAAAGCTCTGTTTCCGTTAAAGAAATACGAGAAACAGAGAAGGATTTGAACGATAACAATGGCGTGTTGCTTGAGGAAGAGGTAAAGAGAAGCGTAGAAACAGAGATTTTGTCAGATTCGGACAATGCGAGTAGTTACTCGACGAAAGAGATCGTGTCGGTGCACGAAAACGATGATCAAACAGTAGACTCTGTTTCTGCTCCTGTTGTTGTGAATGGATGCGATTCTTCGGATGATGAGTCTTTTCATTCAGCTGGTGGTGGCTCTCAACGCTTCTCAGAACGCGAACTTGAGATTCCACAAGTCTCCGGAAAAGATTTCGGAATCTCTCCTCCACCACCGCCACCGCCACCGCCTCCACCGCTTCCAAAATCCTCAAACAAACGTTTTCACACTCTGTCTCTGCCGGAAACCGCTACTCTGCAGACGCTCTCGTCGCAATTATCTGAAAAGCTTTGTGCTTCTTCCTCGAGGCCAAGTCTTTCACAAGAAAATGATTCTAAATCGCTGCCGCCTCCACCCCCACCGCCGCCGCTACGGCCACAACAACCTCAACCTATAAACAAAACGCCGCCGCCTCCTCTGTCTCTAGATTTTACTCAGCGTAGGCCGTTAGGTAAAGATGGAGCTCCATTACCTAAACTGAAACCACTTCATTGGGATAAAGTCAGGGCAACACCGGACAGGACTATGGTTTGGGATAAGCTCAGAACAAGCTCTTTCGAGTAAGTCTACAACTTTCTATAGCCTTTTGCCACAATCAACCATAGTTTTTTGAAGAATTTATGATTATGTGTTTGTTTTGTTGGGGTTACAGATTAGACGAAGAGATGATTGAGTCGCTGTTTGGATACACAATGCAAAGCTCGGCGAAGAACGAAGAAGGGAAGAGCAAAACTCCATCTCCAGGGAAACACCTTCTTGAACCTAAGAGACTTCAGAATTTTACCATTCTCTTGAAAGCCCTAAACGCAACCGCCGACCAAATCTGCTCTGCCTTGGGGAAAGGTAAAACCAAGATCAACTCAAATTGATCCATTGCGAACTTGATCTGATTTTCAACCGTTTTATGGTTCCAGGGGAAGGCTTGTGTTTGCAGCAACTAGAAGCGTTGGTGAAGATGGTGCCGACTAAAGAAGAAGAACTGAAGCTGCGTAGCTACAAAGGAGAAGTGGATGAGCTTGGCTCGGCTGAGAAGTTTCTCAGGGCTCTCGTCGGAGTTCCATTTGCGTTTCAAAGAGCTGAAGCAATGCTTTATAGAGAAACGTTCGAAGACGAAGTGGTTCATCTCAGAAACTCCTTCTCAATGCTTGAGGTATTTTCATTTATGTTCATTTGTTGATTGCTTGCGTCACAAGATACAGTGATTTTTAACACAGTGTGTAATCTTATTAGGAAGCTTGCAAGGAGCTTAAGTCAAGCAGGTTATTCTTGAAACTCTTAGAAGCTGTTCTTAAGACTGGAAACAGGATGAATGTAGGAACCATACGCGGTGGCGCAAAAGCCTTCAAGCTTGACGCTCTGCTTAAGCTCTCTGATGTGAAGGGCACAGATGGGAAGACAACTCTGCTCCACTTTGTCGTGCAAGAAATCTCTAGGTCTGAGGGAATCAGGGTTTCCGACAGCATCATGGGACGGATTATGAACCAGAGATCAAACAAAAACAGAACAGCCGAGGAGATAGAGGAGGATTACAGAAGGATGGGGCTAGATCTTGTATCGGGTCTAAACACGGAGCTACGAAACGTGAAGAAGACGGCAACGATTGACCTTGAAGGTCTTGTTAACTCGGTGTCGAATCTGAGAGACGGGTTAGGGCAGTTGAGGTGTCTAGCGAGCGAGAAGCTGAAAGGGGACGAAGAAAACGGAGCATTCGTTAGTTCGATGAGCTCGTTCTTGAGACACGGAGAAAAGAGCTTGGAGGTGTTGAGGGAAGACGAGAAGAGGATAATGGAGAGGGTTGGAGAGATCGCAGAGTATTTTCACGGAGACGTGAGAGGAGACGAGAAGAATCCGTTGAGGATCTTTGTGATTGTCAGGGATTTTCTGGGGATGTTGGATCATGTCTGTAGAGAACTAAGGTGTGTTAGGGTTCCCAATAGCCCTAGCCCTCTGGCTCCCTTTCGATGAGCAATGTTGACTACAAACAGAGGTTTGACTGTTTGGTTTCTGTGGGAGTTTTACTTAAATGAAAATTATGAGTTGTTTATGATAACAGGATGGTTTTGGGGTCTAATGTGGATTATAGCTGGGCAAAGATTCAGACTTTTGAGCTTATGGAGAGTGATGTGACGATATGTATGGATTTGTATATGTTTGGTACTTTCAATTCTGTTTCTTTCTTTGATAGAAGTAAAAAAAAAATGTGTTTGTTCTGGATATTCAAACAAGGAATCCTCCGTTCCTCAAAGTTAGTTTGTCTTCTGGATCAAAACGCAGACTTTTGCACCACCTCATTTTACATTTAAGACCAGTTAATGCCACATTACAATTGTGAACTGGTGGTATAATCTTAACACAAGTCTTGTTTATAGACGGAGATCTCATCATATCTTCAATCACTAACATTACGGCTCTATAAATGTTAACTCAATATCTTCTCATTAAGTGTATTATACCTAGACTATCTCTGTATCGTGGTGTATATATGTAACCCCTCCTGTAATGGAATCACTTTCAATATACATTTACAGTAGGGACTCTTATATAGGGATGTTTTGGTAGACTTGGAAATGGAATAAGCCAATATTTGAGATTACCTGTGTTGCAAACTTATTATATACAATAAAACCATAATGTCACGTTGCTGAATTAGACAAAGCCAACAAAATACATATGTGGATAAAATACGTTCTTCTCTCTTTATTCAATAAATAAATTTTTATTAGACATTCACACATTTTATAACTTGGTTTTTCCACCAATCTCCGCTTAATTAATTTCAGCAATTTGGATTCTCTGGATTACAAGGTCTGCAATCTGGAGTAGCTGGAGTACAAGGCCAGTCGTGAGGTAATCTATTAGGCTCCATTGCGTCACCTTGTTTCAAATGGCAGTGTGGAGTCCCTGGATGACACGGTCCATCATAGCCCGCTTCAACTACAGTTGTATCCATTGGTCTACCGTCCACGAGATCTTGTCCTTTAAATGTTTAGTCAAACAAAAATCGTCACAAGAAGGTTTCGATCTATATAGGTTTATTTCCAGTAGGTTTCTCATTCTCACATCTATATATATAAAACTATTCCTTCGATCTATAATGGCATCACATTCACATGCAAACAGAATACATATAGATTAATTTCAATTGCATAAATATTCATCTTCTAATTTTTTTTTTTTTATACAGATATGAACTGAAGTGTTCAGAAAAAAAAACCTACATAGTGAAAAGTAAATTTACTTACGAAAGACAAGAACAAGAAGAGAAACCAATAACAAAAGTTGCAAGGAAGTGCTCTTCATTCTCACAGAGGAATTTTTTGATATAATGTTTTTTCTGTTGTTATGAAGTTATGTAGCTAATCTTCGTCGCTTTTTATAGTGCAATGGTAAGTTAATGGTTTGACCATAAAATCTTGAAGGAGTTAATATTTGGATTTGACCAATGACTAAATCGAATCTTACTTTATCCAAAAAAAGCTAAATCGAATCTTAAAACTTAAATGCATGATGCAAACATGGACTTTATCAAAAGAAAATGATGCAAACATGGAAATGTTTTGAAATTTTGACAGCAGACGATAGCTGTAGATTAGCACATACCATGGCAACCTTACTCTTAAGTCTTAAGGCTTTACATTTTACAGTTTTGAAAATCATTTTTTTTTGCCACATATGCTTGTTGACTTTTTTTTTTGTATTTTGAAAGGGTTACAGTCCTTTTTTTGTTTGTTCATCTTGTGGATGTTTTTGTGTAGAGTCGGCCCAAACGAGACTTTGAAAACTTTTTTATTTAATTTTGAAAATATATAACATGTGCTTTTGTTATGTCACTATTGATATCTAAATCTGTTATAATTCATGATCTTAACAAACAAAAATTTATGTGTTAAAGTAAAGTTACAGTTTTTACAGTCAAAAGTCTATGGTAAAAGTCTAAAGTCAAACTCCTTACCAAACGATCATGTAATATATAGCATTATGGAAAGCACCACTGAATCGGCAATCCGTATGAATTTGCTTTAACCACAACTAAGACTGAGTGATGATTATATATAATATATTTTAATTTTACTTTTAACTTGAGTTTACTATGAAACTAGACTACACATAAAAAACATTATACAATAATAAGATACGGAAATATTCCATCAACTGATTTCTCAAGCAAAGATATCGTCTTCATATGGAGCTGATGGCTCATGTCTAATAATTCCCCAATCTCCTAATCTACAACTCTCACGAACCCTTGTATTATCCGAATCGTAACCTCTGATTTGTCCCCTAAAAACACACCCGAATCTAAACCCTAAACATATACAACCCTTTTGTTTACCGGCCTCGGTTATGACCTGATAATTTATATTAGTATGCTCGGTTATCGTCTTCTCTTCGTTCAAGTGAAGCAATTGCTTAACCGGTACGAAAAGTTTCCCGACGACTTGTTCTGACCCGAGAAACCTCTTAACCTTGATTTGAAACACAAACACCGACTCGTTCCTTTGAACCTTGTCGTCTTCTATATAGAATCTCATACGGTAATTCCACCGTAAGAGTTTCTTACAACACACGGCAGCTGGAGTGACTTGCTGGTCACGTGAACCGCGAGTGACCGAGACAGAAACATAGACTGCTGGTCTGAACAAAAGGTTTACGGAGTCGAGATCTTGAGCGGAGAGAACGTTAATCTCCACCGGTTGGTAGTAATCCATTATAAGTAGAAGAATAAGAGAAAAGAGATGGGTGTGTTAACAAGAGGAGTTTTGACTGATATTTATAATTTGTTTGTTTTTTTTTCGCTTGAGGATATTTATAATAATTTGTTAAAACGGTTGTTTTGATTCTCTGATGGATTAGGAATTATCGTATCCTTAAACAAATGTTTTTCTCTTGTATGAATGTTAAAAAATTTATTAATCTCGTTTTGACGATTTGCATCCACATTGATAAGGGTTTGGTATAATTTATTTATGTTGGATCAAACCATTGGTAGATTTCTTAGCAAAAGAAAAAGAGAAAATTACTTTCCCAAAAAAATTGTATAAAAAAATATGAGAATCACGGAGGGGATTACAAAAACGTTAATAATAACAGCGTTATAACGTGCGTTTGCTTCTAAGAGGGATTAATCAATCTAGGGTTTACTCAATAATCGTTCGACATGGGTGCTCCAAAAACAAGCCAAAACGACGAGACAAAGGATGGATCTTCAAGCGAGCCCCAACTAACGGAGCATATGGAAACTTCCACAGGCGTTGACTCTTGTTTGCATGGGAAGGGCAAGTCCGATCCCGAAGAAAGCGAAAGCGACGGAGAAGATAGTGATTCAGGTTGGGATAAGGATAGCTTCGATGGCCTTGAATTCGATCCCTCTGATTATCGTATGCATTCGTCGGACTCGGACGAGGAATTATATCAACAAGCCTTGAATCTTCGAAAAGCGTCCATCGAAACCAAGGTAATATTGGTTTCAACAATCTTGCCATTGAGAGTCATCCCCTGCTAGTGCTAATCACTGGTTTTCGTTTGTGTTTAGGGTTTCTTTGAGCCATCGCAAGATTTCCCCCGTCACGTTTGGAGTGGAATTGTTTGCGTCTCAGATCATGATATTGAAGAAGAAATTAAGAAAGGCATTACCGGTCGTGAGTTCATGGGAAACATGGCATCTGAATGTGTTGCAAAATATAACAAACGCAAGTACATAGACCAAAATTCCTCCGAAGAGTTAAATCTTTAGTCTCTTTAGTCATCATATCCATTTAAGAATTCGCATTTCAACCCATTTTTGTTTATATATAATGAACAAAACCAACAATGAACCAAATCAAGCTGAATCGAACTAACAGAAAATCAGAAATTAGCAATACCAAGAAAGTTTTCTCAACAGTACATTTTTTATTTTTGACATCTTGATATGTGCTGCGCCGATGGCGATGGCGTTATCGTGGATAAGAATAAAGAAGGGGGTTAAGAACCTTTAATAACTCAGTTATCTGTGCGTTGGCGACTATACGAGGATCTAGCTAGGGCTTACTGTGGATATATACTCTTAAAAATGTTTGTTTTTTTAAAAGAATTTGATCTACAATGTGTTATTATCCACAGCTTTTATCATCGTATCGTACTACCGTTTATTAAAAAGTAACGAGTAACAGACAGTTACAGCATATGCGACAAAGCATCATGTTCTTACCATGGCAGAGGCCTACACTTGGTTACTTCAAATGTAATTTTGATGCAAGTTACGATTTGCACTCACAACAATCGATGGCGGGATGGATTATTCGTGATCACAATGGAGTAGCGTTCTCATGGGGCACAACTAACTTGGGGGTTTCGAATTCGCCACTGGAAGCGGAAGCAAAGGCGTTATTGATAGCTATGCAGCAAACTTGGAGCCTGGGTTTAGATTATGTAGTTTTTGAGGGAGATTGTAAATTGCTCATAGATAGCTTACAAGGAAATCCCATAGACTTTAACATAGAAAATATTTGTTGGGACATTGATAAATGGCGCAGAGATTTTAAGGAGTGTGTTTTCCTTTACACTAGGAGGGAAAATAATATGGTCGCCCATAGTTTAGCTTCCACGGTGCCTCCCAATGACATGTTTTATTCCTCTAGGTTAAATCCACCTTTGTGGTTATCACATTTGTTGTATAATGATCTTGTAATTGTTACTTAACTCAATAAAGATATACTTTCGACGAAAAAAAAAAAAACAAAATTGGATTGAAAGGAGGACCTAGGGTTTACAATCGATATTCGACATGGCTGCTCTAAACCCAAGCGAGACAAAGGATGGATCTTCAAGCGAGCCCCAACTGACGGAGGCTATGGACTCTTGTTTCCCGAGGAAGCGCAAGGCCGAAGCCACCAACGCGGAGGATCCCGAAGAAAGCGAAGGCGACGGAGAAGATAGTGATTCAGGTTGGGATAAGGATAGCTTCGATGGCCTGGTATTCGATCCCTCTGATTATCGTATGCATTCGTCCGACTCGGACGAGGAGTTTTATCAAAAAGCCTTGAATCTTCAACAAGCGTCCATCGAAACCAAGGTAATATATATTGGTTTCAACAATATTTCTACTGGATCCAATGAGAGTCATCTATCACCTTATCTCTTTATTATTAATTGAGAATTTGCTTTTGTAATTAGGGTTTCTTTGAGCCATCGCAAGATTTCCCCCGTCAGCGTTGGAGTGGAATAGTTTGCGTCCCAGATGATGATATTGAAAAAGAGATTAAGAAAGGCATTACCGGTCGTGAGTTCATGGGAAACATGGCATCTGAGTGTGTTGCAAAATATAACAAACGCAATCAGGCAAATCATCACTTTTTCCCTATATATATGTTGTTGGTAATATCAGAGATGCTCACTGTCTAGTGTACTAGTGTTTGCAGGGCAAGAGCTTGATATTCGACCATTTCCTGAGGGCCAATTTCAACCCGGGAAGTACTACCAGGTACTACATCACGTTTGCTGCAAGAGAGTCTGACTCTCCTGATGCTCCGTTAGTGGAGTATCAAGCTAAGGCCGCACGCTGTGCAGGCAAGACTTATCCCATCCTTTGCAGACCCGCTCCTCCACCAAATAAGGGTAACTTTACTCCCAAGAAAGCCTTGACATAGGCTCTGCCTCTGCTTTTGTGTCTGAGACTGATTTGCTTTACCTGCTTATCTAGTGCCGTATAAAACGATATGATTTCCAGACTTGGTTACAATATCTCTTATTTAGTGGGCAATGGTACATAGAGATGGTAAGGTCTACTTGGTTCTGCTCCACTTGTTGGCATAACAAGAAAATATACAATTAGCATCTGATTTTTCTCTCTTTTTTTTTGTTGGGTTTCTTCTATGTGGTAGTTGAAGGTGCTGAAAGAGGTCAGAAGCCAATGTGATGGAAGAGATCAATTGAAGATATTCATAAGGGTTATTGTTTCTCTGCATTGAAATGAATCCAGTATATTTCAGTCATCAAGTGTTGATCAATTACAAAAGATATATAGCAACTGAAATCATTTAAGAAACTAACCATAACTATAACCTATAACTTTAAGTATTTCAGAGTTTCATTTTCATATATATGACTAGAGGTTTCAGATCCAACTTTGGATTCACGTAGGTCGTAGTGTAAAACGTGAGATGAGATGCGTATTTCCTTTTACTTAGGCTTTATGCCGCTTAGCTTTATACTTTGAGTTAAAACTAATATGATCAATTAATCGAATAATAAAATACGGAAATATTCGACTGGTTTATTTCTTAAGCATTGATATTCGACTCGTTTATTTCTTAAGCATTGAACTGAATCGTAACGTCTGATTTGTAGTAATCCATTATAATCAGTGTGAAGAGTCAGGAAAAGAAGAAGAGAAAAGAGATGATCGAGTTAGTTAACAAAGGAGTATACGAATATTAATAACTTGTTAAAACGGGTTGTTTGTTGTCCCAAAAAAAAAAGTTAAACGGATTGTTTTGATTTTCTGATGGATTATTAATTAAACTAACGACGTATCCTTAGTTAAACAATATTAGTCTGTACATCCAAAGAGTTAAATAAATCTTTAGTCATCAACTCATCATATCAATTTGTACTACTGATTAACAAATATTATTTTTAAGAATTCGCATTTGAACCCATTTTTGTTTATAAAATGCCAAGCGAAACTGAAACAAAACCAACAATAAACCAAATCAAGCTCAATCGTCCTAACAAAAACATGGGTTCAAAATATCGGTAATCGTTTATCGGGTGATCAGATTAGAATTTAAGTTTTTTAATAAGCGGAGATTAGGTGAGGATTAAATGAAAATTAAATTTTGACTATATTTTATATTCCCTCCATTTTATAATAAGTGTCGTTTTGACAAAATGAATCTGAACTACTTATTGACGTATATGGATATGTTTTGAGTCTTAATACATCTAGATACATCCAAATATATTTTTTAAATCAAGAGTAAAAAGACATTGAAAATAGAGGGGGTGTATTTATGATAATTGTAGTAAATTATGATAAAAAAACGTAAAGTAACCAACAAAATCCGAAATATTTAGTACATATCTCAATCAAACACTTACATCTGAATTCTGAAGCTTGCAAAAGTCCACTTGTAATTGTAAAGCTGTACAAACATCACCTCAAAGTCAAGTGGCATTATTCGTAAATACTTCTATCTTTCAGTGGCATTTCGTAATGCTTCTTTTCCTTTATACCATTTTTGTTTCTCTCTCTTTCTTCAAAGTTCGTGCTCAGAGAGAGAGCTCACAGAGAAATATTGGGCCCAATTTTAACGAAAAATGGCAATTAGGCCCATGTGATTAAACAGATTGCACGTTGACATCAGTCAACATTTTATTCACCGAATTCACCACCGATCTTCATTAATCTGCTCGGTCCGCTGCCATGAGCGATGTTTGGTCCGATGTTACACGGAAATCGGCGATTTTTTTTAACACAAAAACTATCAATACCAAAAAAGTTTCTCAACAGTACATTTTTTTTATTTGACATTTTGATATGTGCTGGGCCGATGGCGATGGCGTTATCGTAGATAAGAATAAAGAAGGGGGTTAAGAACCTTTAATTACTCTGTTATCTGTGCGTTGGCGGCTAAAAGAGGATCTAGCTAGGGCTTTACTCGACAATTAATTTAAAATAACTATTACGTCTGATCTCTCAGCAAGCGACTGGTTTCCATCAAATCCAGCATGTAAGACATATCCTGATATCCTCTGATATCCTCCTCTAGCTAGTAAGACATTATTGTTTAACTTTAGAGGTGGCAAAATCTATCTTTTATTTTTTTTTCGTCTGAAACTTATCGGAAACGAGGACGGAGTAAACAATAGGTAGCGCTTCTAGACTGTGGATATATACTCTTAAAAATGTTTGTTTTTATAAAGAATTTGATCTACAATGTGATTAGCTAGTGAGTTTGGAAAAGAAGATAATTTGCTATTCACTACAAAAAAAAAAATGTTATTATCCACAGCTTTATATCATCGTACTACCATTTATTAAAAAGTTACGAGTAACAGACAGTTACAGCATATGCGGCGACAAAGCATCATGTTTTTACAAAAAAAAAAACAAAACAAAAAAAGACAAAGCATCATATATGTATCACACTCCAGTAATTTATAGGGTGGAAATTAAGATTACAGGCACTTGCAAAAGCCAAACTTGAACCTGCAACAATGATTTTCACTAACCACTGCTAAGCCAACTAAATGATACATAATGGGGGTAACTAATGATAGTATTTTATATAATTTTTTATCTTCCATTCATGACCCAACCGTATCACAATATACGAAAACAGCTAAGCTAATTTTTTATGATTACGAAAGTGACCATTTCTATAATAAAATATCCAGACAAGATGTTTAAGGGGTTTAGGTTAGTATTGTCACATCATATGAAGTTTCTCTCATAAGTCCATAAGTCACAGCACAAGCAAATACAAAAGAGAGACAACTACTCTCTCGTAAGAAGACGATAGACTAGGCAATAGCAATAGCAGTCTTCATGTATGTATACGTAAGACAGACGTAGGCATACAAGTACAACCAATTTTCGATTATCCTTAATTAAACAACATATCACAACGAGCTTATTGGGTAAATCGTAAATGGATCTATTATATTCTTAGGTTTTTTTCCTCTTCTTAATGGTCAAGATGGGATTTAACAAAGTTTAGATAGTAATCTATGTTCATAATAAACAAGAAATTTTATAGCCCAAACATAAACCTACAACTACAAGTAAGTAATTTTAAAGATTACTCTAGAAATATTTTGAAGTAAAAGTTGCAAATAATTAAATATGTGAAGCAGTGAATGGTTTAATGATTTACATACCGGATGGAATGTTGATAAAATAAGGATGTTGGTTAGTGAAGAAGATGTAGAGAGGGTTCTTTCGATCAAAATCTGAAATTTGTTCACAGAGGATGTATGATCTTTTGGGGTGGCATTATACAAAAGGATGGAGTAAATACAATATTGAAGAATTTGTTCATTTGGGCTCGGGGACAAGCGAAAGATGGTAAAGTGGTGAATGCTTTAGATAGTGAATTCCACAATCTTGTATTTGCTATGCAGAATTGTTGGAGTAAAGGAAACAAAAATATCTCTGAAGGAGACAATAAAGAATGGCTTTTGTGCAAAAAAACCAGTCAACTAAATTAAATTTGCAAATCTAACCTTCAACTTATTTTTGTGCAGGTCAATCACCCCAACTCCATAGTCACCCGCAATACAGCCAGTCTCTATATCGATGATGTGGATTCAAAACTGCATGTTGTTTCATTTAAATCGAAATGGCACCCACTTTCAAAATCCAGCCGGTTTGCAGTTGGTCGGTTTAACTGATTTAAATCATGTGTCAAATCTGTTTATCAAACAAAATCAATTTTCGGTTTTAAGTTTTAATGAACCAGCTAAACTAATAAACTACTTTTATTAAATTTTAAAAAGAAAAAAAAAACAAAAAAAAAGAAAGAAAAAAAAGGTTTATCGTGAAAGAAGCAATCCTCTTTCTCTTGTTAATCATGATTTCTGATGCTATTTACCCAGAAATCCAATTCTCTTGAAGAACAATTCCTTCATCTTCTAAATCTTAGAGCAAATCCTCTACCGAACAAATTATCACACATACTAGGTCGAATTTTGTCTCTTGCAATCTCAATAAATCTGAGATTTTTTCAAAATTTTCAGAATTTCAATAGTGATTACCAAACCCTAATCTATCTTAGAACATCATTTCCGGCGGCTCAGTGTTTTCTGCTCCTCGGTGTTTTGGTCACATGTGTTTTCACTGGAGATGGATCTAACCTTTTACTTTCCAGTTAATATAGTTTGAGTTTAGATTCTCAATTGAGAAAATTTTGGGATTTCTGAAATTTGGAGACAAAGAGGTGAAGAAGAACACGAACAAAGTTTTTTTTTTTGTTTTGATTTCATGAAATTCAACGATTTATTGGAATGGGTTTTGTTTGATTTTGTTAATGGAGGTAAGGAAATCAGAAATCAGTGTTAAGAAAGAAAATGGGTTTTGTGAAAAAAAAATTCTTCAACTAAACTCGCCAAGAACCCTAATTAATGATTTCCCCCAAATCGATTTTATTTTTCCCCTAGTGAAATCCAGACCATTCCATTTCATTACACGTGTTTTAAATTTGTTCAAAAACGACATAAGAACTAAAACCGTGTCCCGTTTTAATGCACAAAACGTTGTGTTTTACTGTTAACACGTCGACAATATACACATGGGCCATTTAACGGGTGACTTTGGAGTTAAGGGGATTGATTTGCATAAAAAAAAATTGAAGGTTAGATTTGCAAATTTAATTTAGTTGACTGGTTTTTTTGCACAAAACCCATAAAGAATCAGAAGATCTGATGAATGGAGTAAAGTTGAATTTCAGTATCTTCAGTTGGATTCATGAAGCCAGATCTCGGTGACATCGTTTTGAACAATGTCGCTTTCAATGGATATGAAGGAATCTTGATCAGTGGTTAGTGAGACATAAAAAAAAAAGATTATTGACTATTGTAGTTCGTCTTGTTAATATCAAGTGTGACATATATAAAAAAGATTTTAAATCAGGCTGCATGGTGAATTAAACTAAATTAAATGATGATAATAAAATGAGATGATTTGAAGAAGTTTGACTTTGCTAAAATTTTAATAGTGTTACATGTGGCTGATGGGAGATGGCATTACCGTAAATAAGAATGACGGAGGGGATAAAGAAACTTTAAAAGCTCTCTGTTGTCTTGGCTTTGGGGGATTCAAAGGTAAATTAAAATTGGATTGAAAGGGGGATCTAGGGTTTGCAATCGAGATTCGACATGGCTGCTCTAAACCCAAGCGAGACAAAGGATGGATCTTCAAGCGAGCCCCAACTGACGGAAGCTATGGAAACTTCCACCGGCGATGACTCTTGTTTCTCGAGGAAGCGCAAGGCCGAAGCCACCAACGCGGAGGATCATCCCGAAGAAAGCGAAGGCGAGGGAGAAGATAGTAGTGATTCAGGTTGGGATAAGGATAGCTTCGAAGACCTGGTATTCGATCCCTCGGATTATCGTATGCATACGTCGGACTCGGACGAGGAATTATATCAACAAGTCTTGAATCTTCAAAAAGCGTCCATCGAAACCAAGGTAATATATATTGGTTTCAACAATCTTGCCACTGAGAGTCATCCCCTGCTAGTGCTGATCACCGCGGTTTTCGTTTGTGTTTAGGGTTTCTTTGAGCCATCGCAAGATTTTCCCCGTCACGTGTGGAGTGGAATAGTTTGCGTCCCAGATGGTGATATTGAAAAAGAAATTAAGGAAGGCATTACCGGTCGCGAGTTCATGGGAAGCATGGCATCTGAATGTGTTGCAAAATACAACAAACGCAATCAGGCAAATCATCACCTTTTCCCTGTATATATATGTATATGTATATGTTGTTGTTAATATCAGAGATGCTCACTGTCTAGTGTTTGCAGGGCAAGAGCTTGATATTCGACCATTTCCTGAGGGCCAATTTCAACCCGGGAAGTACGACCAGGTACTACATCACGTTTGCTGCAAGAGAGTCTGACTCTCCTGATGCTCCTTTAGTGGAGTATCAAGCTAAGGCTGCACGCTGTGCAGGCAAGACTTATCCCATCCTTTGCAGACCCGCTCCACCAAAAAAGGGTAAGCCTTGACATATCCTCTGGGTTTTTTTTTTTTTTTTGTCTTGTGCTTTACTGGGGGTATGAAACAATGTGATTTTTAGACTTTGGTTACAAGAGCATTAGACTACTCTGGTTGTTATCTCTTGATTAGTACATAGACATGGTGAAGTATGCTTGGTTCAAATCTGCACTTGTTGGCCTAACAAGAAGAGATACAATTCGCATCTGATGTTGATCTGTTTCTCTGTCGTAGTTGCAGTTGAAGGTGATGAAAGTGGCACCGGTCAGGTAGCCAACATGATGGAAGAGATCAACTGAAGACTTGTGCATTGTAACTGTAGACTTGAGTTATTATGAACTTGCAGTTGTAGACTTGTGCTATGTTAAACATTGATGACTTATTGCCTTGCCCAAATCACTTGTTATTTTAAGTCTTAATTGTCATTTTTTTACGACTACTCGGAGTCCACTACAACTCTACACGCCGGCCGGATATAATACGGGGATGAACTCTGGAAACAGATCTAAATTGGAATATTTTGAACTTAGAAAAGCTTCAATAATCCTCAACATTAGCGGAGAATTAAAGCTGTTGGAATAAAATTGAGCACACCAGATTGAGATTTAAAACAGAAATCCTAGAAAACCAAACCCGGACATGCCGGAACCGAAATCCGAAAACATTAGGAGTCAAAAGATAAACATTCTCCCTCAAAGAAGATCTAGACAAGTTAACCAATACCAAAAAGCCTTTATTTCTCTACTTCTCTCACTTCTCACAAACCTTCGAATAGTAACTAGTCTTTTTTGCAAATGATATCGCATTTGTTTTTGATGACGATTCTGATGTATCCCTGGCAGCCCCAGTTCTCACCATAGGAGTTCTGCCCTATAAAGTATCGCTCTCCTTCTTTGGTTACTCCATATCCAATGAGAAGCAAGCAGTGTAGACGAGATTTTGCCGTGACAGGCATCTTTTTTGGCAAATAGTAAATCTGCAAATATGTTCAAAAGAAAAGACATTAATATGACTTTGCTTACTAAGTTATTCTAAAATACCTTCCAACTGTTTATAAGCGAAGCATTTAATTTAATATCAATTCATTTCTCACTAACCTGCCCGGTATTTTCAGTAAATTCAACGTCCGTCTCGAATCGAAGTGCAACCGGGAACATGTCTAACTTCTTCTCAATAGCTGAAGCATCCACATCCTCGTACATGTCAAAGTCTTCTGTAACCCTCTTCCTTTTATCTCCAGCCTAAGAAAATGCAAACACACATGAAAATTGGGTTAGATAGATTACAACAACCAAACTAAAGAAATCACAAATGATTTCAATCCAAACTAACAATCTTTTACCATTCCATGTCCTCTTGTAGGCATCTTCAACACCCCAACTGTGCTTAAGTGCTTAAAAGCTTTCTTTAAATTAGCAAGTGCTAAACTTTTTTCTCCAGCCTCTGGTTTTATGCTACCAATCAAGTCATCAATAGAAAACTGATTTGCATCATGGGGATTTTGCATGTTGTAAATAGCTTGTACAAGACGAGCAAAGCATATGGCCCAACAAATGTCTACATTGAAATTAAACATATCTGTTAATTTATGTTAAACAATATTTTCAATCGGTTTCAATAGGATTTATTGTCGTAGTGACAAAATACCTTTAACACCTTGGTCCATAACCTTTGCAACAATATGACTAATGGAGCTCCAATCTTTGATTATGGTATCAATCCCGAATATCTGTTCAAGAAAAATAAACAATCAAAACACGTGTACAACTTAGAATAATTGTATAAAACTCGTTATAACCCATGGCAATATTATATTGTACCTCCTGAAAGCTTAGTTTATTGGTAACCGTGGAAGATGAACTTGCTTGAGCAGCTTTTTTCAGTGCGTGCTCTTTGGCTTGTGCTTGGGGGTTTTGCTTCTTCCTTCCTCCAAGTTCTCCTTCCTCTCCTCCCATCTTGTTCTACACATAAATAAGCCAACAAGAAAACTAAGGAAGCTTTCATGTAATAAAAATACAGATATGAATCTTGCATTTCCCCTAAAAATAAATCGGATTTGAAACATCCATAACCCTAAAAGTTTTAAAAACGAAAAAGGCAATAGAGTTTTACTGAAAAGACAAAGAAAGTTCTCAACTTTTTGCTCAGGAACCAAGGAATTTTATGATTTCTGGGTATGAAGAAAGAGAGAACTGGTTTAGAGGTTTTTTAAAAAGACGATCTTTTGAAAATGAGAAGCTGACTAGAGTTTCTACGATTTCTTGGAATGTAAAAAAAACACAGCTTTTAGTTTTAGAAAAGATCTAGCATTTGCTCCCAAAAAAATGAAAACTTTTAACATCTAACCCTAAAATCTATGAATTCTTTGAACACTAAGAAGTCAATATAGAGTTTTGCTAAAAAGACAAAGAAAGTTCACAACTTTTTGTTTGGGAACCAAAAAAAACGAAGCTTTTGGTTTTAGAAAAGAAGATCTTGCATTTGCTCATAAAAAATGCAAGCTTTTACATGAAAAGAAAATAAAAGAGGGAGTTTTGTTTAGAACAAAAACAAAGAAATTTCAAACCTTTTCTTTGACAGATATGAGAAATTGTCAGTGGAAGAAGGGAAAAGGGTATGGAGAAATTTTTAATCTGCAGTTTTAAAGAGGAGAAGCGTGGTGGGTCAATATGCTACAACAAGATACACAGTAACTTTGGTAAGTCTCTCTCTGCTATATTGAGTACTTTTGCTTGTTTGGGATTTGCAAATTATATCCAACTTTACAATAAAAATCAACGCGTCTTGCTTCATTTTCTGGTTATGTATTGCCAATACTAGTCTTGATTATGAACTTATAACCTCTTTTATACAAAAATGAAGGTGATGGAAGATTAAGAGAAATGAAGGATTGGATACAACAGATAAATGTCCATCATCCATTTTGCATTCGTTATTTTATTTTTGATCAGGGAATTAAAAGTTTAAACTTTAACAAAAATAAATAAAAGTTAAAACACTAGCCCTTTAACTTAACAAAAAAAATTACAGTAAAAAAAAGAGAGGTTAAAACAATAAAACCCTTGATATAATCAAAATATGTTACACGAGCCATCTAAGAAATTCATTATCCAATCAGATCCAACCACCAAATAACTTATGGTGCTCTGCTGAACAATGTCTAATCTCTCATTTAAATGCTTATACAAAGTTGATTTAAACTGTACAAATCTTAAGGAATAATGCTATTTTTATTTTTTTGTTTGGACAACAGGAAATGCTATCTCATTTCTGTCTTATCTAAGTTCATCTATGGCTTCAGTTTCTGATTAAATATTTCAACCATACAAAATCTTTTTTTTTTTTCATCTGAAATTCATTACGGCTATGTGTACCATCAACCATACAAAATCATAACACATATTTATTTTCTGAATAGATAGTACTTTAAATTTCTAAAATGGGCAAGTATTGTTACTAAAAAAAGAATACGTGTTGTTTAGTAACTACGTATAAGTCCATAATGTTGAAACTGCACCACTATATGATTGATGGTCTATGTAGTCATTGTATGCCACATAAACCAGGCCAGCTATGTAAAAAACTAAACTAGAAGAACCATTTTCAATTTGATTTGATGCATAATTGCATATATTAACCTAGGTGGGTTTTTCATCAGTTTGCTTTGGGTTTTAAAATAGGAAGAATACAAATAAATTATATTATTAAAACCCATAAAATTTAAATGGTTTCTAAATTAGGTTGATTTAAGATTCGGTTCAATTTGGAAACCATTTAAATATTTAACCTAGGACATATCTAGAGAGAGAGAGAGAGAGAGAGAGAGAGAGAGAGAGAGAGAGAGAGAGAGAGAGAGAGAGAGAGAGAGAGAGAGGCTTCACTTTGAATTTTAAACCCCCATTCGTCTAATAAACTAGGACATATCTCGCCGAGAAAAAACACGAAAATTTCAACTACTACTTCTCTCTCCAGACAGACTTGAGAGTTTATTTAATGTACGCTGTCTTATATCAGATGTATTCACAAGGGATAATATGGGAGGTAGCCCAACAAGCCCGTGACTTTAGCCACCACATCGTTACACCTTACTAACAGCTCCATCATCTCCTCTGAGATGTCCACCGTACACTGCTGTGGCTCGACGTGGTCCAGTACAGGCTTCGCTTTTGAGTTTCCATTGTTTTTACGCGAACCATGAAACGGTGTCCCTGTTTCTTCCCCACCCAACATGAATCTGACTCGTGATTTCCCGCGGTTACCATTGCCTGGCTCTTTCAAACAGGACTTGAGCTTGCTGTTTGGTTGGTGAACCTGCCGTTCTCGCTCCAGCCCCGGTCCAATGATTGGTTCCCCTGTCTTGGCCTTCTTCGGTTCATGACCCTCGGATGCAGAAGAAGCTTTCACGTCACGGAGAGAGTAGGTCACATTCACGTTGCCAAAGAGAGAATGGTTTCCTGATGCGTATCTTAAGGCAGTCTGTGCATCGAGTTTGTACAGGAAGACAACACGGCAGATGGAGGATTTCCATAACACTCTAACGGCTGATTGATCCAACAGTCCAAATCGACCGAACCTGGCCTTAAGCAGAGCCGTCGAAGGGAGAGATGTACCATGAGGAAACTTCATGACCAGCATCGTCGGCTCAATTTCCCTCGCCGGAGCCATCTTCTTTCCACGTTCGGTTCTAACTGGATTTAAATGTGCAAGCTTTGATCTCTTCTTTTCTTCTTGGTTGGTTTTCTTTTCACAAGGCACTGTCATCAACTGAATAGTTTTCTTCTTTAGCTTCTTAGTTGACGAGACATCTTGTTGATGGTCAGACGAGAGGCGTTTCCTCCCTGACTTTGATGATGGTTCGTTGGTGCTTCTCAAAGTCTCTGCAGATTTTGACGGAGGAGAAATGGCCAAGCTTTTTAGGTAATTAACTGACCGGAAACGCAAAAAGAATTGCTTTACAGCTCTGATAGAGAGATAATTCTTTCTATCAGAGGATCCAGAGAAAGGGTCAAGCGAGAGAGCTCGCAAATTACTCAACAGCTGCAGAGCATCGAGTTTGGAGTTTCTCACAGTCAACGTGTTGGAGTATCTTTCTGCTGAACCTAGTTGTGACGACTTCTTGGTCCAATCTTCCTCACAAGATAAAGTCTTCCTCTTGTCTGGAAAGCCACGGTTCAGCTCTGACCGAGACTCTTTCTTCTTTCTCTTTTTCGTCTTCAGATTTGAAGGAGCATTCTCAGAATCTATTTCCCCTGAAGACCGTTTGAGGAAATTGACCTTCTTGATCCCATCCCCTGCAGAACCGTGGAGAGAGCCTTCGTTTGATCTACGAATGAAGCCAGTCTCAACTTGTTTAAGGCTGGTCATTATTTCAAATTTCTCACGCTCTGAGTATAGAGCAGCTTTTTCTCTCACTCTCCCTTTTTCATCAACACGAGAGAGCTTTGAAACAGAAGTTTCCTCTCCACTTGAAGAGGTGAAGTCAATGCTGACAAGCCCTGTCTGCTCATGTTTCATGGGAATTTGGAGATATGGAGTCCTTCTCTGCAATACATGATCCACAGCTGAAGATCCAATGATGCCCTGAAGCTGACAAGTTGCTTGGACCTGGCAAAATTGAACTGCCATATCATCACCTTCCTTTTTGGGAAGATAATTGTCTTGTTTAGTAGAATCCTTTACTCTTCTAGAGCTCTTTGGGTCTCCCAGAGTTTCTGCCATGACCAATGAGCCACTCAAGGGGCCTGTAAACACAAGAAATGCATGAGGAAATACGAAATAAAGCAAACAATGAAGGTTATATGACTGTGAAGTAGCTTTCGCATTTGGTAATGTAGAATTCATGATCTCTGTGATAAATAGCATAAAGGTTCCAACATAACTGCATCAAATCCGTAAAAAAGGAAAGTACAAGGTATCACAAATGTACTCAAACAATGCCAGAATTGCTTGAAAGGTGATGCTACTACCTCGAGGAGGGGCTGTTCTATTCACTGAAGAAGTGTATGCAGATTTTGCCCTGAAGGCCTCTTCATACGTTTCATCAAACTCCTCAAACACTGCCCAGCGGAAAGCACAAACCGCCGCTTTCTTCTGGAAAAACCTTATGCTTTCTGTATCACACACTCGAGGCGCTAACGCACAACGCTTCACAAAGGAAAGAGTTTGAGCAGACGAGAAACCGTCTCTCGCTTTCTTAATCTGCTTAGAAGAGTAAACAGCTTGGAGCTCGTAACCAGGCACATCAACAGCAAAGTGACCTTGAACATTAGTATCCCTAAAGTTACGAGGGTTTCGACATTTACAAGTCAATCCAAGAGCTGATCTTCTTCCTGCTTCAACCATAGCTTCTTCCACAGCTTTTGCAAAAGGACTCGAATCAACTTGCTGCGATTTCTCAGCGACGTTAGGCTCAAAAGGAATAAGCTCAGCAGGATCGAACCAACGATAACTACAATCTCCGAAGAAAGCAACCAGAACGTGACCGTATCTCCTCATACGACGAACAGAGGGCGACACGAAAGCTTCGTTGAGTATATGACCTGGCCACCATGGATGCGATTTCACTTTTCCCCATACCAAATCCCCAACTTCAAACCCATAGCTCAGTGCCCTAGAAACTCTGGAGCTGATTCTCTCGCTTGCAACGTACTCGTCGAACTCGGATAACAGAGATTTGTAGTCCGGAGCTCGCGTTTCCTCCTTCGGAACCATCACCGTTTTCTTCTCATCAGCTTCGGTGTAAAACTTGTAAAATTGGTCATCAATGTCTTCGTCTTTAGCCTGAGAACTATCATAACACCTCGCGATTTGGCTATCGGCTCGGTTTTCTCTCTTCATTTCAGAAAACCTAGGTTTCGTTTCACAGTCCCAGTCGTCTTCGTTACTTAAGCACGCCCCAGGCCCAAGCTCTTTCGGTTTCTTCTTACTGACAAAAACCCGATCACGTCCTCCATCGCCATTTCCGTTACCATCACCGTCACTTCCCACGTCAGTAGCCAGATAATCGAGCTCCATAGTGCTACTGCTTGGATTTGGCAGGAAAGCTGGAGAAGATGGAAAAAAAACGTTAACTTTGCTTGAGAGGGGTATTTTCGGAACTTTGTAGCGCCATAAATGATGTTGCTGAACAGACGGAAACCTCCAGATCGAATACCAGGCTGCCACGTTATGAGACGGAAAAAAACGTGACTTTTCTATTGCTATTTTTTTGTCCCCGAGAAACGTGATTTCTTTTTATCCACTTGAGAAATGAGCGAATTTTACAAAAGTTTCATAAAAATAGAGACTCGCAAACACATGATGAATTGATGATAAGGATATTTATGATTGGTGACCACAAAGTATATAGAATTTATAAATCTGATTTAATTTTTAATCATTTTCTCTGCAACTCTTCAAGCAAATATTTCAAAAAAGTTGACAAATAGTGATAACTTTTATTACAGAGAACTAAAATCATCGACAGTAAATAAAAGCTCTATAAGGAGGGTATTAAAATATCTTATTGGAAGAAGAAACCATGTCGAGGGACTAGGAGACAAGAAAAAAAATACATTATATATTTCTTTACTGAAAGCAAATATCGACTGAGGAAAATGGCAAATGGCAATACCGGAAAAAAAAAAATGTATCAAGGCGAATCGTCATCCTTCTCTTGAGGGCTTCCAGCGAGCCAGCCCCAGACGCCACCGGAGCTCTGTCGTTTAGCGTTCATTGCGGCTTGTTCAGAGGCAGCCTTTTGACGCTGGAGGAGTTCCAGTTCCTTTTGTAGTGTTTCCAATGTTTGAAGCTTTTGCCTTAGCTCCGCAACATCAACCTGCACATAATCGCAGGAGCCAGAATTATATTTTACTAGATTCCATCTTCTTCTAAGTTTTATGGTATAAATTATAAGAGAGTAAAAAAAGACTATGCGGTTTAATACCTCCAGTTTGAAACACCTTGACTGTTCGGCTGCAAGTTGGCCACGAACAGACTGAAGTTCCTATATAATGTCAGGACAGAGTTAAATCTTTAGTATCAGAGATGTTACATGTGACTGCAATGGGAAGATTTTGTTGAAACAAAAGTTGGTTCACCAATTACCTTGTACAAATCTGTATTTCGTGATTCTGCTTCTGTTAACACTTGCCTTAGTTGGAGAGTCTCCATCTTCTCCTTGTTCAGTGATCCCTCCAGTTCCTCCTTCTCGGATTTAAGAGAAGCAATAAGGCGCTCACCGTTTCCTTCGACCTGGAGTATTTCATCACCCAATAACAAAATAAGAGCGAATGAGATTGTGCTTAAGATACTTTGACTATCCCAGACAAATCAAAACAAGTTGCTATTCAAATAATCTGACGATAAAATACCTTTGATCCAGGGTTAACATTGTCCACGACAATTTCCCTTACTCTTCCTTCTTGGCTCACCTCAACCTCTGACTCAATGTCTCTGGTTGTGGCGTTATTAACAGCAGAAAGACTACCTGGCAAAGGTGCCACTAGGGTCTTTGTTTGCAGTGTTGATTTATGGCTTGGTTTTAGCAGATTAATCTATAACGCCAATCAAAACAATCAGAAGCAGAACTGAATGTAAATTCAAGATGAATATTCTTATGGGTTTAGATCATATATAGTCCTTACCTCGTTGTTGTAACGTCCATTGTATCCACCAAAAGCAACTAGTACATCTTCACCATTGTATGAACTGACGACTAAACTTAATCCCTGTTTGTAGAAAAGAAGAGAGTTTTGCGTTTAAAATACACAAGACTGATACCTTTCGAAGTCTTAAAAAAAAGAGGCAACTTTCGTGTTTCAGAAATGATGAAGTGAAATTACTATTTTCTACATTATTTGGGGATTAATATGGAAAAATTCTGTTCATGTTAAGTACCTCGCTAGCAAGAGGTACACGGCCTTGAACTGAAGCGACTACAGACCAGGCAAGAGTCGACATGTTAAGTACAACACTCTCAGATGCCCCTGCAATAATTTATTAAGGCGCAGCCTAATTAGTCACCAAGAACAAGGAAAAGCGAAGCAGAAATGGTTATAGGGGCGATGAAGAGAAATGGCAGGGAAGAAACGAGAATTTTTCTAGGAAAAGTACATAAACCTACCACTCTTGTTATCACCGCCACCGACAATGAACCAGTTCTCCCCAATTGTTACACCAGCATGTCCAGCTCGTGGAGTTGGTGCATCACCTTGTTGTGCTGGTCTCGACCACTCCATCTATATGTGACAGTTATATCAGACGCTGATAAAAAAACGCTTGAAAGGCAGCTGAAACAATAGACGCTTAGCTTAACTTACAGTCTGTAAATCAAGGACATGCAGATCATCATAACAGGTTGCATGTGAGCCCCCACCAAAGATAAGAAGGTAACGTTCCGCATGCACTGCAGCAGCATGATCAGACCTCGGAGATGGTGATAAACCTCTGCAAGTTGACACAAGTTTAATCCATGAATTGCTAATCTTTCATTAACAGCTATATCAAAGGAGATAGATGGTAGATTTCTATACATATTCATATTCTAGTCATGTATCTAATCTTAAATGAGTTTTACTTCTTCAAAAGTGAACAAAATGCAGAAACGTCATAAAATCTTACACGGCATCTATCTCATCCCAGGTCTTCGTTTCTAGGTCAAGTATATGCAAATCGTTCAGAAGTGATCTCTTCGCATCTTGCCCGCCAAATATCACCAAGGTTTTACCCACGACTGTGACTGACTGACCTCCACGTGAAACCTGAAAGGAAGAGATAATGGCAAAAAATCTTAATTTAACAACCAAACGGCGTACTTAACTTCCAAATTAGAAAGGGTATCAATCAATTAGATTCAGATGCAACTTAACCCTGCAAATATTATCGGAGGATAGGAAAGAAAACTACTTCGCTTTTTTTTTTTTTGTCTTTTGACGGCCAGAAAAGTAATTGTTTACAAGACTGATTCATTAAACAAATGAGACAACATGAGAGAAGCGAAGCTATACCGGTGGTTTTCCATATGTCTTTAACATTGACCACGTACAGGTATTGGTATCAAAGACCTTTACTGTGACAAGGAAACAGCAGAAAGATGATATGTAATAATTTAGATTCCAGAAAAGTCCCATAAGATATGTACAAAAGCAGCTTTGAAGGTATATAAACGTTTACCTTGCATCGATTCTGAGGGATCCTTTGTATGACCACCGATAGACAGCAGTTTATTGTCCCATGGTATCTATAAAACAAACAAAGGCGGCAAGTAAAAATAATGTACAGTAGCAAGTGGGTTTCATAAAGAGGCTACTTCGCTTTAGCTGAAACCCCAGTCCTGAATATATCCAGGCAGGAAAGCCAAAAGAGAGAAACCAAAACAAATGCAAGAAGTTCAGAAACTAACCAAGGAATGACCAGCACAAGGAGATAATAATGTTGGAGTTGATGTTTCCTCTGTTTCAGTTGCAACCTTCGTTTCAACTCTTGACCAAGTCCAATTTTTTAAATTTAGAACCTGTATACATTCCACAGAAGAACAGTCAACATGACAGGTATCGCCAAGGTAGGTTTAAAAGAAAGAAAATACTTTGAATACATAATCAGCTTATGCTTAAATACATATAAGTTGCTTACATGAAGATCACCAAGGTAACGGCCATTGTGATTTCCACCATATATATACATCTTATCTTGAATAACTGCTGCTCCATGCTGAAACGAATATGACAACCAAGACTTAGAAAAGAGAGAAGACACATGAATGATAGGACCTTTTCCTCAACTTCCAAAAGAGCGAGAGAAAATATTACCTCGTAACGGGCTTTTGGCCGCTGGCCTGATGTTTGGGGTTCAGTCCACTGGTTATATACAGAAACCGTACTTGGGTCTTCCGAGACTACATCTTTATCTTGAGTTTCTGACAAACGTCCATTTTCAGTAGAAATCGTCTTTGTCTCGCCAAATGAGTTTCCATTCTCAACAACAGGCTCATCTTTTGTTGTCTGCTACAGAAAATGAATGCACTAAAGGACTAAAATACTTTTCTTCAGCCAAGCAAAGATGTGTAATATTTCCCATGGGACACAAAAACTCACATTAATTTGGACATCTACAACAGGATCTGGAATATCATTAGATGCTCTTGAATACCAACCAGGATCTTCTTCCTGGTCAAAATGAGCAATAGTGAAGATATCAAGCCTTATGCTCCAGTAAAGTATTTTTAAAATAAACATAGACCTCTTGTCGGTTACCTCCAGAATTTTCACAAAGAGACGCATTGCCTCGATGGAGGGCATGGTTCCGAGCCCCTGCCAACTAAGTAAATATGGAAATGCTTCAGAATAGAAAAGTTCACAACTCACAAGGACAACGTTCAAGGCTTGTTTTCCTTAAGAAATATACTAAGCAGTAACAAACTTGATGATGTAGAACAAAACATATGTAAGCTGTAAGCATTTCGTTTTTTCGACAGGGATGAAAATACAAATCCTGCAATTTTTCAGTTTTCTCTATTCCATTTCCCTGCCTTATTCATGATGCATCTAGATTCTTCCACTCTAGTAACCGACGAAATCTAAGACATTTCCTAAATATCTATACCAAAAACTCAAGCATAGAAACGCAAAAGAGCCTGAGATGAATGCAACATTTTTTTAACTGTAGATAAGCATTGAGAGACACAGCACCGAATCTAACCTTTTCCACTTGCTTTGCTCCACTGGTCTCCATGCACTGGGTTTTGGAGTGTTGCATGGTCCTACAGTAGCCTGTTTACACATTAAATCCAAGAGATCACTCAACACTGAGCCTATCTATCCCAGTGACGAAGACCAAAAGATGCAGAACGAAAAAAAGCCTTATGTTGTGAAAAGGCTAATTTTCTGCCACTATAGTCACAATGTCACATATCAAGTTACAGAACCAAGATAGATCTAAACTAAAGTACGATCGAAGGACGAACGATCCGTGAGATCTGGTTAATAGAAAGCATTTCAATCAATTTTCCATCAAATCGATGATCAAATCTCGAGCAACATTTCACTAAGCAGTTAAACGGTCAGCAAAATGGATCTATATGTTCAATTTTTTCTGGCAATACCCAAAAATCCTAATCAGGATCGAAAAGGACGATCAAGCTAAGTCAGAGAAGCAAAGTGCGTCATTTCAAAAATCTGATAAGAATTCGACGAGACAGATATGAATCGATGGAGAGGAAAAAACATATCAACATCCAAACCACCAGATCTCGTGAAATTCAAAACCAAAATCCAAATTCGTGAGGTTAGCAATAGAAGAGATCAGAAATGGAAGTTCATGACCTGCTGGTAAAGCGCATAGAGAATTAATGCAGTATCATTGGAGAATTTCGAGCTGACGTTTTTCGCCGACGAATCAGATCCGTCGAGGCCGACAAAAGATGCGGCGGCGTAGAACCTCTCCGGGTAGGCGGGGCCTGATGTTGCCCTAGCCATAGCCATTTGTATCCCTCCCTCTCTGACTTCGACCGCGGATTTGATCGGAAATGGAGAATCCAAAGGAGCAGAGCGTTTTCTAGTTTCGTTTCTGTTTAAAGATTCAAGTTTACGGGATGACTTAAAAAAATATTTTTAACTAATCAAAATTAAAATAAATCAACATTTAATTAATCAAAAATTATGATTGCTATATGCAGTGTCTATATGGAGTATTTTTTACTCTTAAGTATTAGTCTTCCTCAAAACATGAAAATTTTACAATTATCAATTTCTTAGATAATTTTTGTTTCTCGTTGTCATAGAACAAATGATGCTTCATTGCTTTGTAGTTGTCTTTGTTTCTACAATTTGTTATCCTTTACATTCAAGAAATGATGCTGAAGGATTTCGCAATAGCGTGAAACTCCGATCTCAGCTCCGACCAAGCTGACTCAGGAGCCTGAGCATTCAGCGTGTAAAGCCGGCCACCATGAGCGCAACAAACGGCCACGTTATGCCGCCGGAAAAGCGGCGATTCGACTTTGAACTCCAGCTCATAGTACTTCAAGTTCTTCTCTGAATCTTGTCTAAGATTTGATTCAAGCAAAGTTCCTTTTAAATCTTTTCGTTGACCAGATCCTGTCACTGTTCTCACTATAGCTTCTCCTACTTCTTTTGGTCCTCCAAACGCTTCAATTCTGTATTCAATTATCCATATCATAATAACATAACCAAGCATGTAGCAATGAATGTGTATATATATACTTAATGATCTATAAGAATATACAGGAATGATGTTTTTTTTACTCACTTGAAAGTGGGTGAGACAGGGGAGACGATAACACTGACATTGAGCTCGCCGGTCGAACCGGGCGGTCCAAACGCAACAGCTGGTTCATTGACGTTTCTCCGGCGAATGTTTCTTGCCGGAGGAAGGTCTAGCGAAATCTCCCGTTCTGTCTTCTCCGCCGCTCTATACAAGAGCGTCTGGTCTCCGACCCACGTAGACGGATATATAAACTCTGTGATTATATACGAAAAATACGTTTACTATTCTCATTATTTCTCACAAAATTCAGATTTGATTCTAAATTGTTCTGAAATAAATTCGAACATCTAAAAAAAGGAATTGATAATATTTCCAATTTAATATGGTCACTCACTCGGAGATATTCAGAATAAGGATAATTTAATGTGACGAGGACTTACTAACCGAATCCTTCAACCGTGTCGATACATCTGCTATAACCTCCGATCGGATAAACGACGTCGAGTTTTAGATTCCGGCCGGATTCCGGCGATAAACCGAGCAGAAAACTCGTGATGCCTCCGAAATTCGCACCGACCGCAAGAACAGAGGACGATCCTACACCTAGAAGAAGCCGCCGGTTGAATTTCTCAGCCAGCGGAGAAAACTCGTCGGCAGGGGTAGTTTTCCGATCACCGGAGGATTGTTGAGCGATCAAAATGTTGGGGAGTTTTGCATTTTGGGGCGGTGATGATGAGTGTAGAGAGAAGTAAAGTTTCAGAGACATTTCTCGTCCGTTCTCTAAGTGAGGTCGTCGAGTGTTGCCGTCGACTCTCTCTTATCACCTGAAGAGCTAGTACTAAACCTAAACGACAGCGCTTTAAGTTTCCAGAGCAAACGTCGACGTTTAGACTGAGAACCCAACGTTGACGTTTAGAACTGAGAACCAAACGACGACGTTTCGTACTGAAAACCAATTAATACTTCAAACATTTAAGAAGGGAATGAATACTAACAAATTAAAATCTAAGGTGTGCTAACTTAAAAAACAGCTTAACCAATTAAAATTTTAAGGTGGGTTTAACAGAAAGTGTACAATATGGTATTGTACATAGTTAAAACTTAAAATGTAAAATTCATGAAACTTTGTTTTTAGTTTTGCCTATGCTTTGTTCCTACATATCTATTCGGAACACTCGGCTGTGAAAGTCGCCAAAGAATCTATTTTGAATCGGTCTTTTTCAGTTGAGTTTTTTTTTTTTTTTTTTTTTTTTTTTTTACAAGTACAGTACTATTGTATCTTACAATTCATTGTAGATGTACATCTTACAACATGTTGATAATACATTAGTACACACAAAATTCGGGAGAGAAGAAGATAATAGTAGTACATTTCACGAATATAAATACAGTAATCTGTAATGAATATAATCAAACAATGGGTTTGCTATATCTTTGAATAAATCAAACAATTTACAGATACTAAAGCCAAGTATATGTAGGATTTTATTTTATCTCGACCTTTACGTATCGAATATGTAATAATTCCCATCAAACCTAAATAATGGCAAATGAGAGTTGAACTTCTTCTAAGGTTAATCCTCGAGTCTCCGGCACCATACACCATGTGAATACAATTGTTCCTCCACAGACTAGAGCGGATATAAGAAAAGTCCCTGCAAATTATTTTCAATAAAACACGGTTAAACACTTTGCATTTGCAGTCTAATTACTTCATTTTTAATATCTAATTCGAACAAAACTCGAATCAGTATTTCAAGTTTATTCAAAAGTAAACTAGTAGTCGGGTTACTTACCGGTTGGGCTCCAAACCAACATAAAGTTGACTAAATAATTAGCGATGAAACCAGTGAACCAATTGGCTATGGTCACTAAACTCCCAGCTAATACTTTTATATCCATTGGAAATATCTGCAAACAAAAAAAACTTAATTACATCAATGATAATAATAATAAAAAGTGATAATTTGGATACAATGAGAAACACAATCCAAAAAATGAACATGTTTGTTCATAAGTATACCTCGGACATTATAATCCATGGCAACGCTCCCATTCCAACTGCGAACATCATCGTGAATGACTGTTCCAATTATAAAGTGTTATCTCTTGTCACATTTTGAAAACTAGCAACAATCAGTCTATATATAAAAGTCTATAAACTTTACCACTATTCCAATGAAAGTGAAGATTGGAGTAATTTGTTGAATGTCGGGGATATCTTTAACTCCAAAAGCTATCGCCAATGTGATGCAGCTTAAACATAACCCCAATGCTGAAGTCTACCGTTACAAGACAAATCATTAGTTAGCCGTTTATAAGACGGTTAATAAGACAGAATTAATAAGAATTTTTAAAAAAAATCTAACCATAAGAAGTGGTCGTCTTCCCCATCGATCCACGAGGATTAAACCCATAAAAGACTTTGGTACCTATGGATGATCATTGAGAAAAAAATTAATGGAGCAATTTGTATAAATGAGTATTTTTAAGAGAAAGTGCAATTAAAAATATAAAACACAATTTAATATTTATATAGTGACGTACGACGATAAGAGACAACACCGTCATCCCAATCCGAGTAGGAAATCCTATAAAACATAAGTGTGTTAATTTGACTTTTTTTTTCTAACTAAAATTTAAACAAGATACACTGCATATTTTAAATTATAGCAGAGAACATAATATAAGATATTTTACCGCCAAGTGCAAATAGAGTGCTTCCGTAACCGCTTGTTCCTGCAACTCCAGAAAACTGTTGCAGAAGCATCAAGCCTATGCCGATCTAAACATAATTAACCATCCAAACAAATGTGTTATTATGTTTCTTAAATCCAATTCATATCAAATCATAATTTTGAATAAGAAGAAAGATTTGATCTTACTGTAAGTTGACGAGCATATCTCTTTTGAAAAAGACTACGAAAGCCGATATTCGCATTTTGCTTTGATACTTCAACCGAAACCTACAATGTTTTGAAATAACTGTGAATCTCTTTACATGAAAACAAAAAGATATCAAAGCAAAATGCGAAGTGATTCTATTTTGGGAGTGATTTATATGTATGAGTACCTTAATTTCACGAGATTCGCGCCCAACATTATATTTTTTTCCTCTTAACCTTTGAAGAGCAGCTTCAACTTCTTTGTCACGACCTTTTTTGGCCTGTAAAAATTAAGTTCAAATAATATATATTTGTTGACTTACATTATATACAATTTATATGACTAACCACTAACCAGCCATCTTGGAGACTCAGGAATGAAGAACAAACCAGTAACTTGTATCACACATGGAAATATACCTGGTTGGAAATGAACATTAGTTAGAACAGCTAATCTGGAGAAATGAAAAAAGTTGGAGAAGAATGAATCACCGAGTAAGGCTAGATTTCTCCATGACAAGTAATTTCCAAAGTAATATGCGGTTGCAATTCCACAGTTTTGCAACAACTGTTACAGTAAAGATTTATAAATTATATATATATTTTTAAACAAATAAATGATTATATCCAAAGTTCAAGTTTAAATTTGGAGTCACCTGATTGCTAAATGTAAAAGCGCCTCTAACGTGCTTCGGTGTTATTTCTGCAACGAAAACAGGCACCTACAACAAAAACAAAACAATTAAAGAAAATTATAAATGTTTATGGTTAGGCTTAGGGTTAATATTTTTCTTCAACCATCATTAAAGAAACACTTTACCACGTAGCTAATGAGACCATTTCCAATTCCCACAAAAAGTCTTCCCGTATCAAGCCAAATAATATTCTGTGCCAAATATAATAAATTTGAAAACATAAATATTTATAAAAAAAAGTTGCAAAGATAAGTAAGAATATCAGAAGATGTGTAATGATAGGAACCTTGGCTGATGCAATTGCAAGCCAACCAGCTATGCAGAATATATCAGCGAGCAACAACGTCTACGAAAATTGAGAATATAAAACCATAATGGGGTTAAGTATATACATTAAAGAGTTAGGGGCGTAAATAAAATATAAGAAAACGTAATTTTAGGAGTAACTAATAAATATTTTACCATTTTATTACCGAAGACAGCTGCAGCTTTGGCGCTAAATATTGCACCGATCATTCCTCCAAACGTGCTAAGCGAACCAAACAGCGAAAACTGCGACAATACGTTACACAAAAATTTATTTCATTTATTATATGATCTGAAACCACACAAAATTTTATTTCAATTATTACCGAAAATGGAATGGCAAGTACTTGCCAAAATCTATTTTAAAATTTATATATCTTCTTTTCCTAAGATAATGTTTTTTATTAAATAAAGATAGCGAAACATGGGCTTACTTGCGCGAGAGAAAGATCCAAGTCTGACATGATGGATGACATTGTATCTGCAGTATATGCCGCCTGTGTATACGTACCATATAATGATATTCATTAAGATAAGAACAATGGTGTCGACTGTAATTCACTAACTATCAATTATATCATAGTTATACAGGTCATAACTATGTACTGTCTCCTTTCCTACATGCCCTGAAAATATTCTGATGTCAGGCACATAGGAAAAGTAAATGAAGCCACCAGTTTGGGCCTCACATTTATAAGATAAGCTTTTCTATTCCTTTTAATTACAAAAAAGCATAAAAATTGTACATCCTTCTAATATCTTGAGCAGAGTTAGAAAAGGTGTTGGATCAAACATCGCTACCATACAACCATATATATACATAGAGAGACAGAGATTGATTGGAACGACAATAGTTTTTGGCAAAAACAAAAATCTAAAGAAAAGTAGTGTCGACTGCAACTTACGGAAATACTTAATACTTTTCTGTTTTAAATCACTTGTTACTTCTTTTTTTTTTTTGTTAAAGGGCCACTTGTTACTTGTTACTTCCTACTTCTGTACATGATCTATATTAAATTCACTAAAATATTTCTAAATCATAGTTATTCCTTTCCTACATGTCCTGAATCTTCTGGTGTCCGGCACAGAGCAAAAGTAAAAGAAGCCATCAATTTGTGCCTCAGATTTATAAGATTAAATTTTGGAATAAGCTTTTCTATTTCTTTTAATTACAAAAAAAAAAAAAAAAAAAACATAACAACTGTACATCCTTTTAATCGTGCGCAGAATTTTCAAAGATGTTGGCCCAGCATTGCTACCATTCAACCATATCTTATCCTCAACAGTTTTTTTTGTTTGTTAAAGCTTATCCTCTACATATCTTTAATTATTTACCGTCCTCTAACCACAGTAATACTTGATAAAAAAAAGTAAAAAATTTACACTGCCGCTGAAACTTTGGTTCTAAACTTGTAAGAGAAGCGTATACATATCTACTAATGAGAGTGCATATATACGTATATATATAGAGAGAGAGAGAGGAAAAGAGAGAGAGAGAGAGAGAGAGAGAGAGAGAGAGAGATTGGAACGTACGGCAACGCCAAAGGTGAAAGAGGCGGAAACAATGATGAAGGTTGAGAAGACAAGAAGTGGAGTTGTATTTGCAGATGCCTCTTCTCTATTCACCAACAATAATCCTTTTTCGACACTACTATCATCTCCCTCCATTTTGTTCATCCAGAACCCTTGGAACAGAGAGCAACAGAGATTTTTTTTTAACTGAAAACCTTTGTTCAAACAAAAAGAGAGAGAAATCCTTTAAGAGAGAGAGAGAGATTTTTTAAGAGAGAGAGAAATGTATTTCTTTCATTCTCTATTATGATATATAGACAATAGATAGCATTGATTAACAACAGAGTTGGAAACAGTATCATGCTACTGAGGTGTACCTAACTTATATTGAGTCTAGGTTCGTGCTCATTGTTTGCATCAACCAACAACCAATACGGTTTGTTAATTGTATGGTTCATGGGTCCGGTTTGTTTTGGGTAAAATATCCTCTATGTAAAGATCATTTTTGCTGATGTAATATGTCACATCTGAAATGTTTGATTTGGGTAACATATCATTAAAATATTAAAAGAGAAACATTGAACATCATTTTTTTGATGATTATACAAGGTTTAATTTGGATAACATATCCTTTATATATTAAAGATAAACACAATGACAACCATTTTTGCTATGTATCACATCTATAAGGTTTGTTTTGGATAACATATCCTCTATATATTAAAAGAGAAATATGGAAAACTATTTTTGCTGATGTATCACATTTATAATTTCTTCTCATCCTTTTTATTTTGCATTTTTTTAATTCCTTGCCAAACATATATATTTCAACAATACCTTTATAGATTACTCTAATTTCTATTCCCAAACACATTTAAGTATTCATAAATTTACCCAAAATAACAATTCAAAAATCTAGTATAAATCATATGCACGAATAAATCTCAAATTTCATATAATAATTCAAAACTTTATTTGACTTTTTTAACTAAAAATATATAGGACACATCGCAAATTTGACTTTAGTCCACCGTAAACGCATACATGTACTTTTTACTATATTAGCACAATTCATCAAATGAAAAATAGATTACTAAATACTCTCCGTTTCACAATAAGTGTTATTTAAGCAAAATGAAAATTTAATGTATTTGAATGTATTAAACTCAAAATAACACTTATTCTTGTCCAGATACATCCGATTATTGTCCAGATACATTTTTTCTAAATGACATTTATTATGAAACAGAAGTAGTAATATTTAACCGAACAATAACAAATACGCATAAATTTTATTAAGTCTAATTAAATTTTATTAAGTCTAATAATAAAAGATACATTGAGTGTATTAGCACGGGTATTATCCTAATCTTGTTTATTAATCTAAATATTTGAATAATGTCGCCCCATAATGCGATTGTACTCTGACTAGCAAATGAACTATTCAAATTTTTTTTGCATTTTTCAATTTTTTTCATTGAATGACTATTCATCTATTGTTATTGTATTTTCATGTAAATAGAGGCCAAAAGCTCTATGGAAAAATCGTGGTTCAATTTGATGTTTTCTAAGGGAGAATTGGAATACGGAGGCGAGCTAAGTAAAGCAATGGATAGTTTTGCTCCTATTCAAAAGACTACTATATATAAAGACCGGTTTATATATGAGATGGATAAACACTTTTATGGTTGGGGTGAGCGATAGAAACAAAGGCATCAAGTTGCCGTGTTCCTTGTTTTGAAGTTATGGGCTGTAAGACGATACACATCAACTTGAAAGACCGTAGATGTGGAATAAATCAAATGTTAAGAGTTTCGTGAAGAATAATATAAAGGAAGAGAGAAGAATACACAAGTCACTTAATCTTAACAAATTCAGATTCTCACGAAACTCTTGTGTGGCTCCATTAGAGTCTTATGCTGAATATAGCATTTATGACTTGCGTCGCTTTGTGTGGATAAAATACGAATGGAAATCAATCGTAGTGGTTGTACGTCAGTTAAAACTTGACCCCCATTTGTAGAAATGTCAAATTGTCAATGGCGTGATTCATTTAACAAATACGCAAAAAGAAAATGTCTAACCATGACCATGATTTAAGATTGGGACAAAGAGACGTAAATAGGAATTCCACCTAACTATCACATTCAACCATCGTTTTATATGATGTTGTTGCAAAGGCTTTAGAAGATTTTTTGGACCGGTTTGGCTAATAAAATAGATTTCGGTCCGGTGCAATGGTTATCAAGCAGAAAGAAAGAAGAAAAAAGTCCGAGACCCCATCGGATCCGATCCCACAAGATAGGGCCAAAGTTATTTGGAACAAATATAAACCGGTCACGAACGTAAAGCGACGTACGCGTTTACCTCGAATATATTTTCTCAATTTGGGAGTGCAATATTTTTATATTTTTAGCAAAATTCCATGTTAATTAACAATTCTCCTAGATCCGTCCTTGTTTATCTTCTCCCAAATAATAAAAGTCCACTGTTGGTCAGGATTTAAAGATGTGACGTACACTACTTTATGTGTACATAACATATGCATGTCGATATATTATATACTTATGGTTGACTTCTGAACAATATTCAAGTACACGGAAATAAAGGGATTAGGCACGTTGGTGAAAGAGAGAGAGAGGCGCATCAGTTAGTGGGTTTTGTCCTAAAACTAAAACAAGTTAATGGGTTTTGTCCTAAAACAAGTCGTAATAAGTCAGCTTTTAGGCTTCAGCTTTAAGTAACTCCAGCTCTTTAATTCTTCAAGGTGACACAAAATCCACACTTTTTCCCCCGCAGCTCTCGGATCTCTCATCTCAAATAGCGTTTTTTAACTTTGGTGTTGCTAAACAAACTCATGAATCTCTTCGACTTTTCCTGGAGAAACAAAACAGAGGAAACAGTTTCCATCACAACTTCAAGGAAAATCTCTTCTCATCTGGTAATAATGTTTTTTCTCTCCCACATTTACGTAGATATCTGGCCTTAGGCGCTCCGTGATTTTCTCTGTTTGGTTCCCGAGAGAATGTAGGAAAACGATGTAGCTAGTTAGAGCTAGAGAGATCTAAAGTGTGAACAAAAACGATTAACAGTTTCTCTCTGTTTTTTTTTATCAGGTCAAGATTAGAACCAATCACTGAAAGAAATAAGCTTTTTAGGGTTCAGAAGAAGAAATGGGAAGATCATGTTTGCCGAAATGGCGACTAGGAAGACTAATGGCGGGAGTACAAGTGATTTTAGGGTTACTAGTGATCACTGTGAGTCTCTCATGTCTCTACAGATTTCATTCAGCGGGATTCTTCTTGCACAACGAAGACACTTGCCGCAATATCTACACTATCAAACAAGTCAACAGTGAAGGATTCGACCTAAAGGCTCTGCACGATGGCGTCGATGAAGTCCTCCAAAAGATGGATAACTTGTACGAGACGCTAGAGAAGACTGTAAAAGAGTTGGAGAAGAGCAAAGACGGTAGCAAAAAGGAGATGAAGAAGTTTCTTGAAGATGAAGTAATGAAGCCATTTTACTCAGCTCATATCGGTCTAAGGCAAATCCGGTTACCAAAACCCGAAGGAATCAGAAGAAACTTGACGGAAAAGGAAGAGCCTTTGATCAATAAGTTTCTCGTTGAGGAGATAAGGAAGTACATTACCCCTAAGGAGAATAGGGTTGGGAAGATAAACATGTTTGGAACGGAGAGAGTTTACAACACTATAGGACATGCTTGTGTGTTGATGAAGATTGATCTAGAGAAGTATATGGATTACGATGTTGGAGCGTATTGCGACGATGATTGGAATCTGGCACAGAAGCTGATGCTCAACGGGTGTGACCCGTTACCTATAAGACGATGCTTGACAAGAGCATCAATGACTTACCAGAAACCATATCCGATCAACGAGTCATTGTGGAAACTTCCTGATGATAGAAATGTGAGATGGGGGAATTACCAATGCAGGAACTTCGCGTGCTTATCAAGCAAGAACCCTAAAAGGGGTTACACAAAATGCACTGGATGTTTTGAGATGGAGAAAGAGATTGAGAAATGGGTCAAGAACAGTAGTTTGTTGGTTGATTTCATGATTGATGATGTTCTGAGAGTGAAGCCAGGTGAGATCAGGATTGGATTGGACTATGGTGTTGGGACAGGAACATTTGCAGCAAGAATGAGAGAAAAGAATGTGACTATTGTCACAACTGCTTTGAATTTGGGAGCTCCTTTCAATGAGATGATCGCACTGAGAGGTTTGATCCCTTTGTACATCTCTGTGAACCAGAGGCTACCGTTCTTCGACAACACTATGGATATGATTCACACTTCTGGGTTGATGGATGGTTGGATCGATCTTCTTCTGATGGATTTCGTGCTATACGATTGGGATCGAGTGCTGAGACCGGGTGGGTTACTGTGGATTGATAGATTCTTCTGTAAAAAGAAGGATCTTGATGATTATATGTACATGTTCTTGCAGTTTAGGTACAAGAAACACAAGTGGGCTATTTCACCTAAATCAAAGGATGAGGTTTATCTCTCTGCGTTGCTTGAGAAACCTCCTCGTGCAATCTAAAGAAACACAATACAGAAGCTCAAGCTTGTATGTTTGTATTTGACATATTACTACTCATTTGATTGTCTAATCTTTGTTTTAATTTCTAAAAAAAATAGAGTTTTTCCAGCTCTGTTTCACTTTACTAGTTGATGATTTTCTTGCACGGTAGCTAATTCAAGACTTTATTTATACCTGACCTTGAAACTGCGCATTAAAACGACACTGATGGAGAATAATAATAAAAACCATAAACATCAGCTTAAGTTACAGAACCAATGGTTCACTCTACTAAAAGCTCCTGAATCAGCCAGAAGCTTGTTCAGTTACACTTAAATACCTCTGGTCAAGCTGTTATCTTGAAACCATGAGCTTCTAACATCATTTTCTCAGGTGAAGATGTCATTATCTACTCTAGTTAAAAAGAGACTGGACTTACCTAAAGGGGATTAAAAGAAAAAACTAACCCAAACGATTTGGTTTTTCAAGTTGGTACTAGAGCCAGGATTTGAGTCTTGATTCGTCCCATGCACGTTTGGATTTCTCTGTAGATGGGTAAGTTCTGGGGGCATCGAGGCTGCAAGCTCGTGACTGCTGTGTCTATAAGCTGTGCCACATCAGCTGGAGGGTAATGTCTCTCCGTGCACATCTGCAAGTAGAAAGCAAAGCTCAATGTGTTACTATGACGATGCAGTTTGATTCAGATTTAGGATGAATGATGATTCCAGTCCTGTCTAGGTTAGGTGGCTTATGGCACATGAGGATCTAAACAAAGATTACCTGAATCATGAGCCAAGTGGCAACACAGGAGGTGATTAGCTCTGAAGGCATTTGAGCCTCGTTTTTCTCTGAACCATCTTGTGAGATGGAATCGTTGTTAGCCATAGGCTCTGATGCGTCTGAGGGAGACGGGTTGTGATGATGCTCTGTTCGTCCATTTGCATGCTCGTGGTGTTTGGACATAGTAGACCGATGTAACGGCTGATGTTTGCCAATCAAGTCTAAGGCTTCTTGGATCATTTTGCTCGCATCTTCTCCTTCCTTCACAGATGATGCAGCCTAGAACCATAGAGTGACCACGACTTAGCAAAACATATGTATGTTGCAAGAGAATATAGGAAAGCGTCTAAATTGATACCTTAATAGCTGCATCCACCATTGCTTGCGCTCTTGTCTTTGAACCATTGACAATTTCTAGCATCTCTGGCTCCATTTCCTGTCACACAGCACAAATATAAGCCTATTCAAATCAATCCGACGCCAGAGTTTCCGTACCAATATGAACAACAAAACATCCGCAGTCCATTACCTTTTCATCTAAAGCATTCTGTAGCGCAAGTGCTCGTTGATACTCAACTTCTCTTGCTTTGCGATAGTTTACGATAAATGACTGATCAGTCTGATGTGGACTACTAGCGTTGCTCGATACTTTACCATGCAGAGCGGGAGCACTCATATCACCCTGTAGAGAATTGATGGACAGGCATAAAATTTACAGAACGTGTACGGGAAAATCTAAGAAGGTTAAAAGGCTCTGACAGAACTAGTCAAATCCAACCTTTGGTACCTGATTCAGAGGAGGATTCACGGCAAAGCCAACACCTTCAAGTCCGCATGGAGGGAATATAACAGACACACCAACGTTTGAATTCCCGCTTAGCTGTGGTTCTTTCTTTATGGACAAGCACTTATCAATTTGCCTCCTTAGACCCTCTGGCATGTATTCCAGTGGATTTGTAGGCATGCAATCAATGTCCTGTCGAAAAAGGGGACGATCAAAGGATGACGACCTTATTATTATCTATAAATCATAACAGAATGGACTGTGTGAATGGATATAGTATTCGAGTTACCATAACTAACTCAACGCCCAAGTCGTCAAACAGAACATTGCATTTGTTATGGTCAACAGTGAGAATTTTCCCATCATGAATCTCTCGTGTTTTGGGATGGATTGCAATAACTCTATTCCCAACTGATAATGGACGAGCCAAATCTGTAGGAAGCCCTTCCCTAACACCTGTTCGAAGATCTGTATAATGCTTTCTCACAGATTCACGGTACTGTTTGAGTTTCTCCCGCTCTTCCTGTAAGAATCTCTCAGAGAATCTTCGGGGTCTACCAAGGGAACTGCAGAAACAGAAAGAGCAACCTTTTTAAATCTACTATATCCTCTGAGAGCATTTTCAATAACTTGAACAAACCTTTTAATGACGCTCCATTCAAGACGAGTAAGTCTTGGAATGTGACCAAGTCCCACGTGATTTAGGTAATCGACAAACTCCATCTTCGCAAACCAGGGATGGTCGATAGCACTGTAAAACCATTCAAATATGCACCTTCGACGTGCCAAGGGATACGACAGAGAAGTAGAAAGCATATCCTGAAATTGGAAAGAAAACAATAAAATATATATTTGTATATATACCAGATTTTGAATGTGCATAGGAGAAGCGAAATTAGAAGCTCAACCTTGGATAACAACTCCTTCTCTGAAAGAGATCTGGAGCTACGCGAAGCTTTATGAGTGATTTCAGAAGATTTAGCCCTTTCTTGTAAACTTTTCTTCAGACTTATCTTACGCCTGTTTGGTGTTTTTGGCGGTAAACTGGCTGGACCCGAATCAGAAGCTTGTTTAGTTGACACTTCTACATCCATCACAGATCTTTTCTTATCGGAAATTGTAGAAGTTTCCTCCAACGCCTTAACAGTTTTCAACTGTTTTGACTGAGGGGGACCTTGACCAGCGCGTTTTGTTCTAATAAAAGACTTCATATTATGCTCTTCTTGAGCCAATTCCTGCAACACAATAAACCCAATTATATGAGGTAATGTTTTCTTCAGACGCACAAACTTGAATACGTGTTATGCATTTTTTTAGTAGAGATATTTGTCAAGGAACTAGAAGTCGCTTCAGAGGATAGTAATCACAGAGTCCAGCCAAGTTAATTTATTGTACAAATGAAGCAATATAGTAGTCAAGACGCTTTTGGATTAATTCAACATACATAGAGAATACCTTCTTGTTTATGGATTTGTTCTGACTAGAATCTGTTGGATCTTCATCACCTAGCACCTGGAAATTAAACTAAATTCATATACAGCTAAGAGATGCCAAGAAGAAAGTGCATAAAAAATTAAGAGAACTATCTAGCTAACCTTTGGTTTACGTTTTCTTCTTAAACTGCCACTAGTAGGCCCCGTGGGAACAGCATTACAATCAGTGGATGCATGTCTTGAAGGTTTTGGTTTTCTAGAGTAAGCTTTCTTAATTGCAGACATTGCCTGAAGCGGACCATCATCTGGTTCTGCATTTGCCTTTTCCCCATGACTGCTTGTGGATGTAGCTTCCGGTGAGCTAGATTTCTCGTCCATGTCGTTTTCTGTTCTTTCTTCCTTCAACTGAGCAGATGATTCTGTACACAACACAGTATAGTAAAAAATAAATAAATAAATACAGACATGTTTAGACAGCAAATAGCGAAAAGCTGTAGAATTTCAATGAGACATGTAATGACAGGATTTTCTTTTTAACACAATCTACATACTCAATGAGAAAATCGAGAAAAAAACATAAGTTTCAGGTACATTCAGGCCCCATGGTTTAACAAGCAAAACCACACAACGCTCACCTGATTCCATCATTGTTGCCGGAAGCAATGAAGCTGACAGCTCAGCCAGCGCTTGCAGAGCATCAAATTCATCTACACAGCAATAGACAAGAACTAAGTTTCAGATTCCCATATATTTTCAGCAGAGGATGAAGATACTTAGTTTGAATCGACACTGCAGAATAGATAAATAATCAAATCTAACAATATTAAAGCTTGTAAACGAAATATGTTAAAGCCTAATAAGAGTTGATGACTATTTCTAACTTTCCAGGCAGAAGATTAGTATTTTTACCTCCGGAGGTAAGTTTGTTATCTCTTTTCTTAGGGCTGCGCGGCGAATACTTCTCTCTTGAGGCTTCAACACCTGCCTTTCGTCTCTGTGATTTATTTCTGAGTCCCTCAGTAGCACTGCACGCTTCTCCATTGTCATCAGAATCTGCTTCTTCGACTTTCACTCTTTTCTTGTAGACCCTTTTCCCCTTCCGCGGGACTTCCATTTCTCCAACCCCCTCCATATCCATCAGCAACGCAGCATCTCTATCCGATTCAAGCTTCCTCTCTCGGCTACTTCCCACCAGCTCCTCATACATGGAGCTGTCACGGTACTTCGGATGAACTTTTCTCGTTCGCGACTGGTCAAAGCACAAAGTTGAAGAGTGTTTCTAAGTAAATCAAGCTTACCCAGGAAATAGATAAAAAAAGATGGACGCATAAAAATTTTAGAGCTTAAGAGTTACTATTTTCCCCCAGCCCTTTATTGGTGAGCTGTCGCTGAGTTCTGTTCTTCGACTTGGTGATTCAGCAACTTTTGAAGACCCTCCCCTCCTCGATGCGTCTGTTAATGCTAAAGCTAAAAAATGTGCAACATCATCATTCGCATTGAGTTGCTTTCTGGCTCTTTTATTTGGTGGAGTAGAGCCATCTCTTTCATCCCTCATGTGTGAAGTTTGTACAGGAAACCGAGGTGTACGCTTGCCAGTGGCATGTCGCTGTGTTCCTACATTAAGTAAGAATCATGTTTACACATTCTTGAACGAATTGGTTTATCGATACTATATAAAAACACAATAACAAATGCAAAACAAGCAAAGAACTCCCTCACTCGCTTAAATGATATAATGAGTGGGAAAATCATATAAAACTCTTTGATGTATCTTCTTCAGACGAGGATAAAATTTAGGAGAATATGAGCTAATGCAATGTAGACACTTTACCATTCGCCCGTGCTTGTTTCAAAAACGTGAGACATCCATCTGTTGACGCAATTGAATGTTGCATATCAGCTTCCTCTCGAGAATCACTAAGCTGAGGTTTGGCACGTTTGCGCTTCTGCTGTTTTCTAGGTACTTCTGAAGCATCATGGCCTTCTCCTTCACTGCCACTCCCTTCCTGGAAAAAATACCGTAAGAATGGGATAGAAACCGGTCCACATAACTTTATCAAATATAAAAAAACTCGAAATTTTATAATGTAGCCGGATTCACTGTCTAAATAATTAAGAGTATTTTTAACCAAGTAGCAGTTCACTTCAGATAATGGCAGCCGTAGTAAAATATATTTCTCACCATGACACTGTAATGATCTGTCATCATGGCAATAAGGCCAGCTACAGAGGCAGTTCCCTCGGGGAGAGATAAATATGCCTGGAAGAAGAAGAAGCAGATTATATGAAATGCAAACATTTGTAGGTTTTTACAAGATTACAAAAGATGTCTAATTTCATACCCGATTCATATTAAAAAGGGCTTCCACCATGTCAACAGACCTGCTATGCCGAATTGCAGCAGCCACCTATACAAAAGCAAAAATCTTATGAACTGTGATGCCATAGAAACTCAGATAGACAAATGTGAGTGAAACGAATAATCTACCTTTCTCCAGTCATGCCCGTACTTGCGGTAAGCGTCATAGAAACGCTCAAGCTCTTCTCTGCTCCACTGAGGTCCAAGCTTGTCAGCCAATTTCTTCTTCTACAATGACCAAAACATTGTTAATAGACTAAAATCTCACACTCAACTTTCAAGAAATGAAGACTCGGTTACTTACACGCTGCTTATTTTTCCTCGACTTCCCAGCATCTTTTCCTGGGGAATCTTCATGGGTGAAACGCTTGTTCACACTCCTTGACTTCCTCACCGGTGGCATTTTCAAGTTTCTCTGCCAAAGTATTTCAAACAGTTAGAATAAAAAAAAAAAAAAAAAGAAGACGAAACTAAATTGATAAAGCAATTCCTCTAAGACATGGACAAACTACGAATTACAATTTGGTCATTGAATGGAGTTCGAAATTCAAAAATTAACGCTTTACTCAAAAACAATTATAACCCATTATTCTTGGATCAAACAAATAGCTCTGTTGGGGAAGACAAATTATCTGCAGTATCGAGGAGGGGAAAATAACGAAATTTCGGAATCAGATTTTAAATTTGGGTATTCAAAATCCTAAAAGGACACCAATTAACAATCCAAATTCAGGAATCGATATTCACTGTTACTAAATACGAAAATCATTCACGAAGGAACAAAAGTCAGGAGCTCGATTCCAAAATTTCGGGGAAATGTGTTGAGAAATTGTTTAAATTTTTGATAGAAACACAAAAACCGAATCCGAAACTCCCATCGCCTAATCTGAAAACATCAATAAAACGCAGACTCCACAAATCTGAAACCGATTCCCCCAAAAAAAATTTGAAAAAATCTTCAATTGAGTTGAGCTTTAAAAACAAAAATCACAGTTGCGAAGAATGAAAACGAACGAAGAACTAAAACAGAAGTGTAGAGAATTCAAAAAATGTTCCTGGGAAAACTTCACAGCTGAAGGAAGAAAATTCAAACGGAGAAAGGAAAACCCTTTAAAAACCCTAATTGAAACAGATCCACAGACGATTCACTTACCAATTACGTGGCTAGAAGAGGAGGGAGTAGGCGCCGAGCCTCAGAGAAAGCAAAACGCAGGTTTGGGGGTCGGAGGGGAGAGAGAAAGCACGAGCCTTTTCTTTCAAAAAGAGAGATCGAGGAGAAAATTTGAATAAGGGTTTTAGAGAGAGAAGGCAATTGAAAAGAAATGAAAAAAAAAAAAGATAAGAGAGGAGAGAGAGAGATAGAATTAGGGAAATGAAATGGGAAGAGGTGTTGCCGCGAAACTTGAATACAAGGACGACTTTAGCCAATCAGCGTTCCCGATTCGTCATTTTTTACAATTTTTCATTTAAATTCTTCCTTTATTCTGTTTCACTCTGTTGGTGCATGTGTGATCGTGAACGTCCACGTGTCTTATAAGATGTATACGCCGTTTGATGTGGTTAGGTTCACCTGTTGGAATTGTGGGTTTGGTACCAGAGGATCATATTTAAAAATACGGGAATTTTAAAAAGGAAAAATAAACAAGTATATGATGGTGAACAAAATATAAATTCTTGAAGATATCATAACTTGGTTGATTAACGTGTCGTTTTAGAATATATTTGGTCCGGTTTGATCTTATGATTGTAACTAATATTCCAATGCGTTGTTCAAACCTTGTCGGACGTATTTTTGTTTTGAAGACTGTAAAATTTATTTAGCGGTACAGTCCACCATCACAGAGAATATTTCCTCATAAATTTCAACTAGATAACAAGGACTTCCAAATTTCACAATAAGCTTCTACCATTTCCGATTTCACAGTAAGCTTTTTAGTTTTAGATTATATATTCACTGAAAAGGGTTTAGTTTGCTTTTACTATATACATTTCGAGAGCTAAAATGTGTTTTTTTTTTGCTGATAATCTACTACGTAGTCAATGCAATTAAAGATCAAATTCAGTATCACTTGGTTGTGGTGGCTTGACATACAACTGTTTCTTATGCAGTGTTGGAAAACATATTTGCGAACACAAAAAAACGGCAGCGCATTGTATAGGCTTTTCTTACGGGCTGATAAGATTACATCTCGATTCTTCTTGGCCCACGAACAAAGCCCAAATCATAGTCCCATGACCAAGAGACCCATATACGACCAGATTTTCCGACCAGGATAAAGAATGAGGTGGACAAGTATATCAGCAAGGTCAACTTTAGAGCTCTATAAATTTAATTCAATGGTGGAAGTTTAGTTGAATTTTGAAACTAGCTCAGAGACGCCCGAGTTTTAATCAATCCCATCATCTCTCACATTTTCTTTTAATGAACTCGGGAAGCGAGTACTCGGAGTCTCGGATAGTTTTGTGCCTTGCAGTAAATTTGTTAAAAAAAAGAAGAAACTGGGGAAATAAGTAATGGTAATTCTGGAAAAGCAAGGAAAGACTTTGAGTCAAGCTTTGTGGAAAAGTAATGTTTATAAGTATCAAGTAATAAATACTCCTTACTAGCGCCTTGACTTTGCTTGATTTTGAACTGAGGAGGTCCATCCGTGTGAACACTAAAACCTCTATGAACCTGATATGCCAAGATAAGTTTATGCGTGGCAGGATAAAAATGCTCTGTCGTTGGCTCGTGAACAGAAGTGAAAAGAGGGTCTCCACTTATTACTTATTAGTTTCTTGAGTATAGAAACGTTTGTTGTTCTTCATTCTTAGGCAATTTCTGGAAATAGTTAGTAAGTTTCAGTACTTGAGAATTCCGGAGATCCCCATCTTGAGAGTTTCACTTGATTAATTATTTGTATTAATCTTGTTGTTAAGTGAAGGGCTTCTTTCATAAACAGAACTTCAAAAGCGGAATGGGTCAATATTGTACTATGTGGAGAAGTTAGGCAAGTGGGGCACACATTATTGATGATAGAGAGGATTACGGAAGACTTGACAAATCAGACACATATCCGACAAGTTGACTCAAGACTTGGCCGAGTCAAGACCATTGTGTTCTTTCAGGTTTTTCTTCCTTTTAAAAAAGAGCCGGAGAAGCCATTATCATCATAACCTATCACTTACCACACAAAAGTCATAAGCAAAAAGAGGGTACAAATGATGATCCCAAGCCAATCTTATAGCTTTTCGTGTATTGTTACCTTGTATTTGTTCTTCATGGTTTCCCTCGTTTTACACACTCTCGCTTTTCCAACACTCCACTATTGCCGCCATGACCAGAGAGATGCTCTTCTGGAGTTCAAGGACGAGTTTCCTGTAAACGAATCCAGCCCAATTCCTAACGATGCGCCGTTAAGCTCATGGAACACAAGCAGTGACTGCTGTTTTTGGAAGGGTGTCACGTGCGATGCTAAATCTGGCGAGGTGATTTCACTTAACCTTAGTAACGTTTCACTCAACAACTCTTTGAAACAAAATAGTGGTCTTTTCAAGCTCCAACATCTTCGTAATCTTACCCTTAGGAACTCCAGTCTCAACGGAGAGATTCCTTCTTCTTTAGGTTACCTTTCTCGTCTCACAAAGCTTAACCTTCTCTATAATAACCTAGTAGGTCAAATTCCAGCTTCAATCGGAAACCTAACCCGACTAAGGTACCTCGACCTAAGCCAAAACAAGTTGACTGGCAAAATTCCGATTTCCCTCGCCAACTTAACGAACCTGTACCTCTTCTACATCCACGACAATTTCTTGGAATCCACGCTACCACCTAACATGAGTGGATTCCAAAACTTGAAGTATTTTGGCGTGGGTGGAAACTCCTTCTCCGGTTCTTTTCCTAGATCCTTGTTCACAATCCCTTCTTTGCTATACTTAGGGATATTAGTAGAAACCAATTCAAAGGATCTATAGAGTTTGGGAATACATTTTCATCATCCTTTATGCTCAAGTATGTCAACATTGGTTATAACAACTTTGATGGCCCAATCCCTGAATCTCTATCTGAATTCCCCACCCTCGGAGAGATTGATCTTGGTTACAATAACTTATCCGGCTCAATCCCTAGATCTATGTCAAAGCTAGTCAACCTCTATTACCTTGATCTCTCCGGAAACAAATTGGAAGGTGAGATACCAAGTTGGCTATGGAGATTGACGGTGGTGAAGCTTTCTTACAACTCTTTCAGCAGTTTTGCCAAGTCATCATCACAAGTTCCCGATGAAACACAAATCATAGGGTTGGGTCTTAATTCGAACTCATTCAGAGGACCGTTTCCCAAATGGATCTGCGAGCTTAGATCGTTACACATCTTAGATCTGTCCGACAATAGGTTTAGTGGCTTAATCCCTCAGTGTTTTGGGAATTCCACCATCACTCTCCAAGAGCTCTTCTTGCGTGACAACAACTTCACTGGAATCCATCCGGACGTGTTTGTCAACGCTACCAATCTAAGAGCACTTGACATCAGCTACAACAAGTTGGAGGGGAAACTTGTTAGGTCCTTGATCAACTGCAGAGATCTGAGGTTTCTCAATCTGAAAAGCAACAGAATCAACGACGAGTTTCCATTCTGGTTGGGTTCTCTTCCGTCGCTAAACATCCTTCTCCTCCAATCAAACCGGTTCCACGGACCGTTATACCACCGCCACTTTTCCGGTGGGTTTCGGAATCTGAGAGTCATCGACGTCTCGCGTAATGACTTAAGTGGAACTTTCCCGGCTTTCTATTTCTCGGATTGGCGTGAGATGAGGACGCTAAACGCAGAGTATGACGACACGTACATGAAAGATTCGGTGTTTGATCTCGCTGTTTATCATTCCATGAAAATGGTGAACAAAGGAGTGGATACAGAATATGACAAGATCCGAACCGACTTCATAGCCATTGACTTTTCGGAGAACAGATTACGTGGAAGCATCCCTGAATCCATCGAAATGTTGCGAGAGTTGCATCTTCTCAACTTGTCAGGTAACGCATTCACAGGCCATATACCTCTATCACTGGCGAATTTGACAAAGCTCGAGGCGTTAGATCTGTCTCGGAATCATCTGTCAGGTCAGATTCCTCCAGGTCTTGGAAGCCTCTCCTTTCTGTCGACAATGAACTTCTCCCACAACTACCTCGAAGGTCCCATACCACGAGGCACACAGTTTCAAAGCCAAAATTGTTCTTCGTTCATGGACAACCACAAACTCTACGGTCTCGAAGATATCTGTGGTGAAACTCTTGTCCCGAATCCAACACCAGAAGAATCGGAGGATTTCCAGAAGCACAAGAACATGTGTTTAACTGGATAGCAGCAGTAATAGCCTATGGACCTGGTGTGTTCTGCGGATTGGTGATCGGACATATCTTCGCTCCACACATACATGAGTGGTTTATGGAAAGGTTCGGTCGAAACAAGTACAGAGTAGCTATCAAAGCTACTCATTAAGTCCATTCTCTCACAGTTTCTTTAAGTGTTTGTGAAGCATATCTGTCGGTAATAAAGTTTCTTCAAAACTTGTTTGTAATTATGTCTCTGTGTCTCTTTCATGGAAACCCTCTTGCTTCTCGAACACGTCACTCATGATGCCCTTTGCCTTTAACGAGTACTAAAATAGTGTGGGGTTGTTCTGTGATTATCAATTATTTTTCCACGTTATATAAAATTGTAATAACTGAGGGGCTAATTGTGAAATTTCCACTAGTTTTAGATCTATCCGTATCACTCACTCTTTCTAGAAACTTGCTCCATTTCTCGTCTCCTGCTATATCGCCGGCGATGTTGCCTCTAACCGTTTCGTCGCCGTCTCTAAATCGGCTCGTTTTATTCACCTCTCGTTCTTCTTTGTTAACCTCTTCTTATATGTATTCCTGTGAGGATGAGTCACTGCAACAAAGACTTTTGCCAAAGTCTTATTACAACTTGACACTTGTCCATTAGACCATTACATAAAAACCGAACCAAAGACTTTTACCCAAGTCAAGATGAGATTAAAACAAGCTAAAAGAGCAATAAAACATACAACAAGGCCAGTAGGCAACGCCGAGGCATGCATGCAGATTAACTGCTTGACTTCCGCAGCTCCTTCAACAATGCTTCAGTCTCCTCTAGTTCCCGCTCCTGTTTCTCCCAATCCTGAAACACTAACATATGGTCAGAGAGACTTGCAGTGATACATCATTTCAGGAGAGGCAGGCCAGTGCTTTTTGCTTTACCTCTTTGATTACCCAACCCCTTGTATTTTTGGGGCCAGCGCACACACGAGCTAAACCAACTCCAAAACCCAGTCCGACACCGTGGGAGTAAATACTATTCATCACAGACACAATGGCATCTGCAGACGTTTTTTTTATCATCCCAAATCCATTAAAGTATATAATTATCCATTTACATAGAAATATAGAATTGAGAAGAGAGATAGAGTCATACCCTTGTAATGCTCTCGCCTCCGATTAAACTGCATTTGATTTCATTTTCTTTCTTTATAATCGCTCGAATACAAAAAAAAAAAAAAAAAAATCAAATCAAATGATTAACAGTCAAATTTCTCTTTACCTGCGCAACGATGGACCGCATGATCGGAAATTTAGGGTTCCTTCGCTCTTCGCTCTAAATTTAGGTGTGTTTCCTTTTTCCCATAACCCTAACATCTGTATTATGGGCCTGTCTTGTTGGGCTTTTGTACCTTTTTATAATTATGTCAACAACATCAGTTTTAAGTTTAACTACTACAAACATTAAAATTTAAGAATACTTATTAATTTAATTAGATATTTAAAAAATATATAAAGAGAAATTCTCCCAAAATTGACCATTTTTATCGATTTTGCCTGGTGAGATGGGAGCTTGACATGTGGAAGCAAACTTAACGAATCACTGTTTTTTTAGTTGGATTTTTACAAGGGAGAAGTGCCAGTAAGGGAATAACAGAGTTTTATAAAAGAAATCTTGTTTTATGACAAGGATGATGGAACAGTAACATTTTGATAGTATATGACAAAGTTTTCCATCAAAATCCCAAAAGAAGCGCAAACCAACATAGTATGATAGGTAGCAAGGCAGAGATTACTCTAATAATAAAGAGAAATGGCATAGCCAACATAAACTTGTGCATACAACAAGCCCACTTGCCAAACAAGTTGAGTTTCACCTCCGTTTATTAGTTCCAAGCTTCAGAGAGCAGCCTGGCTATCTGTAACATGAGGAAATACAGCGAGTGGTGATGATACGATACAATTAGGGTTTGTTCACTAAAGCACAAATCATAATGATTCAAAAACAAAAAAAAAATGAAACTTTTGTAATCTCAATACCTCCTCACGTCTTTCACGAATAAGCTGCTTCCTGCGCCCGTATTCTTCGCTCCTCTTGTCCATTACCCTCAACTCAACAAGTCCTGAGGTAATCAACCCATTCACAATCAGTTGCAAGAAGAAAAACATTGATCAAATCCAAAAAAACCAAATACACATTACGCCAAGCAAGGAAGCCAAAACATCCGAAAAAGGCTAATAGGCCAGGTCCACTAGGGCCGAGCTTGACCTGGCCGTGGCCATGACTCTGCAATTTTCGGTACAGATCGATCAGAAACACACAATTAAACCCAAAAAAAGAAAGTGGAAGAATTCATGCGAAGAGCTGTCTCTATTTACCTGAGGTATCCGATTAGACATTTCTTCTCTGTCTTGTACTCTTGTGTTTGCCTCTTCGCTCTCCCCGATCCTGAATCAGGGTTTGTCCTTTATATTTTCGTTTCTAAATTTCGAACTGGATCTACTATTTTGATTACGGGGCCTAAACCCTAAACCCAAACTAAGAAGTCGTCGGCGGCAATCCATACATTGACCTACGGACTGTTAATGACTTAATGTCTCCGTTAACGTCAATTTACAATATTGCACTACACTCTTGCTTCTCGAACACGTCACTAGTATATAAGATTTAAAACACTTTGGGGGTTGTTTTCGGAATATCACCAATTTGTTTCACGTTATATAAAATTTGTAATAACTGAGGGGGTTATTTTGCAATTTTCACTAGTTATACACATTTATCCGTAATAATCACTCACTCGTTCTAGAAACTTTCTCCATTTCTCGTCTCCTGCTATATCGCCGGCGATGTTTCCTCTAACCGTTTCGTCGCCGTCTCTAAATCGGCTCGTTTTATTCACCTCTCGTTACTCTCACTCTCCATTTCTCCGCAATTTCAAATCGCTCTCTTTAATTCACCGGAAATCACCGTACAACTATCTCGCCGGCGTAAAGTGCCATGCTAGTAGCAGCAGCAGTTCCTCCTCCTTCACCGCAAAGCCTTCCAAAGAGATTCGGAAGGCTCGAACCGAAGTAGTTCCAGATGAGAAGCTTAGCGCGCTCCGGCAACAGTTTTCCGAGCCGGGTGTTGGGATCGATGCTTATATCATACCTTCAGAGGATGCCCATCAGGTTTTCCTTTGTTAACCTCTTCTTATATGTATTGCTGTAAAATTAGAGTTGTGTTGAATACGAATTGAATGGTAGAAACTGGTGAAATTCGAAATTAAGTTTCTAGCTGCTTCTGCGAAGTCTTGTAGTTTGCGTCTTCCAATAATTGTTTCTAATTGATAAGACTAAAGTGTTGTTCTTCTGCTGTGGTGGCCGAAAGTCTGTTTTTTTATTTGAGAGCTGAAGATCTTCTTCATATAACTTATGTTTCCTGGAATATTGTTCTGTGCCATTTGAAAAGATTACAAATTTAGTATATTCTGATTTTTCTTCATATTGGTACTAGAGCGAGTTCATCGCTGAGTGCTATGCGAGGAGGGCTTTTATATCAGGATTTACTGGGAGTGCTGGTACTGCTGTTGTCACCAAGGATAAGGCAGCTCTGTGGACAGATGGCCGCTATTTTCTTCAGGTTTTGATCATTTTCATCCTTTCCAAACGTTTTCATTGCCACCTTATACATACATACATTTGAAAGGAAACTGTTGGTTTCTTATCTACATTCGCTACAATTTTTGTGTCATAGGCCGAGAAGCAATTAAACTCTAGTTGGAATCTCATGCGTGCCGGTAATCCAGGAGTCCCCACTGCAAGCGAATGGGTTGCTGATGTTTTGGCTCCTGGTGGAAGAGTTGGTATTGACCCTGTAAGCTACTATCGAACCTTCGAAATTGTGTCTCCTTTTGTCCTCTTAAGTATTTCATATGGTCTTCAATCGTAGATAGTTTCAATAGCCGCATTTGGGAAAAGGCACATTTTTCTTTATGTTCATCATTCTTGTCTGGTGCACTTGCATAGATCGTTTGAAAGTATTGCATCATTCTTGTTATTTGAAATTTGTATTTACAATACTTTGGGACTTCATGAAGGGAGCAGTTCCTTTTTTCCGCCGATGCTGCTGAGGAGTTGGAGGAGGCTATAGCGAAGAAGAATCATAAGTTGGTTTACTTGTACAGAACAAATCTTGTGGATGAAATATGGAAGGGCTCAAGGCCAAAGCCTCCTAGCAAACCAATAAGGGTACATGACTTGAAATATGCTGGTTTAGATGTGGCATCAAAATTGGCCTCTCTGAGAAATGAAATCATGGATGCCGGTGCATCTTCCATTGTGATATCCATGCTTGATGAGATTGCATGGGTGCTTAATCTGGTAAGTACTCCGGATCAACATCTTACCATTGTTTATCTGATTTTGTGCCACCCCTCTCATCGTATTCTTCCATTTTAAGGTCCCAATGCATTGATGTTTTAATGCGTATTTATCTGATTGCAGAGAGGGAGTGATGTTCCACATTCACCTGTTATGTACGCATATTTGATTGTAGAAGTGGACCAAGCCAAACTTTTTGTGGACAGTTCTAAAGTCACCGCGGAGGTGAAAGATCATTTGACAAATGCAGGGATCGAACTCAGACCTTATGATTCTATTCTTTCAGAAATAGATAGGTACTAGCTAGATTATTAGTTCCGGAAAAAGAACTAGATTGTTACATCCTGCTCTGCTCATTATTATACTCTATCTCACTCTGAGTTTTCTCAGTTTGGCATCACGAGGAGCCCAGCTCTTGATGGATCCATCCACCCTCAACGTGGCTATCATTAGCACCTACAAATCTGCATGTGAGAGATATTCAAGGAAGTCTGAAAACCAAGACAAAGCTACGACAAAGTTAAGTGTTGGCTCTAGTGGGTATGCGACAAAACCCTCTGGGATTTACAGGCCATCTCCTATTTCGTGGGCAAAGGCCATCAAAAACGACGCCGAGTTACAGGGGATGAAGAATTCTCACTTGAGGTAAGAAATTCCACTGCAGTCTCATCTTCTCCTTATTGAACAGCCTGTAGAGGATACACGTTCCTATCTGGAAAGTTTGGTTTCTTTTTGATTAATGTCTTCAGTTGACCACATATATTTTTATGCAGAGATGCAGCTGCTCTAGCTCATTTCTGGTCTTGGTTGGAAGAGGAAGTGCACAAGAATGTGAACCTAACAGAGGTAGATGTGGCTGACAAGCTCCTTGAGTTCCGTTCAGTGCAAGATGGTTTTATGGATACAAGCTTCGATACTATAAGTGGTATGGTTATTTCCACCCTTGCTGCTGCAGCATAATTCTCGATTGTAATATACCATACCTGCGTAATACAGAATCAATATACATTCAGTGAGTGATATAAAGTCCATTCCTCTCAAATTACTCATGCAGGTTCCGGTGCAAATGGTGCTATTATACATTATAAACCAGAGCCAGAGAGCTGCAGTCGTGTAGACCCTCAAAAACTTTTCCTGCTCGATAGTGGAGCTCAATATGTTGATGGAACAACAGATATCACTAGAACAGTCCACTTTACCGAACCTTCTGCTCGAGAAAAAGAATGTTTTACCCGAGTTTTGCAGGTGGGGATTTGGCTTTTCTTTTTTACATAATTCTTGATTACATATCTTGAACAAACCTAGCTGTGTAGAATGCCTTAGTCTGATAGGATTTTTTTGGGATGCAGGGTCATATAGCTCTTGATCAAGCCGTGTTCCCAGAAGGTACTCCTGGTTTTGTGTTGGATGGGTTTGCACGCTCTTCTCTTTGGAAAATCGGACTTGATTATCGCCATGGTACTCTTTTCTACCATTTGGCCTTTCTTCACAAGAAAACAAAAAAAAAATCTTCAAGGAACTCATGTTGATCTGATTTTTTGTTGTCTGCCTAACAGGGACAGGGCACGGCGTAGGGGCTGCACTCAATGTACATGAAGGTCCTCAAAGTATTAGCTTTCGGTATGGAAACATGACCCCTCTTCAGAATGGCATGATAGTAAGCAATGAACCTGGATACTATGAAGACCATGCTTTTGGAATCAGAATTGAGGTGCGACTTGGTCACTAGTCCATGCTAGTCATTACAAGATTATATCAGATTAGGTAACAATGATATGGCTCGCTTTTGCAGAACCTCCTTCATGTGAGAGATGCTGAAACACCGAACCGCTTTGGTGGTGCTACATACCTTGGATTTGAGAAGCTTACATTTTTCCCCATTCAGGTACGGAGGGACTTATCCGGTTTTAAATCACTGTCCCTGATCCGGTTTTCTTGTAGCTTCTCGCTTTTCTTTTCATTTTGATCTCACACACTTGTGGCTCACCAAATCATGCAGGCAAAAATGGTTGATGTTTCTTTGCTATCTGATGCTGAGATTGACTGGCTTAATAATTACCACACTGAAGTCTGGGAAAAGGTTAGTCCACAAAAGTACTTAAAATTTCCAAAAGCTAAGTAGATAATGAGTCTAAGCCACAAGGTCTGCATGTTCCCTGAAAGCAAGCGAGATCAGATCAACACAGCTTTGCTTTTCCTCTTAGTGCATATACAGCTTTGTTGTTTGAACCGATTGATGTTTCCTTGGCAGGTCTCGCCATTGTTAGAAGCTCCTACTCAGCAGTGGCTCTGGAACAACACTCGCCCGTTAGCCAAATCATGATCGAATCCACCAAGTGCAAGCTTAGACTTGATCCTTAAGGATTAGACACCATAATCTGCTCCTTTTATTTGATCATTTGTGTAAATTACAAAAGTGTAATACTTTTACAAAAAAGTCCTCGCTTTTACTAATGTTGTTGAAATGAACTCATAACTTCATAAGTATCTATTCCAAAGGCTTAAATTCAAATCCAGACCTCTCTTGAGCTACATTGCACAAAATCTTAAATTTGACTGTCGTCGAGTACTCGACTCTGCTCGTAGTCAAATTCATTTCCTCTGTGGAACAGCAAAACAGAGCAATTCCTGTAACTCTGTTTCGTCGTGGAGAGAGAGGAAACAAATTCTATTGCAAATTGCAAATTTTGGTGAATGAATTCGAGATGGGTGATTCAGAAAGTGAGCTCTCACCTTCCTTCTTGCTTGTCCACCATTTTGTGCCCTTCGAAAATTCTAATCCGGCAGAGCCCAAGTTACCAAGTCTCGACTTTTCTCCTCAACCATGTCGATATGAGCCTTCTCTTATCCATCTGCGGAAGAGAAGGCTGGTTTCCTCATCTGGGTCCTTCTCTCCACGCCTCCATTGTCAAGAATCCCGAGTTTTTCGAGCCTGTGGATGCTGACATCCATCGAAACGCTCTTGTTGTTTGGAACTCTTTGCTCGCTTTGTATGTCAGACGCGGGAAATTATCTGATGCGCTCAAGTTGTTCGACGAAATGCCTATGACAGATAACATTTCGCAGAATACAGTGTTTAATGGGTTTCTGAAGAACAGAGAGATCGAGTCTGGCTTTGTATTGCTTAAACGAATGGTTAGGTCAGGTGGGTTTGATCAAGCAACCTTGACGATTGTTTTATCAGTGTGTGATGTACCAGAGTTCTCTTTGGTGACCAAGATGATCCACGGTTTAGCAGTTTTAAGCGGTTATGAGAAGGAAATTTCCGTGGGGAACACATTGGTCACATCCTACTTCAAATGTGGATGTTCAGTTTCCGGGAGACGGGTTTTTGATGAGATGGTGCAGAGAAATGTCATCACTTGGACGGCTGTGATTTCGGGACTGATACAGAATGAGTTACATGAAGATGGTCTAAGATTGTTTAGTTTGATGCGTAGCGGATTAGTCCATCCAAACTCAGTAACTTATTTGAGTGCTCTAGCTGCTTGTTCAGGCTCACAGAGGATAATGGAAGGCCAACAGATTCATGCTCTTTTGTGGAAACTTGGGATTGATTCAGAACTGTGCATCGAGAGTGTGCTGATGGATATGTACTCGAAATGTGGAGGCATTGAAGAAGCGTGGAAGATTTTTGAGTCCACAGAAGAGATTGATGAAGTTTCAATGACTGTCATGTTAGTTGGTTTAGCACAAAATGGGTACGAGGAAGAAGCTATACAGTTCTTCATTAGAATGCTTGAAGCTGGTGTGGAGATTGATGCAAATGTAGTCTCAGCTGTTCTTGGAGTTTCGTTTGTGGATAACTCTTTGAGTCTAGGCAAGCAACTGCATTCTCTGGTTATCAAACGAAGATTCTCCGGCAACACCTTTGTTAACAATGGACTCATCAACATGTACTCGAAATGCGGAGACCTGACTGATTCACTCAGCGTCTTTAGACGGATGTCAAAAAGGAACTACGTCTCGTGGAACTCGATGATTGCAGCATTTGCCCGCCATGGTCACGGATTAGCTGCCCTGGAACTATACGAGGAAATGATAACGCTAGACGTGAAGCCCACAGATGTTACCTTTTTGTCACTGCTCCATGCTTGTAGCCATGTAGGGTTGATCGATAAAGGCAGAGAGCTCTTAAACATGATGCAAGATGTCCATGTAATTGAACCTAGGGCAGAGCATTATGCCTGTATTGTTGACATGTTGGGTCGAGCTGGTCGTCTACAAGAAGCCATGGGCTTTATAGACTCATTGCCAACGAAACCTGACTGTCTAATTTGGCAAGCGCTGCTTGGTGCTTGTAGTTTCCATGGTGATACAGAAGTAGGGAGGTATGCAGCTGAACAACTGTTTCAGATTGCACCTGATAGCTCAGCAGCTCATATTCTCATGGCCAACATTTACTCATCCAGAGGAAACTGGAAAGAGAGGGCAAAGATGATCAAGAGAATGAAAGCAATGGGAGTGGCTAAGGAAACAGGCGTAAGTTGGATTGAAATAGAGAATAAAACACATAGCTTCGTTGTTGAGGACAAATTGCATCCACAAGCAGAGGCTATATATGATGTTCTGTCTGAATTGTTTCCTGTTATGGTAGATGAAGGTTTCAGATCTGAGAAGCGACACTTTCTCCATTATACAGAGGAAGGCAAAAAGGGCACAGCTCTCTCATTTAGTTAAGTGAAGAATCCAATGATTCCATGGGGTCTGTGAGGTTTGATTTTGGTAGATGAAAGACCCTCTAGCTGAAACAGAGACTTTATTGTCTTCTTTCTTTGTCTTAATATCTGGACATTTGTCTGGTCATCAGTTAACGCTTCAGAATGACAAACTTTGGGGAGTAAGAGAATAAGAGATACAATGGAATGTCTTCGTGTGTTTGCTTCGGTACCTAAAATCTCATTCTTCTCAAATCCGAGAAACTTAACTTCCTCGCGATTCATCCCATGTTGCAGAGAGAGAAGTAGAGTGGATCCACTCTCCAGCTCTTCACCGTACTCTATACTCGGCGTTGATCCAAGCTGCTCATCTTCCGAGCTGAAGGCAGCTTTTCGTGCCAAAGTATGAATCCACGAATCAAAGTTCTTTACTTTTCTTTCTGCAAAGCATCTCCCTTTTGATTGTATTCGAAAATTGGTTCTGAGTCGTTTATTTCTTCACTCGGCTAAATTTGATTTTTTTTTTTTTCTGTATTTTCATATTTAATGACTACTTTGTGCTTTGTAAAGGTGAAACAATACCATCCTGATGTGAACAGAGAGGGAAGCAGTTCTGATATAATGATCCGTCGCATAATCCAAGCATATGAGGTACTACTAAACCTTTGTTCTACATTTGTGAAAAAGATTTGGTCATCACTTAAAGTATCTCAATAGTACTTTCGTTTGCAGATGTTAACAAGCTATAGCCGATCAGAGATAATTGAAGGGTATACATATAACTCTTTTCATCAAATTCTCCTAATACAAAATAGTAATTGTTTTGGAATGAGAAGTTAGAACAATCCAATTAATGTTTTCTCTGTGAATCGTCTCGGCAGAGAATGCTTGGACCCTTTTGACCATCCAGAATGCGAGGCACTTGATGTGTTTGTGAATGAGGTCCTCTGTGTTGGAAAAAGTACAAAACTTTCTCCCTCTTCCTCCTTGGACTTTGCTCTTTTAGTTGATCCATTTCTTCTTCAACATCTTCTTGTTTCTCTCTAACTGCAGGATGTTCGTACCCATGTTTTAAAACAGCTCCTCAAGTCTTTTCATGTGCTTCAACTGGAACAGCTCGAGCAATGTCTCAAGGTCTGTATGGTTTCCTTACTCCATGTCCGCCTTCTACATAGCTCTGTTTCTTCTACTAATATCTCGTGTGTATGTATATATTGACCAGGGAATGACGAAGATTACCGTGTACAAACTGCAGTAAACCAGTGCCCGAGAAACTGCATACATTACGTCACACCTTCACAGAGAATTATTCTAGAAGAGTTACTAGACAGGTATCTGATTCTTCTCTACCCCTCTTGAGATATTTTTCTCTGTACCTGTGAATTCTCACTCACTATATCACATATTGTTCATAAAAATTGCAGTGTTTTGGACAAACCTTATGATTGTTCCGCGGAGGCAGAGTTGCTGTATGCTCTTATTGTCAAAGCTCAGTTTGAGAACAACCGGTACCAGAAGCCAAAGAAGAAACAACCTGAATCCTCAACCAAACATGTAGACTGGCTCTGAAGTTGAAGTTGTTTCCTATTTTGTCAGAGCCAGCTACAGTTTATAAATTTCAGTAAAATGCATTCTCGACCTGAATCTGTGACTAGCCCAAAGATAAAGGTCCATTTTAGTAACCCGAGAAATCTAAGCCCTGGCCCAATGTTTAAATATCAGTTGATTACACTCATCTCTAACCCTTTTCAAATGCTGAATACACAGATTAGAACAAATAAAAATGGAATTTTCAAAATATAGATGGTTTGATAATTTGAATGTAAACATTTTCGATCTAAATTGAAGAAAAATTACTAATTTTAAACACATTTGCGGCGAAATTAAACAGACTCTATAACGGCTGGTGGTGTAGCTATAGCTAGGCCCACACGCCACTAAATTCCCCTCAATTTTTAGTTTGAAGATGAAAAAGCAGAATTGGCACACAAATAAAAGGTAGCCGTTATGTGTAGTGTAAATAGACCGTTGGGACCAAAGAAAAAATTAAATTAAATAAAAAATAATAACGAAAGATCCGTTACGAAAAGAAACCTCTTTATGCGCTCTCATTCTCTCATTTCTCGTGCCTCATTGACTTTTCGTTCAGACATTCACCAATTCGGACAAAGCTGAGAGAGTATTCATCTTCTTTCGCGTTTATGTTCGTGTCTGTAAGTTAAAAAGTCAAGAGAGAGAGAGAGAGATCTGGATTCTGGAAGGTGTTGTGAGGATCTCATCTCATGGGTTTTATTTCAGAGGTTTGAGCGTTTATCTTCAAAGCCCAGTTTTTTTATTGTGAAGCTAAAGAGAGAAAATTCGGGTAATTTTGGTGAGATTTGAAAAGAATTTATATAGAAGAGATGGTTGCAAGAACCCCACAAAAGCAGAGGAAAGTGACGACAGTGGCGCCTCCTCTCAACTCAGATCTTCTCAGGGAGACGATCAATAAGGTATTTAGTCCAATTAAATTACACTATTTATCATAAAGTTTACAACTTTTTTTCTTAATGCTTTTTCTTACCAGAATTTTGCAAACGCTCCAATTCTCAGGCTCCTTCCCATTATGTTTAACAACTTTACTTAATTAGTACTAAAATTGAACCCACTGCAAATAAAATTGTCTATTTTCTGGCCCCAATGTTAAAAAAGGTCTTTCTTTTCTTCCTTGATTATATAAGTAAAGGGTTTTCAATTCAATTGATGAGATCTTTGTTGATACCTAGAGGAACATAATACAGTTGCTATGAAACAATTTAGTAGGTCCATTTAAGCTATAAATTAGGTTTTTCGGAATCTAGCATTGTTGGGCGTTTTTAGCTGATGTTTGTCAATTTTGGTATATGATATGTGAAGGTTGACAAATGTATGGAAAGACTGCAAGAGCTGCAATACACAATAGCAGGAGGAACAAAAGTTGTCTCTGGTGTAAACCTAAGCCCAAGAAGCACTAGAACTTATTTGAAGACTAGTCTTAGATGCAAGCAAGAAACTCTAAGGTAACACCAGAAGAAACATCGGTGTTGATCTAAATTCAGAAACTTCCTTCTCTTGTTTTAATATCTCCCCTGTTATTCATTGTTGTAGGATCAAGAATGCTACTAATAAGAAATCTCCAGTTGGAAAGTTTCCAGCTTCCTCACCAGGTGATTCTCTCTCCCTCTCTCTTTCTCTCTCTCACACACACACAAGCATTAGGCATAAGAGGTCACACCACAGGCTATAAAGGATAATCAATCAATGTTTCTTGGATCTCAAGTTTCTGTCTTTCACCAAGGTTGTCCTAGTTTCCGCAGATTGTGACATGTTTCTTTGTGTAATGCAGGGGATTGGAGGAAAATGTCACTCCCAGCAATGCTACTAGGAGAGACAGTAAATGAAATCTTACAAGCCTCACAGGTCACAAGAGACATTGTAGATGCCCTTGCAACAAAGAAGAGTAGAAAATCAAGGAGATCAATAATGCCAGAAGTCGACGATGGCCCTAAAACACCTGAGATTCAACAGAAATTCCGGGAACCGAACCCTGGAACTGTTAGCAGCAATATCAAAGCGAGAAGGAAGAAAGAGAAGCAGAACAAACGATCAGAATCAGATTCTCCTCCGTCTATACAAAGAGCTCGTTCAAGAATTGTGTTCAAAATCGTCTCTCCGCAGGCAGAGAAGGCTCAGGCAAAGGGAAATGGTGAGAACAGTTTCCGGCATTTGGCTAACAGGGTTTCGCCAAAGCACAAACCATGGGTTAAGAAGGCTGTTCTTTTTCCCAATCCTCTGTTTATTTCCGGTTCCTCCACACAACAAGCTACGTTCAGTAGAACAATGTCTCCGGTCATAGCCAGAAATGAGACAACCAGCAGCAAGAACAAGAAAGAGACGCCACACAAGTTCTTGATCAAATCTCCTCCGAGATCAGCATCGAAGTTTCAGGTCAAGATCAAGAGCCCACCTAAAGTCTCGGTTTCCCCTACCAGAAATGGAGGTAACTTGGCTCGGAAGTCACCTAGAGGCTCCAATTCTCCGACAAGAAGCGTTGCCTTGGGAAAGAAGTCTCCTGCAGCTTCTTCTCCTATTAGAAAGTCTCCAAAGCTATCAACCGCTGCGAAGTTCAGAAGATCATTTACTCCTACGAGAAATGGAAGTAACTCGACTCGTAAACCGTCCATTTCACCGAAAAGAGTCACGCTTCAAGCATTTCTTTCTCCGGCAAGAAATGGTAACTTGGGAAAGAAGTCACCTAAACATTCGGTTTCTCCGACTAGAAAGACGCAGAAGCTATCAACTGCAGCAAAGCTCAGGAGGTCATTTTCGCCATCAAGACTAGCGATGAGGCTCGCGTCTCCACTGAAGAGCCGGAAAAGTGTTGGGAAGTTTGACGATGATGATGAGATGGTGAGTGGACTGAAACAGCGTCCGGTTTTTGTTCCCAAGAGATTCTCGATGGTGAGAATCTAAGACATAAGAGAGAGTTTGTTATGAAATAATATTCTTGTTTAAGTTGAAAACAATTCTTTTATCTATAGATTAAATAGACCAAACTGTGATTAACAGTAGGAAACAAAACAATCGATCGGGTCCCACAAAAACACCACACACAATTATTGAGCAATATACGACACGTAACTTTCCCTCAAAGCAAAGAATCTAAAGTTGGAAAACTTTAACAAAAAGCTTCAACTTTGCTTCTCCACTTCCATTTACAGTTCTTGTGCTACCTCAAGCCAAAAACAACCAAAGATATTATTAGAGGTCACTCAGATTTGCTTCAACACAAAGATGGAAACTTCTAGAAACTCCACCAACTCATCGCTCTTCCAATGGTTAGGTCTAATAGAAGATTCTGATCAGCCTTCTAGTTCTACGCCTCCTCGAGTCATCGCCCTTCTGGCTTCAGTTCTTGAGAAGATGATTCAAAAGAACGAAAAGCCATTCCGCAAAAGACACAACAAGTTTCGTTTGTCAATATGTATAAAATTATTAGATATTTCCTCTATCCTCGGATCTCATGTTTGAATAATCTCCTGGCGATGGACAGGGACGAAGAGATCACTATGTTCCATGGCTCAAAAGCACCATCGATGACGATTCATCGTTACACAGAGAGAGTCTACAGGTACGCTAGGTGTAGCCCTGCGTGCTTCGTTGCAGCCTTTGCTTACGTCCTGAGGTATCTGGAAAGACCAGTGGCTACAAGCATGACTCGTCGTCTCACATCACTCAACGTTCATCGCCTTTTCATCACCAGTCTCTTGGTCGCAGCCAAATTCTTGGACCGCAAGTTAGTATCTTCTTAATTAGACCTAAAATCTTTCCTACTCTAGATTGATTGTAACCAAATTAGTTTGTTGTATTTTAGGTGTTATAACAATGCGTATTATGCAAAAATTGGAGGAGTGAGCACGGAAGAGATGAATAGGCTGGAGAGAACGTTCTTGTTCGATATTGATTTCAGACTAAATATTACAGTAGAGATGTTTGAGAAATACTGTCTCATGTTGCAGAGAGAAACGGTACCGTGTGATTCAAGAAAACTTAGATCAGTCCTTGGAGAGATAGCTTGTGGTTGCCAAGCGATTTAAACCCATGAAAAGAAAAAGAAAAAACATCATTGCCCTTAGATCTTCTTTTCTTGATTATGTTTTCAACTAACGTGTTTTCTCAAGATTATATGAAGAAATGAATCAATTAAAAAGAAAGGAACAAGACCTTAAGTTTGAAATCAAAACATTCTTTTCTTATTGAACGTGTCAACTCCTCACAGCAACTTACAAAAAATCTCTTCATTAAAATTTACAAAAATACAATGAACTTATACTAACATGTTACATAGCGATGTCGGATCAAGTTTGCTTCGCCATTGATTGAGCCACCACAATACACTTTTGGCTTTTCGATGTCGGAAAATGTCACAAAATATTCGGCATTTTGTCAGGTTGTAATACAGTTAATGGTAGCTAAGAGTTTAGATCACATGAAAGGATAAAACTCATCGAGAAATCTTTCAGTTACATGCGGTCATCAAAGTAAACAGAAATCAAATGACTCCATCTACAGTAAAACCTCTATAAAGTTATAACAATGGAATTCTAATATTTTATTACTTTATCGAGATTATTAATTTATCGAGAGATAATTAGACCAAAAACTTAATTTGGGACTCGAAAATTCTATTCATTTATCGAGGTATTACTTTATCGAGTATTACTTTATAGAGGTTTTACTGTACATTTCCGGTGACATCAGCTACTATCCCAGGCCAAACCTTGAAAGCCCAAAAATATTGGGCCTTAGGAATTGCAAGTGACAACAAATTTACATATGTGGATTTTTGTTGCTGAAGTGGCTTCCACGGTGTTGCTCTTGTGTTGGAACCTTTTGACAGATACAGAGGTGCGATTACGCGTATAAGAAAGGTGGTAGGTTGGTTATGCTATTATACTAACACAACTATATGCTTATTAAAAAAACCATTTAAAAACCATACATGTTTTCTTAATCCAAACAAAATTCTTACTTTCCGTTATTTCTCGTAAGACTTTATAAGCTTTTATACTACTTACAATCTGATAGTTTATTCAATTACTTATGACTAACCACCTTCAAAATTGGGTCCCAAATCTCACACCGCTCCTATCAGACGAGGGTCACAAGTTACACAACCTGTTAATCAACTATTATACTACTATATGTTGGTGGGTTGTATAGTTTGGCTTTTTGAGTTTCATGGTTGGTTGTTCCATGTTGCAAAACATTAATGAAAAGTGAGATATTCTTCTTCTTTTTGTCAATAATACTGAGAGAATGGAGATATTCTTTCTGCCAACCATTTTTTTTTTAAATACTTGCATGTTGTTATTTTATTTTTTGTCAACACTTGCATGGTATTCAACTCTCTCTTTTTTTCTTCTTCTTTTAGCTGCACATGGTATTTAGCTCATTTGGTGGCCAATATAATTCTAAAAATCATTAGACATTAAATGCAAAATGAAAGATAAGTTGGAAAACAGTCTCTTTTGACTTTCGACATTCTTAATACCAAATGGCTTATTTTGTTGACTTATAATAAAATGTCTTAACGAGTAATGACAATTGCTTTTGGGAGAAAAATAGCAATTTGGCTACCACGATGTCTCGTGTTTGCGGCATATGGTGGTAATCAGCTACCGTGTAAGTCCATGTGCTCTTGAATTAATAAAAATTATAATCATTTAATAACTTTCAGAAGCTTCTATATGTTGTGAACTTGTGATTTGTTTACATTTAATCTGATAATTTACTTGTGAATGGTTAACTTCTATGTATATCAAAATATATAGACCGTCATGATTCTTAATTGTGGATCTAGTGTTGAGATCTAGTTCTTGACATTCATACTTAGTTTAGTTGACATGACACTATACTGAAAAAGGTTGGTTACGTTGTGAAGTCAATAAAGAAACGAATATAGCGCCTTGTTCGAGGTCATTAATTATCAATAGGGAATTTTCTTTGGTGGTCGAAAAAGAGAAAAAAATCCCTTGATGACGTTTTCAGTATAAAGACGTTACAAACTGCATAATTAGACTGAACGCGTGAACTTAAAAAATTATTCATTTCACCAAACTCTTACCAGATTATCGAAATATTCAATTTTAAATCTTTACCTATCTTTTATTTTATTCACAAGATTTCTCTTTTAACTTTTTTTCCCTTTTTGCACTTTTCTCCGTGATTTTGTTCTGGTTTCAACTTTCAAGAAGCTTCCACATCCGGCATTTATCTCAATACTTTCAATTTGCAAATTATTTTATTAATTTTCCATCTCTCGAAACCTCAATTCGCATATTCTTGTGGGTTCTTAGTTGTCAGTGATTACGATGGGCTCGATTCTATTTTCCTGAGATATTTTTTTTTGGGTTCTTTTTGGTCTCTCTTTGCTTTGCTTTAAAGCGTTCTCCAAAATAAATAAAAATTTCATAATCCGTGATTCGAGCGTTTTGATCGTCAATTTTCCTTTTTTCCCTATTTCTGGGTTTATGGGTACTCATTTGTCTCTTCTTCAGGATTTTGCCAGATTAGGGAAAACAAAATCAGAAACTAATTAAAGGTACCGCAAAATTTTACCTTGTAATTTGGCATTCTCTGGGTTCTTTTTTTGTTTGTTTTCGTTCCGAAAATTTCCTCTTTTGGGCTTTATTCGTTTCTGATTTTCTCCTGCAACGTCGACCTAAAAAAGATCCGATTTTGATTAAAACTCCGATCGATAAAAGAGATTCGAATTTCTTACCATCTGGGTTTTTTCCTTCTTCTTCTTCCGGGTTCTTATTTCTCTCTCCTGCAACCGATTTTGCATGTCATGTTCTACGATTGGCAAATCTCTCACCTCCGACCCAGATTTTGAATAAAGTTTCGATTTTTTTTGTTCTAAGCTCTGCAACTGCATGCATGTTACTTCTGGGGTCTGATTACTGTGTTTTAAAGCTCTGATTTTTTCGATTCATGCAGGTTTCTGACTTTCTCGACTCGACCTAGATTCTGCTTCTCTCTCTCTCGGATGAATTCTCCGTTGAGCTGTAAGAATCTGAGGCTGTTTTCAAAATCCGTTGCATGCAAATGTCTTGCTCTTGTCGCTATTGCTCTGTTCTACAGAGCTCTGCTTCTCTCTTACGCCCCCGGAAACGCCGCTCTTGACAAAATCACCTCCTTGATTCGAGCCCCTTACATCTCAGATTCCGGTAGAATCCGAACCGATAAGTTTCTCGAGGTTCCTCAGATCGTATGGGGACTGAACAATCAGAAGATCGCTTTCGCAAGAGCCTGCTTAACGGCGAGGCTGATGAACAGGACGCTTCTCCTCCCTAGCCTAAGCTCTTCCTTGTTCTACAAGGAAATCGATAAGCTCCGTCCGATTCCGTTCGATAAAGTGTTTCAGTTCGAAAGATTCAACTCTCTCTGCTCCGGGTTTGTGAGGCTCGCTCAGTTCTCAGATGTTAGAAACAGAGCACAAAGGTTTGATCTTGAGAAAGGTAGTGGAAGAAGATGGACAGTGGAGAGAGACTTGGAACAGCTCAAGCAATCCTCTCGCAATGGATCCATCGATGAGTTTGAAGTGATCCGTGTCATTGGTAAAAACCCTTTCTTGTGGCATGATCATTGGCCGGTGAAGGAGTACGCTAAGGTCTTTGAGTGTATGGTGGTGGTTGATGAGATCTCAAGAGAAGCAGATAAAGTTGTGATGAAGATCAGAGAAGCAGGGGCAAAAGCAAAACTTGAACCGGAATCGAAAACTGGGATTGAGAGTCCGGTTCCTTTTGTTGCGGTTCACATGAGGATAGAGATAGATTGGATGATACATTGCAAGAAGCTAGAGCAGAGGAAGAAAGTGTCAGAGATTTGCAGTAGTAAAAGAGAGATTTTGGAGAGAGTAGGGAACATTTCCGGTTTAAAGACTCCGACTTTGCTTTACCTCGCGGTGGCGGATAGTCTCTTGGAAGAGAAAGAAGAAGATTCATCGGTTTTGAGTGGTTGGAGAGATGGATTGATTCCGTTTGAGAAGAAGAAGTTAGGTGTTAAAGAGGAGATTTACGGAAAGTATTCGTATTTGATTCAGTCGGCGATAGATTACGAGGTGTGTTTAAGAGCTGATGTGTTTGTTGGTAATAGCTTCTCGACTTTCTCTAGTCTCATTGTTCTCGAGAGGACGCAGAAGGCGAGGAGGTTAGGGTTTGTGAGTTCTTGTGAAGATGGTGGTGGTGAGAACGAGTGGAGATCTTATGCTTATAATCTTGCTGGAGAGTCAAAGAGAGTTCCAAGGAGATGGATGACGAATATGACTGATTCGAGCTTGCAAGCTATTAGCTATGGCTCTAATTCTGTTTCTTGTTCAAGTGAATGATGATTATTCACATTTTAGGTTTAGTTTTTTTTGTCTCTTTTTATAATACAATTCGTTTATTTGTGGAGGTAAATGTTAGATTTCACAGGTTAAAAAGCAATGAATATATCTTCTTTTCTTCTTCAAATTAATTGGGAGAATGAGAGCAAGAATTTGAGAAATATATAGAAAAACAGTTCCTTACTTATTCAACAAGGCATCTTAAGTCTTAAAACACAATCATTTGAATAGAGTTGAAGAAAACAATTTTTTTTTTTTTTTCTGGTTTGGATCTTTACTTCAGCTGCTCTGGTTTCTGGCGGAGTAGAGACGGAATGAAGCTGTGCCGGCGACGAAAGCGGCTGTGCCGACTGGTAAAAACACATTTGAGGAGAATCCATAAATCATGATCATGAGATACAGAAGCATTTGACCAAACAGTTTGGAATCCAAGAAGTGAACATACTTGAAACCGCCGTTAGAGATCTTTTGATTAGCTTGCGGCTCCTTCTCCTCTTAGACTCAATCTTTGGAATACACAGATGAGGATTCTCAGCTGCGGTTAAGATCTTCTGGAATAAGTAATCAAAATCTCCAAGTTTTGAGCTGGTTGGTATTGGAGCCTCAATCCCTATATCTTGTGTAACCTGCAAAAGCCAAAATACAAAACATATTAATCAAAAACTTAATTTTTCAATCTTTACTATAATCAAGAAGAGAAAACACTATTACTCTAATGGATTCTTGAATTGCCATTGGGAATGAATCAAGATCGGTTTTTGATGCAACCATCAAGCAAGGAAACTCGAAACCGGCGTCTTTACTAGTGGTTGCAACATCAGCAAGCAAATCAATGGCTCTCTTCCACGAAGACTCATCAGAAGAATCATAGAGGAAGATGGCTACATCACAAGCAGCCAATGCTTCATTTGATAACAAGAATCCATCTTCTTCTTGAAATCGAATTTCCTTCATCACCAGTGTTTTCTTCTTTGTCTTTGCAGTGATGATCACTCCGGATTTTTCAACCATATTAACAGCATAACGTTCCTCAGTTGATCCGTTGTTCTTGTCATCATCGTATGACCTAAATTAAGATTCATACAATCAGACAAAGACATATATTATTATAATTTCTTGAGCTGAGTTAAGAAACAGACAAACCTTCCAATGAACCGATTGAGCAATGCAGATTTTCCAGAACTGTTAGGTCCAAACACAAAACACTGAACAACTTCTCTTTCAGATTTCTGCTCCTTGCGATCTATAGATCTCTCCCTAGTTACGCGAATCGCTGAAGATGGATCATGTGGGAATATAGCGTAAACCAAATACTCCAAACTCTTCGCTGGATCTATTAGTGCCATCATTTGCCACTGCAGAGAAAAAGATGTAAGCTTATGAAAATGGGTTCCCTCTAAAAACCGTTAAAAGACTTGTTTTGTTTTTTGATTACCAGTGAGAGGAAGGCTTCAAGAGATAATTCTCCATCCTTAGTTTCCTCTACAGCATTCTTATAAGGAGCTTCATTCCAAGGACTGTCATTAATGGATTCAAAACAATGGAGATTACACAGAAAAAAAATTAAAGAACAAAACATTTTATAATCACAAATTGTTTACCTTTCAGGTGCAGCTTGAAAGAGATATCCCATCTCATAAGGTCCCAAGTTATTATTCTGAGAAATTAAAATCTGATTTTTAAGAATTATAAACTCTCACAAGTAGGGTTACAATTAATATAAACTCTCATAAACTTAAAAAATAAGACTTTACACTGTCAAGGTCGTAAACCTCAAAGGCATTCTTTAAGAAGCTAATAGCTTTATTAGTCAGCTCAACACTCTGCACCAATGCCAAATCAGAAACAGTAGCAAAATTAAATTATCGTATCATCAAAATTAATGAAGCCAAGATAAATGAGTTATATATACATTTCTGCAAGATTGTTACCTGATCAGGCTTGCGTTTGAATGATGAATAAGGAATGATGGTATCATCAACGAGTCTCATATCATTGTTATACCCGAATTTCCTAAGTATAGTCCATACTGTTCTGATTCTTCCGTGTTCCACAAGAAATGTGCTTAGAAACAAGAAACCCTCAATTGTGATTCCTTTTCTATTAATATTAACTCCTTGTGGACACCGTACTTGCACAAATTTTCTTAATTCTTCACTTTGAGAAGGCGTCAGTTCTTGATTGAAGCATTTAACCTAAAATTTATTCATTTTTCATTAACTTTAACTGCTTCATAGAAGCACTCAATATGAAAACATAAGATGTAATAAGAGGAGACCTCAATATCATTTAAATGTGAGTCACTGAGAAGAGAATCCCTGTTATGGATAGAGACTGTAGCAAATATTCGTTTTAAGGCAGCCACACAGCGAGGCTTCAGTGAATTGGTTTCTTGGTCATATATTGGACCTAGAGGGTGAATAACCGCTTGTTGCGCATGATGAAAACCTCTCTAGCCTACAGAAGAAAGCTTTTTAAATTGATCAAAATGGTCATTTTTCAGATGTGATGTGAATGTTCTTGAAATTTATATAGTCTAAGGTCTCACGCACAAGCCAAGGGACGTAAATGATCTCATGAGAAGACCACATAATAGATGTCTCGACCTCTCGATATTCTTGCATTATAGGAGACATGATTTCATCAATGTTGATTTCATTGTTATAATCAACTTTATAACCTGCCGCTATGATAGGAACTCTCACCTGTTGAATCAAAGAGTCACACGACAAATTTATTTACAAAATAATATAAAATTGACTGATAAAAACGAAGAAAAAATCAAAGCAAATTAAACCTCTAATTCTCGAAACAGAGGAAGCCAATATTCACTCAGACGATCAAGAGTCTCCGGTCTGTCGAATGCTAATGTCAAAACAATTGCATCTGCTTCCTTAACTTCTTTAAGTATCTCTCTCTTATCTTCCGGTCTGTACATTTTATTAGCATAACCATTTCCATTTTCCAAACGTTAAATTCAAATTTATACAATCATAAGAAAAATTGTTACCTTGAAGAAGTGTCGATAATGATGGCAGGAACAGGGTCAGGGAATAATTCAGCAGGTAAATTGGTGTAAGGGAACAGAGGAGGGACGTTTGGATGCAAAGAACCAGTTGTTGCAGCCATAATCAAACTTGATTTTCCTGTGCCTTTTTCACCAACCACAACGATTCTTATCGGTTTTGGAGAGTTGCGTGAATCTCTTACACCAATCCTCATCATCTGACATTGCAAACAACTGATCAGAATCAACATATACTATTGATCATGTAAAGACATTTGAGAAGATCTGAAACAGAGGAGACTCAACAATGGCCAAAAATCAAATTACTTAGCATGATCCAGATAATTTAGAGGCTCAAGAATCAGAATTCAGGTATTGTAAGTTGAAAAGGAGAAGACTTTTACACCACAAACGATATGGAATTACAGAAACAGAGGCAAAAACAGAGAGAGAAGAGAGATGATAAAGGTTAAAGGTACATACTTTTTAGAATCTTACAGATTTTTTCAGAAACAGTTTAGTAGATAAAGTTAAGAGATCAAAATGCAGAGAAAGGCGTTAACTAAGAAGCTTGTGAAGGATGAGAGAATTCAAAAGAAGAAAAGAGAGCTTCTTCTTCTTCTTTGTTTATTTTCCTTTTGGTTTCATCTCTATTTATTTACTGGCTTAAAAGAGCAGTAGCAAAAATGCACAATCTAGTAAATGAGACAAGTGTCTTCTCCATTGAATAGATTTGGCTTTAACGGTGAAATTAGCGTTTGTGTGAGGGGATCGGACGGACGAGATTGAGGATCTTGACGTGGATACAACTGGTTTTTTTGGTTCTGTTCCTTTTTTACCTTTTTCGTGTTCAAAGCTTTTAATTACATGCATTAATTTGAAAATCTTTATTTTGAATAAAATATGTATATCCTTCTTTCTTAATATTTTCAATTTATACAAATACTTTTACGTATAAGTTACAATGAAACAACAACAATATGGGATCAAATCTGCATAGAACAATATAACACCGTACTTAGTATAGTTCTAGATTGAAAATTATTTAAACTATGTGTTAGGTTCAAATGTAACATGCTACTCTTATGAATGCAAGTTAGTTACAATTCTAAACCTTAAAACTTAAATAGTAGGTTATATATTATGTAACGGAAACTAAAAAATGGCGGGATGATAAATTATAAATATGACATAATTGTGTTAAAGCCCATCAAACTAAAAATATTAATGCTAATTAGTATGTATGTAGTTTTGCACATAAAGCGCCGCAATGCTAATAGTCGTATAAATAAATATTTTATTTTCTTAAATCCGTTTGTAATCTTGTTGTCCGCCGTAAAGATGAAATATATTTTTGGTATTTCATTAACCGATTAAATATATTACCGTAAAAAACTAATCTACATTTGTTTTCCTAATTACTCATATACCTAAACAATTTCTGATAAATCCAAGCTATTATTTCTGTACAAAATTAAGAGGTTTCCTCTTTTGTGGAGTTTGACTATTTTTAGTTATAAATACTTATTAGTTTTCTATGTTCAATTTATACTTTATTTTCATTTTTGACTTTTTGTTATAGGCTATTTTTGGTGATGTGTTTAATGGATTTTAAAAGAATTTCAGAGCTATATGTAATTATTATTTTAATCTGAAAGAAATACATTAAATTTATATCATGGTAAATTAATGAATTGGGCAAAAAATAGCACTTGAGATGTGGTAGTGGAAAAGGATGAATGGTACATTTATTATTGGATTTTATTTCTAGTAGAAAATCAATGAAATTGTAATAGGAAAACAAATTATTTCAAAATGTAATAAGTTTAGGTATTTTTAACAAAAATCATCAGCAGAGACAAAATTAGTGGGATGATGATGCCCTCCAAATGACAAAGAGGTTACCACTCCGTCAAAACCCATTGGGCTGGAGTAGTTCAGTTCGAGGGCCCACTCCTTCTATCAGAGAGCTTCTTTCATCAGAGAAGCTGCGACACGGACGAGGCGATCGGAGAAGATGTCCGGCAAATACACGATCATAGACGGCCAGAACGTCTCTGAATCTGTACCTGTAAGCTCATCGGTTCTATATTTTATTGGATGATTATGTACGTGTGTGCTTGTCAATTTTTCATTATTCTGATCTAGTTTCGATCTGCTGTTTTGTTTCTGTCTTTCTGATGGTCGTAGTCTGTTCCAGATCCAGGCCTTACCACCGTCGAATTCACTGGTAACATTGTCGTTGGTTGTGATAAGTTCTGTTGCGTAGATGAATTGACAGTTAAAATTTGGGAAGGAACGATTTGATTTAGATTTTGATTATGTTTATTTAGCTAATACGACTGTAAATTGGTATGGACTTTTGTTTGAATTCTGAGTCCAGATTCTTTCTCAAGCTTATTAATCGTTGACTTTTCCAACCGCTGTTTATATTTCTACATTCTTTAGTTACTTAACTTGTTTCCTTTGTTCGTCGTGGATCTGATCAGCTGCAAATGATAGGGACCTAAGACTGTTAACACAAGCTGTTGAAGAAGCATATAAAGGAGTAGAGTGTGGTGATGGACGACCGTTTGGAGCGGTTATTGTCCATAAGAACCGAATCCTTGTGAGCTGCCATAATATGGTTTTGAAATACAAAGATCCAACTGCACATGCTGAAATCGTAGCCATTAGAGAGGTATTAACAAAACAATAAGTGTATCTTTCAGTTCACGTTGCTGTGGAATGTTACTCATAATGCTTAAAACACACAGGCATGTAAGAAACTGAAGGAAATCAAGCTATCGGAATGCGAGATATACGCATCGTGCGAGCCTTGTCCGATGTGTTTTGGAGCCATCCATCTTTCAAGAATCAAGAGATTGGTGTATGGTGCCAAAGCCGAAGCAGCTGTAGCCATCGGGTTTAACAGCTGCATAGCCAACGGTTCGAAGGGCACTAAGCTCTACAACAAGTCTAACCTAGAGATCATAAAACTCGATGTGAGTTTCGCCGAGCAAGTTTTCCACAATACAAAGGGAAAGTTCAGTTTATAGTAAGCTCTTCGAATATTTTGTTCGTTTACATAATTACATTTTTGTGAAAAAAAAAAGAAACAAATAAATTTGGAAAATGTTTGTTAATATGTACTTTCTTCTATCACTTATAGCTTTAACGTTAACAACGAACTACCACAATTTCGCGTTTTTGGAACGTTTTTTAGCTGCAATTTTGAGACGCGATTTTTTTTTTTTTTCATTTGAAACATTACTTCCCCTTTCAATACTAACGGTAAACATTACTTTAAACTCCCGAGGCAAAGTCATAGTATATACTTTCTGCTTTACCGTTCTCTTAACGGTTTAACGTGGACGAACTACCACAAAATCGCGTTTTTGCAACGTTGTTCAGCTGCAATTCTGAGACGCGAAATTTTGGGTTTTTTCATTTGAAACATTACATCACTTGCGAATATAACGGCGATGTTAACGCCGTTAATTACTAACAGTTGTTTAAACTCCCGAGGCAAAATCATATGATCGCTGCTTACGCACTCTCTCTACCTACCCAATCTGTTGTTTACTCGCAGTAGCCGATCGGAGAGATGGGTGTTGATTTGGAGTCGGTGTCGGAGGCGACCTCCGGCGCCGTGGGGTCGCTTCTGAGTACAACGATCTTATACCCACTCGATACATGTAAATCAAAGTTCCAGGCGGAGATTCGAGCTCGTGGCCAGCAGAAATACAGGTTTCCCTCGAATCGTTCCAATTCGAAAAATTTGCGTTGTTCGTCTCAATTTAGTATATGATGATGGTGATGATGATTGATAAGTCCCCTCTCGTTTAATCCAATGGATTTTTGGTATGTGCAGATATCTCTCAGATGTCCTGTGGGAAGCGATTTCTAAAAAACAGGTTCTCTCGCTGTATCAAGGCCTAGGAACGAAGAATTTCCAGTCCTTCGTTTCGCAATTCATCTACTTTTACAGCTACAGCTATTTCAAGAGGCTGCATAGTGAAAGAACAGGTTCGAAATCGATCGGAACGAAGGCAAACTTGCTCATTGCTGCTGCTGCTGGGGCTTGTACTTCCCTTTTAACTCAGGCATGTTACGTTTTTGGACAATTGAATTCTTTATTTTGGTCAAAGCTGAGAGAATTTGAAGTCTTGGTGTTGGAAATTGGAATGGAAAAATGAAGCCTTTGAGTGTGTTGTATTTGTGTAGCCTCTAGATACAGCTTCATCAAGGATGCAAACGAGCGAGTTTGGAGAATCAAAAGGGTTGTGGAAGACGTTGACAGAGGGTGCTTGGGGAGATGCTTTTGATGGCCTTGGGATCTCTCTTTTACTGACTTCGAATCCAGCAATTCAGGTATATCCTCATTTGGTAGCTCACTTGGATCTTGACAACATGACTTGTTGAATAAAGTTGCTGCTCTTTGCAGTATACAGTGTTCGATCAGCTGAAGCAGCACCTTCTTAAGCAGAAAACTGCAAAAGCCGAGAATAGTTCTTCTCCGGTAGTGCTCTCCGCGTTTATGGCGTTTGTGTTAGGTGCGGTTTCCAAAAGTGTTGCCACTGTCATCACATATCCAGCAATCAGGTATTAACCTTAGACAAGATCACTTGAAATCTTGGTTATCTTAGTGAATATATTGTGTATATTTGGGTTGATGTTCTGTATGTTCCTGAGTTTTGCAGGTGCAAAGTGATGATTCAAGCTGCTGATGACTCGAAGGAAAACGAGACGAAGAAGCCGAGAAGAAGGGCAAGAAAAACGATTCCAGGGGTTGTGTATGCGATATGGAGAAAAGAAGGGATGTTAGGGTTCTTTAAAGGCTTGCAGGCTCAGATCTTGAAGACAGTTCTGAGCTCAGCGTTGCTACTGATGATAAAGGAGAAAATCACTGCAACGACATGGATTCTCATTCTAGCTATCCGTAGATCTCTGTTTCTCACAAAGAGCAAGTTGAAAAGTCCTTAGTCTCTCGCATACATACAAAAACGTTCAAAGCAAGGCAAAGATGGGGATTGCAGTGTGCTCACGTTCTGCTCTCTAATCCTCTATGTATGAATGATACTCATGGTAAAGATCTTCGGTTTGAGTATATGTACCGGAAACTATTGTAATACAAGCTTTGTAATAAAGTTTTTAAGCAACTCAAAGTCTAGATTGATATGGTATAAGTTATTGAGCTCACTTAGTCTATGATCATTGTGAGATGCATAACGAGCAACTCTTGGTGGACTCTTCGATACTCAAAAGATTCATAAAGAGCCAACATTTGTATAAAGTGATGAATTTTTGTTGAAAAGTCTGTATCTTTTTGATAACGTTGTTGAATAAAGGAAAATAATTATATAATCCCATCTAGTGGGACGAAGCTTCTGAGTGAGAGAGAGTGTTAGGCTCAAGTTCCCGTAAAATCCAATTGGACCGGAGAAGTATAGTTTTCAAGGCCAATTTCGTTTCTTAGAGAGAGAACCACGAGACGGACGGAAGATCTCGGAGAGGAGGAGGAGAGCAAGATGATGACCGGCGGGAACTACTCGACAATCGACAGCCAGAAAGTTTCTGGATCGGTACCTGTAAGTTCTCCCATTTTACACTTCCTCGATCTCGATTGTTTAACATGAGTAATCTCTACGTGTGTGCTCGTCCATACACTGATTTGATTCTTCCGATCTGATCTAGTTTCCATTTGTTTTTTTTCTGTTGTCGATCGTAGTCTGTTCCAGATCCAGGCCATACCACCGTCAAATTCCAAGGTAACATTGACGGAATTTCTGAAATTCCCGGTTGCTGATAGAGCATTTAGATAAGGACGATTTTGATTGGAATTTAATGCCTTTTTTGCTCTCGAACGGAAAAGTGTGTTGATTTTAGCTAAGAAAGGAAATTTCACTGCAATTTTCAAGGAATTGCTTTTAAAATTTGAAAGAATCTCTAGCTTATAGCAGATAAGGGTTCAGTGGATAGAAGAAACGTATTTCATTCACTTTTTTGAAGTTTTGATTGATATGGCTATGTTCATGTTAAGTTTTGATCAAGGGATGCATTGTTTTGCAGAATCAAATCTACAAACTTTTCCTCCATCTGCTACTCAGGGCAAGATCTCTGGTGGTAGTAATCCCCCTCGAGATGCTGACGGTATGATGCTAATATTAGTCGATTGAGGAATTTAGGATTGTTGAAATGTGTTCATTGGCTTGTTGCTAGTCTTTATAATATGGTATGTGTTATGGATTGTAGTATAAAAATTTGAAAACTCTGGTGCAGATTCATTTTCTGGGAATGGTAATGGTAGTACTAGAGATGAAACTCAGTCTGGTGGCTGGCTCCATAAATTCACTGTTGGTGCTTACAAGCCGTTCTTCGATGTTGACACTTCGGATGTTGTTGAAAGACTCAAAGAATCTCTCTTCCCATTCCGTGGAACGTTTACAGAGAAGACCGCTGATAAGCCTGACTTGTAAGACTTGTCTCTTTTCTGATCTTTTTCAACTTGGTCTCTCAAACTTCTCAAATGCGATAATTGAGATGTATTTGCAGGTATGGTCCGTTCTGGATATGCACCACTTTGATATTCGTGGCAGCATCAATCGGCACATTTGTGACATACATAGCACACAAATGGAAGAAACAAGAATGGAACTACGACATTAATCTGGTGACTTGGTCCGCAGGAGTGTTCTATGGCTACGTCACGATTGTTCCTCTCGCACTATACGTTGTTCTCAAATACTTCTCTGCACCATCAGGCTTAGTCCAACTCTTCTGTCTCTACGGCTATTCCCTCTTCGTCTTCATCCCTGCATTGGTACCAAATCTCTCCTCTTAAAAGAAATGTGATCATGTAGAAACATCTGAATATGATGAGACTAAGACACGTTTTCTCTGTTTCCGACTCTGCAGTGCCTCTCGGTCGTGCCGGTGGAGATCTTCAGATGGGTTATCGCAGGTGTAGCCGGGTTCATGTCTGCAACATTTGTGGCTTTGAACCTGAAAGCGCATATCAATTCCGCTGGAGAGAGGTCGATCTTGATTATTGCAAGCATCTTTCTTTTGCAGCTCGGGCTTGCGGTTGTGCTCAAGCTCTATCTGTTCACTGTCACCGTATGATTCATGAAAAGTTTATAGTCTTATCCGTTCTTTATAAACTAAGAGTTAATGTTTTTCTTTCTGATATATGTAGATCTATAAACGTCTCTCCTCAGATTTATCCAAATTTTTGTACTGTATGGAAACTTAACACAATTTAATTACCTTCCATGATTTACTTTGTAGAAATTAGTGTTAGTAATAAATTCTTTTGTTGCTCTTGTGTTGTTCTGTATATCACAACTGTTTGAAAAGAACCAAGTGAACTGACCCAAAAAAGTGTAAAAACCTGCAACAACTCCTTCACACGAAGAAAACATGTTTAACCAATTAAAAGCTAATTTGAGCCCACCAAAGAAAAACAAGAGAAGATAATTTATGATTTTTTTTTGTTTTTGAAGAAATGAAGAAAAAATGAAAAGAAATGAAAACGCTGATTTGTACGGATACGGCGGTCTACTCAGTGGAATTTCTGAAAACACTGACAATTTTGTAAATATTCTTCTACATTTTGTCAATAAGCTCTATTCGAATCACCTTCGATTTTCTCTTATTTGTTTTTTTTTTATAAAAGTTTTGAGACTTGTCTTTCTTTCGCCACTATTCTTCTGTCTTGTAAAATCTTTGTTGTTTTTCAGTGTTTGGCTGTAATAGTTAATGGCGAATTTCTCCACGGATAATTCTAAAATGAAAAATGAAAATAATAACAAGTATTTAGCATCTTGGCGTTTTTCAATATTTCTTTCCACATTATTATCTATCATGTGGGTCTCAATCATCGAGACTTCCACTTTTGATTTTCTTTTTTTCTCTTCCTTCTTAAAAAAAAAAAAAAACTTAATCTGATCTTTTCTGAACATGGCCGTTGAATTTGATAGCCAGATTCACACTAATCTTCTTCCTTCAATTATTTCTTCTTCATCTTCTCTTGGCGTGAGATTTGAGATACGTGTTAGGTACCTTGTTACGAGTCTCAGTTTGTTCATCTTTTACATCGCAAGCAATCCAAATCACTTGACGCTTTCTCCAATAACAAAATCAGACATTTGGAGAGAGAGAGAGTTTCTTGTTGGCGGAAATTGATTTTGTCAGAGAGTGAATTGTAAGTGAGATCAAACAAATTTGCCCCCTTTTTAACGCTTTCCAATAAAAATATATATTTTGAGGTCGCGATCAAATTGGAGAGGTTAAAGCTGCGTTTTTTTTGCAGATGAATTGGGTTTGAATGTTTGGTGGGTTCGTAAATGGACCGGAGGAGTTGGCTTTGGCGGAGGAAGTCATCGGAGAAAAGTCCCGGCGAAACAGAGAGTACCGGCTCCCTATCCTCTCATTCTGAAAGATTCTCAGACGATCAGGTCACATTCTTCTTTCTGAATCGGAAAAAAAAAAAAAATCCGACTTTATAGCTTAAAACTTGATTCCATGTATCAATGGAGATAACTGTGAAAGTTCAAAGCTTTTGTGGGGCACTTTATAGCACATTGCTGCTAAAACCTTGTTTAGTGTATGATTCTAATTTGTGTGTAATGTGTGTGAAAATTCAGAGATCTCAATCACCGGAATTAATCTCAAAACCTGTGACAAGAGAAGAAGAGGCAACGGCGGATATCAAGATTCTAACGGAGAGGCTCTCTGCTGCTCTTTTAAACGTCAGTTTAAAAGAAGACCTTGCAAAGCAACATGCTAAAGTTGCAGAGGAAGCTGTTGCAGGTTAGTTTGTTGTGTTGTTTTGTTTTCACACAGAAATCAAATTTAGTACTTCTCGGTGATTGAACGAATGTGCATGATTGATTGATCTTTAGGTTGGGAAAAGGCAGAGAACGAAGCTGAGGTTCTGAAGCAACAGCTTGATGCTTCTGCAAGCAAAGTTTCAGCTCTTGAGGATCGAAACAGTCATCTTGATAGTGCGCTCAAGGAATGTGTGAGGCAGCTCTGGCAAGGAAGAGAAGAGCAGAACCAGAAGATCGAAGAAGCTATAAACAAGAAATCCGCAGAGTGGGAAGCTGAAAAATCGAAACTTGGAGCCCAAATCGAGGAGCTTCAAGCTAGACTTCGACCAGGAAAAGAAGAGGTTGTTGTTGCTAATGAAGATCTTTACCTAAAGCTTGAGTCTTTAGAGAAAGAGAACTCAGGTTTGAAGCTGAAACTAGTTTCGAAAACAGAGGAGGCAGAGATTAGAACCATTGAGAGGGACTTGAGCACTCAAGCTGCTGAGTCTGCTAGTAAACAACAGTTGGAAGGGATTAAAAAGTTGACTAGACTTGAAGCTGAATGCAGGAAACTGAGAGTCATGGCTCGGCGATCAAATGATAACCAATCAAACAGCTGTGAGAGAGTTTCTTTTAGTGACAATGAGATGCAGAGTCCTTCCTCTGTAAAGGTCATTGGGAAAACGTCAATGGCTCCTTCAATAAACATTGGTTTGATGGATGATTTTCTCGAGATGGAGAAGCTCGCTGCACAGCCGCATTCAGAGAGTAACAAGGGATTAGAGAAACCTTCAAGCCAACAAAAACGTGAACTTGAAACCTCACTTCACAGGATTTCTGAATTAGAGGAAAAGGTAGAGATGGTAGAGGTAGAGAAACTGCAGTTGGAGATGGCTTTGAATGGATCCAGAGAGGAAATTGAGGTGTTGCAGAGTCGATTAATGGAGACAGAGGAGAAGTTATCCGAGGTGAAGAAACTGGAACCTAAAGCTCAAGATCTAGAGTTGTCTTTGGGTGAATCAGGAAAGCAAATTCAGGATCTTCAAAGACAGCTAAAGAAAGCACAAGCGAATCTCTCAGAGCTAGAGACTGCAAGAGCAGAGAACCAGGATCTAGAGAAGTTGCTGGATGAATCAGGAAAGCAGATTCATGATCTTCAAAGACAGCTAAACAAAGCACAAGTGAATCAGTCAGAGCTAGAGACTGTAAGAGCAGAGAAGCTGGAACTGACCATATGTTTAAACGGGACAAAGAAGCAGCTTGAGACATCGCAAAGTCGGCTAAAGGAAACAGAGAGAAAGCTAACAGAGCTTCAGACTCTGCTGCGTCTAACAAAGGATGCAAAAGAAGCGGCTGAGGATGGTTTGAGAGCTGCAAGCGAGAAAGCAGAAGCGGTTGAGTCAAGACTCAGAGATGTCGAAGCAGAAGCGGAATCTTTGATCTTGAAGATCGAATCTTTGGAAGAGAGTAGAGAGAAGGAACGTGGTTTATCAGCAAAGCACATTTCAAAGTGCCAAGAGCTGCAAGATGAAATCTCAAACCTGAAACACGAACTTGAACATCGTCAAGAAGCAGAGCATGAGACTAACCATGTGATTGCTTTTGATGAAGATTATAAGCTGAAGCAGGTAAGACTCTTTTCTCGTCTATGTGCAATATTACATAATACTGCATAGAAGGCAATAAAGCTCGTTTCTTTTGTTCTAAAACTTAAAATGTGGCAATGTCAGGAGAAGGAATTAGCAGTGGCTGCCTCAAAATTTGCAGAGTGCCAGAGAACTATTGCTTCGCTGGGTCAGAGATTACAGTCACTTGCTACACTTGAAGATTTCTTGATTGAATCTTGAGGAGCTCTCTGATCAAAATCAGTAGATATGAAAACAGGGTTGAGACTTATATTTGTCAATAGAAACAACGGAAATGGATATAGTTTTTGTTTCCTTTTATAAATTTATATCCATTTAATTTCTATTGTTTAAGATCAAATCAATTATCAACAGAACTTTGTGCAAATACAAATAAAATATAGTGATCTGTGGAAAAGTATTCCTCTTTCTTTTGTATGTATCTATCTCATCCTTGAATCCACATACTTTACTTTCTTTTTTTTCTTGTGAATCAAAACCCCAAAACCAAAATTGATTCGAGAATATTTTGTGTTATTTTAAACAAGAAAAATCAAATAATAATGGAGCAATCTATTAGAACATGCATTCTATTCATAAAAGTACGTGAAATCGTATAAATCTCTGTGTGAATACGAATTGGTGTATCCAAAGTTTGTTCTTTTTTATTTATTTCACATAATATAGACTCTTCTATTTTAAATTTAATAAAAGTGCCTTATACCTTATACAAAGTAACAATGCATTATGCAGAATTCTCCATTGAGATCATTTTTAACATACCGAATAATTTATATTTAGTAGACTAGTAAAAGCTGACTGAGAATTCTCCATTTTTTTTTGATCGGTTTATTCAAATGTTGATAAAAAAAATGTGAATTAAGCCATAAACGGTTTTGTTACAAATCACAAGAAGAATCTTTCAAAAAAAATTAGTTTTGGGTTTTTTTGGTTAATTATGATAGGGTTTACAACAAATTTAGTTTGGCTTGTTTTGTTTACGACATATTTACCACTAAACTCAGATAATACCCAAAAAGTGTACAAACTTGTTCTAAATTTGCATATGTTATCCAAAAATAATATACTATAACTGATAATGTATTCAAGAAGGCTATGAACATACATCAACCGAGTGGAGTGCGATATCAGTTGAGTCAACTAATTAGTCGTTGAATTAGTCGTTGAATGAGAGATTCTGGTTTTCTTCTGATCATGAAAAGGAAATTGAAGAGTGTCATATATAATATACACCACTTTTATGTAATACACCACATTGTGTTTTAGAATTTTCTTTTATTAAGATAGGTCATAAGACGATTTGTCTACGGTGGAGTTGATTGTCTAATGAAAACATAGACTTATTTCGTAAGGTTAGTTGTAGACTACTAGAAAGAATCACTTTTATCAAAAGACATTGAAATCTGAATGATGAGAAGTTGAATCTCTAATAAAGGAACTTGGAATCACATCCATGAATACAAGGACACGACGTGAACAACATGGACAGAGTCTCTATATACATGAAGGGCTAAATCAAAAGAGGGTTGGGACTAGAGTCTATAGATATTTGTCAATAAAAATAAGGGAAAGAAAATGGATGTAGTTTTTCTTTAGTTTTATAAATTTATCCATTCAATTTATATTGTTTAACATCAAATCAAATTATCAACAGAACTATGTGAAAATACAAGCTCAATATGTCAAAAGGAAAATATAGTGAGCTGTGGAAAGTATTTCTCTTTCTTTTGCATCATTGCATGTATCCTACTCTTTCAATCCACCTTCGATCAAAACCCAAAATTGATTCCAGAATATTTTGTGTAATTTTAAACCATAAAACAACTCAATGCAACAAATTTAATTAAAAATAATCTTTTAAATTAGGCTATACTCTTTTCTTTTCAGAAAAGCGTTCCAGCACAAACTGTACAGCATTTTGATTGGATAAGACAGTACAAGCTAATAGATTAAGGTGTGCAGGTTGCTCGATTTGCACTGAGCTAGGAACATAAGAGCTCACAAGGGGAAAACAACAATACTGTTTAGATTCGCCAAGATCAACTTGTTTGAAGTAGCCATTATCTCCAACGATGCAAGCCGTGTTGCGAGTTGTTGGGCCAGGACTACCTCTGTCTTTATGAAGAACCACCGCGAGCTTCTCCTCCTCGTCAACAAAGAAACTCGCAGCGTAATTGTTAAACCGAACACCAATGAGTGGTCTCATATCAACAGCTAAGAACAAGCTGCTCCACGACACTGCATTCGGCTCAATCTTACTACTAATCCATATCTCGACCGTGTATACAGGTGCACCGAATTTCTGAAACAGCACCGCGAGCTGCTCTTCTCTAACACTTGAAAGAGTCACCGTGTCTCCAACGAGACCGTGGAAAGGCAGAGGCAGGCGCGGTCCAAACCTCTCCGTTTCGAAATCAAAACAGATTAGGAAATCAGCGACATCTATCCTACTTGATGCCAACTTGTCACGAGCATACCAGTAAGTGTTGCCCTTTAGAGACAAGCCACGGATACAACACAGCCAGTCCGGGACCGACATCAACAAGCTTCCATGAGTTCAGAGTCTAAACTGTAGATTTCAAACTCAGAAACTCGGTGCTTGACTCTCGGGTCGTAATCATTCACAAATCTCAAGACTTTGTGCTTCTTCTTATTATCGTATCCGAGAGCGTAACTGTCGAATCTGTGGTAAGAAGTTCTGGGTTCGATCCACCTTGTTTGTCCCAGATAAGGGTTCAACACAACACCCTAGAGGAGCCTTTCCTCTTCAGTGATGCATAAGAACAAACCGTCGCAGTGAATGATTTTAGATATGTCGACTCCATCTGCGTTGATATTACCTATAGGCTCTATAGATGGATAGAGGAGATTGACGCTCATCAAAGACACTCTCTTTTCCAGCAACATCACCACCTTGATTTCAATTCCCTTCCTTTGCTTCTGCTTCTTCTTTGATGCTCCTTCTGCTGATTCACCCATGTGCCTCTTCAAAAAGCTATGACCTTTCGTTATGCTGTTCCACTTTTTGCAGGTCGATCGTACTTCTCCCAGAGATGTCACCGGAAGCTTCGACAGCACCTCCTCCTCCATCTCCCTCGGAAGATCGGACATCTTCGGACCGGATCTGTAATGGAAAATCAGTTAGGATCAAACCTCCCAATGCTCTGTTTCGTTGTCTCCGATTTATTCCTGTCTCGTATTTCAATCCCATCTCTTCACTTTCCTAATCGTCATTGGTTGATAAGTTGACTTTTTGAAATTGGCCTTAAAGTAATGGCCCAAGTCCTTACTAATAACATTTTATGCCTTACTAATCAGTTCCGCATCATAGTCAAAAAACTCAAAACAGAGGCCTATACCTTACTAATAAGTACTACAATAACATATTACAATCGTTTCAGTAATTACTTTTCGTGCCAAAGACATACTGTATCTACCAACTTTATACAGAGAATATTTTTAGACTTGGACGGCACACAGACCCAAGTCCCTCCAACAACATTTCCTTCAATGTTGGTAATTTTAAGTGCTACGCCCAAAATTAAATGGAAACTAAATTAAAAAAAAGGATACGACGCGTATTTGAGCGTTACAGGCGTCCGCGTTTAAGTGCCACGTGGCAGAAGATGATTGGCTCTTCCTTAATGAGAAGAAACAAAACGCATTTTTTCTGCTTCATTTTTCTCTGTCGGTTCTCTCTCCTCCCTCTCTCTACTCCGTTGATCTTCCATGGCGATCTGGCGATTTGATGTTGATTGTAAGCAATCATCGATTTCTGGTGAGAAATCGGTCCGTTTCTCATGCCTCCGGTCCTCGACTCTTCCTCTCTACATCGATCTCGTTCGCTCGTCCGAATCGTCTCATCTCCATCATCTCATCTCCATCGTTCATCTACTTCGTTCTCAGTCACCATGTACCGTGTCGCTTCTAATCTCGCCTCCAAGGCAAGGTACGAACTCATTTTCTTTGTATTGGTAATTCGGTTTTCTATTAGGTTTACTTAAAAATTGAAGGAAATGGGGAAATCAATTGATATGGGTTTTGGTCTCGTCTCCTTCATTGGCTCTTCAGATCTGCTTCCTTTTATCCCGATTTCTTCGATTGATTTGGTTTCTCGTTTTCTCTCTGTTCTCAGGATTGCTAGCAACACTCGAGAGGTTTCCAGTACAATGAGCTGGAGCAGAAACTATGCAGCGAAAGAGATTAAGTTTGGGGTTGAAGCTGGTGGCTTGATGCTTAGAGGTGTGGAAGTTTGGTAGCGAGATGGGAACTTTTCATTCTGCTAAAGATGCGGTGAAGCTCTTCAACACTGGTTTCTCTGGAGGAGGTTGTGATTGCAATTTGCAGGGAGTGTTGGCGGAGGAGACAAATATCTGTTTCTGGGAAAAAGAGGTGGACAAGTTGAAGGAGAAGGTGCATAATGCTGAGACGGCCAAGATTGAGGCTTTGTTAGAGCTTGAAGAAGCCAAGGAAACAGTTGAACATGAGAATTGGTGACAAAAGTTTAGATTTGAGCAGTAATGTTAGAACTGTGATTTCGGAGCTAGGCCTTGCTAAGGAATTGCTTGAAAGAGTAGCCGAAGAAGAGAGTGAATCGGGAATTTGGCAGAATATGAGAAATGCTGACAAGGGTTTATATTTGAGTAGTAATGAGAGAGTTGTGACTTCTGAGCTAGGCGTTGCTAAGGAATCGCTTCACAGAGTAGCTGAAGACTGAAGAGGAGACTGAATTGTGTGTATTGATGGAGTCTTTTAGGCTCGAGCTTCAAAACGTGAAGAGAGAGCATTCACGGCTTAAAGAGAATGAGCAGAGACAGAGGGATCAAAGCCGTTGAGGAGCTGAACAAGGAAACCGATAATGCAAAGAAGGAGCTCTTACCGCTCGAAGACTTGGGCTTGAGGCCCATAAAGAAACAGTCGATATAAATCCACCTGACTTAAGGCCCAATACTTCTTGGTTTACCTTTTCTTCTTTTTTTTTCTTTTTCATTTTTTTTAAAATCCCTTATTGGTTTATCAGTAACAGAAGTTGTTACAGTCTGCAACTTGCAGAGAATCACAACACCGCGCGCGAGAGAGAAAAGCTTGAAGAGGGATAAAGAGACGAACACAGTGAAGCTGAGAGGGAGAGAGATCAAAATCCATCATCGAGAGATTGAGAAGTTGAAATGCCTCCTCCTGCTGCGAATTGCTTGTGATCCTCTTCATTTTCCTCATTGTTCTTCGCGAAACCTGCAACAACAATCGTAACTCGTAAGCGTGATTGAGAACTTGAAGTCTTTGCAGAGAATCACAATCTGAGAGGGAGAGAGATCAAATGCGTCCTCCTGCTGCGAATTTCTTGTGATCATCTTCTTCGCGAAACCTGCAACAACAATCGTAACTCGTAAGCGTGATCGAGAACTTGAAGTCTTCGTAAGCGTCTTCTTCCTCATAATTTCTTGTGATCTCTTTATTTGCTCATCATCCTTGTTCTTCCGGAATCCACGAATTTTGAGATTCGAATCATATCTGATCGCTAAGGTCTTGGTGCTGATTTTATTTTCTAGGTCTTTGTGCCATGGCGGTCAACTTGCAGCACCAGGATTACACAGGTACGGAAGATTTTTCTCCGTCTTCGATTTGTATTATTTAGGAATTGAAACCGCCTCCATTAGAAAGATAACTATAGTTTTTTTCTTTCTTTAGATGAAAATCTAGCAAACATCATAGAGAGCTCTTGGAATGAATGGTTTTCTTACGACGATGTCAAGACCCTATTTGAATCTGGTGATCAACTCCAAATTTCAACTGAACCGATCAAGACATCTCCAGAAGGATTGTACCTCTATGGAAGTGATGGCAATATAGATGAATTAGAATGGGATGAAGAAGATGCCGTTGTTGCTTGGGAGGACAACGAAGTGGTCAGAGAAGTAGTCATCTTGTGCAGAGCTTCGTACAATGTCTTTGAAACTCTTCCAGTGAAGAGGACTCTTGAAAGAAGGAGGTATGCGTCGGCAAACTTTCAGAATCACTGCCTAGTTCACTATCGGGTAATACACGAGGAAGTCAATGCTCAAGATGTTGAAGAAGAAGTTGAAGACCCTGATGAAGACGACGATGATTACTATGACGGAGAGGACGATGATGATGACGGGAGTGGTGGAGACGACGATGATGGAGACGGGGGTAGTGGAGACGAATTTGAAGAAGCTGCCGAAGATGGTGATGACTATCCTCCTGATATTGCTGCTCCTGTCGCTGCAGCTGCTTGGGCCATGGATCTTGCAGTTGACCACCCTGCTACCGATATTGCTCCTGCGGCTGCCGCTTCTCTAAGTAGTTTACATTCTGATCTACGTGATGATGCCTTGGAAAAAGTATGTGGCGGTCTTGACATTCTCCAAGAGGTAATGGGATTCTAGTGTGATCTCTCTGAGTCAGCGAGTATCAAAGTTTTCTTATGTCTTCTACTGTTTAATGGTCATAGGCTGAAGATGAAGTGAAAACACTGAATCCGAATCCCCTGAAGTCCAGCGAAATGAAGTCCAGCGAAGGATGTGGCGGTCTTGACATTCTCCAAGAGGTAATGGGATTCTATTGTGATCTCTCTGAGTCAGCGAGTATCAAAGTTTTCTTATGTCTTCTACTGTTTAATGGTCATAGGCTGAAGTTGAAGTGAAGACATTGAATCCCCTGAAGTCCAGCGAAGGATGTGACGGTCTTGACATTCTCCAAGAGGTAATGAGATTCTAGTGTAATCTCTCTGAGTCAGCGAGTATCAAAGTATTCTTATGTCTTCTACTGTATAATGGTCATAGGCTGAAGTTGAAGTGAAGACACTGAATCCCCTGAAGTCCAGCGAAATGAAGAAACGGAAACGGGTGTTTAAGAAGAACGAAGAAAGAAGGATTGATGACTGTGAAAAGGTGACTACACTTTCTGCTTTAAGATCATAGAAACTATTAGAGAGTATCTGAATTTATATGTTTCCTACAGTTGTTTGTATGACGGAAAATCGTTTTCTTTTTTTTTGTGTTTTGCTCGCTTAACAGGAGGGAAATCGTTTCAGTGCTGTTAGAGGAGCGCACAAAAAAATAAAACGCGCAGAGAAAGCTGAGAGCAAAATTCCTGGTGAGTTTTTATAGTTTTACACATGCTTTGGAATAGTTTTCAGTAATCTACTTTTCTCCAAGATTCTTACTTTAGCATGCCTAGTTTTTAGAAGTTTGCCCCAATGTGCTTTTCCTGGTTTAGCTCCAATTAACATTCATTTTGAGAAGCCATCATTCATCTGGTGTTTAGTGACAAATTTTCCTTTTGCAGGTGATATTGCTCAGTCTGATATTCTTGCTAGCAGAGATGGTGAAGTCGACAAGGCTAAAGAGGAAGGTTTAAGCGGGCAGGATATTCTGGACAAAACTGATTGATGGTATGACCACCAAAGTGAAGGCCTTGGAAAAAGATAAGCGTAGTTACCTTCTTACCTGACAAGGTAATTGATCTCTCTATACACTTATGCAATTTTCTTTCAAAGATTGATTCAGCTTATGTGATTTATCCCTTTCTGATCCAGCTACCCATTGTTACAAACACTTGAAGAAAGCATGGATTCCGAGTATGTGTATCAGAACAAAAACACAGATTGTAGTCAATTGTTTTGTTTTTGAACATGTTAACACAGATATGTAGTCAATTGTTTAGTTTTTGAACATGTTGTGAGATGAGACTTGTGAATGTGTCTTTCTTTTTAGTTCCTTTGCTTATGACGTTTACATACTTTAGCAAATAGGAATGAATTTGTGAATATGTCTTTCTTTTTAGTTCCTTTGCTTATGACAGTTTACATACTTTAGTAAATAGGAATGAATATATTTCTATCACTAGCAAGTTATTGATCTCTAACCAAAGTTTACACGAGGTTAAGTGATGGTTAAACATTTCTCACCTCCTCAAACTCTGTAATTACAATAGCCACGTTCTCAATCTTCCGCACGACCAATAAAGCAATGAGTCATAACAACACTAATACCAAGTATGTGCAAACGGATTCATGACTCAATGCCTCTTCCTCGCTAATTATAGCTTTTGAGATCCTTTTTGTTATCAACGCAAATCTCAGTTACCACCACCACAAAGGAGAAGTAAGAATTTAATGGAGGAAAACTGACAACGACAGCATGCTTGTTGTCAAGCCAGTCGCATTTTCCACTACTGATGAAGAGGTGCAATGCAAAGAGACTCAAAAGACTCAAAACAGAAGGCACCGAACAGCTCACTGCTTGCATTGTATACATTTTGTTTACAGTTTGTCTCAATTCACAGGTGGAGGCCCATTACAATGAAACTGAAATTACCAGAAAAGACAAAAACGACACTAATCTACATATTATCCTCTAATCAAATTATTGAAAACAGCATCACTAATCACGTAGGAAGGATGTTCCACTTCCACTTCTACATAAATATGAAAAGCAAATGTTCTTACTCAATGCATAAATAGCTCTAATGTTGTTTCAAATTTTGGTGGTTATTACTTATTAGCATGGTCTGCCACAACCATCTGATCATAACCAACCTGTTTTCCAAGGGAACCAACTAAAGGCCAGAATGAGTACACTGGTTCATTAGCTTCAAACTTTAGCTTAAACAATCGTTTCAGTAATTACCAAAGACATATCTAACAACTTTATACAGAGAATACTTGGAGTGGAGAAATACAGTAGGAGTCCTTTGGAGTTCCTGCATTCTGCCACTACAGCAAAGCAACAACAGATTTGGACGGCACACAGACCCAAGTCCCTCCAACAACAT